TGACATCAATGAGAGACGAATGGAATATTTCCACTTTCGAGTTCGATGTTTCTACGAAACGAGGCGCGTGCTTTTTCTGAAAAAAAAAAAAAAAAAAGAAAACCGTGTGTATGCGAATGCGTTCCAATTATCAAGTTTTAATTTTGCAAAATTGTTATACATTCCGTTTGTACGGGCGTGCACGTGATAGACGAGAGCCTGGTTGCGTTTCGAAAACCGCAATTGTTCGTTGGGTGTTAATTAATGTTGTAGAGTTTCTCGCAATAAACATTGTAACTTGTCGCACGCCATTCATTAGCGCACGTTTAATTGGCGCATTTTTGCGTGAAATAGTTCCACTGGAAAGGAGTCACGTGTAATAAAGGCTTTAGTGACTTTTTAATTCACAAAGTCCATCAATAGATAAAATGTATGTTCGACTATCCATTTATCGGATTTCACAACTGTAATATTTCTAAACAATAAGATATAAACATTTCTTTAATAATTTCATTTTCTACAGTTTTCAATAATTGAAAACCTGATTTCTTTTTATTTTACTTGAGAAGAAATTGTATTTTAACAATAAAACTATCAAAGATGAATCGTCATTTGTTGCACGTATGCGTATCACTAAATTAACAAACTTCTTCATTTATATATTGCGATAAAAATTGCGAAGAATCTCCGAAAATACACTGTCATGACATATTAATCATTGTTAAGAAGTCAATCACTGTCTATGAAATGAATTCCTTTTAAAACTGTTCTTTTCTTTTAAATTTAATCTTTTTTTTAAAAGTCCTTTGCCACTTAAACACACCAAGTGTGAATGTACATAAAAAGAATTAGTTGGATTTTATTTCGATCTGCTGCCTGTTTTATTCATCTCGAACAACAATAAGTTTACTTGACGGCAATCTCTGTCGAGAATGTTCTATGTATGCAAATATAATCGAATGCCCCAATAAGAAGAGAAATACTACACTTTTGACACTATTCAAATATTGCTTTGGTTGTCCTTCTTGACAGATCCGAATACCAACAAAACTAAAATCAAATTAAAACCCAGAAATAAAAACCTTTCAAACCGTTTGAATAGACAGAAATACTACATAGCAAACATTTTGCGTGCTAGTTTGATGTTTCTGGTGAGTTTTATTTTGTACACATCACATATGAAGTGTTTTATAGATAAACCTAACATTCTTTTTGAATTTGAAATTTGTCTTTTTCCAAAACTGGACATCCAGAGGAAAAACGATTTGCAGATTCGTATTCGGCTTATAAAGATCTATCAGAAGCACCTACAAACGGTTATGAGGTAGAAAAAAAATTAAAATTTATTGAACAATGTAATCTAAACCGATCAAGTTTTGTAGTCCACCCTGTATATGGTACATCCAATTCTATTTTCGAAGGATACAAAAGAATGCAACGTTTCACGATGAATCGATCGTTACGTGCTAATCGAAACCACGTTTTATTCTCCAGACGAAAATGAAATGGTCTCGTTGTTCACCTCAAATTCTCTCCTCCGTGTACTGGCACGTGTACGTAAATGCATTTGGCACAGCTTGGAAACGGTCCATATCCTATTATCTTGCTCGTTCACGGTTCAGTTATATCTGATTAGGCTGTTTCCATACCATCATCGATTCGGAAGTAGGGATGTACGAGTAGTCGAATTTTGAATCAAATAACAATCGGTTGGTTGAGCCGAGTCGAACGTTCGAGTTCTTCAAGCTACTTGAAATTGAAAAACTGTTAGATAAAAGTGCGCGCTACTTGAAAACTGAAACGATTCGAATATTCAAATGCTCGTAAGACTTCGATTTACTTGAAAATGAATTTTCAGCACGAAAATTGTTGAATTACTCGATACAATCGAACAGATCTTTAACTTTCGAGTTACTCGTAAATATTCGAATTGCTTGTTAGAAGTGTTTGTTAATCAATTATTTAACATCACTACAAAAGAAGAAATCCTACATATATTGAAATGTAATCTTCATTTCGGGTCATATAGACCCGAGGAGAACAGTAGGACTCGTTGCAGGCATTCATGAATTAGATCACGGTGCGAATACAGTTAAAGTTCTTATATATGGACCGTTTATTTTGAAAGTGGTGCAAGTCCATTTTCTTTTGTTTTGAGAAAATTAAATGTTAGCAGATCTGACAATTAAAAAATATACGTTTTTTTAACAAAGCATTGGCATTTTTTAAGATATTAAATACTAACTAGTTATAAACAAAAAGTTTACACTAAATTAAGCATAAATTACGTCATATCTCATTTTTTTAAAAAAAAGACTTACACCACTTTCAGAATAAACGGTCCATATCTTTCCAACAAGGAAACATTCCCAGGGCGAAATTTTTGTTCTTCGTTCAAACCGACATGAATTTGTAGGAATTAAAAATTATTAAACACTTACTTTGTTGTTTTAACTAAAAAAGAATACAGTTTGAAGGGGTGAAACAGCCCCTCAAACTTCGCCACTGGAAGTATACTTTACACAGTTACGCGTACACTAATCGTCGTCTCGCGAAATGTTTGAAAAGAAAACAACATTTTGCCCTCGGGAAATGTTCCGTGTTGAGTACCTACCACACGATCATAAATTTACGGACCCCTGTTTCGCGTAACCAACCGGGAATGTAAATTAGTGGTAAGCTCGCGTCGAGTATTACACGTTCGCATTGTCGTAATAAACAGTTTCCTCGCATTATCCTACATACAGGGTGTCCGCACGAACAGTGTACAGTCCGTTATTTCCTAAACTATTTGAAATACGAGAAAATTGATTTCATAAAACTGAATGGCACAAGAGAGCTAATTAACGGGCTATGGCGAATTATTTTTAACATTGTTATTTTAACCCTCCCAGCACGGAAACATGGTCACCGGTCCCTATGTCATTTCTGACCCCACACCGATATTCTATTACTACACAGCGACGGCGAGGCTCGAGCCACCGTCACCATGCATACAATGTAATGATTAGCTGGTTCCACATTACATTTGGATTTTCGTGGTTCTTATTACACTAACTGGAATAAAAATCTTGTGAATTATAAAACAAATTATATTTATTAGTCAACACTTCTGCGACGACTTGCCCCGGTCGTTCGCATGTAAACAAACATCGGTCGCTATGCGATTTACACGCCAGCTCCGTCACTGCGTGCGTGTCACTCTCGAGACCGCCTATCCCCACTCCTGACTCTGTCACTGTGCGCATGTCGCTCTCGTGAACGCGTGACCCAGGCACCGTGCTCGGAGGGTTAAGAGAACCAGTTTGTACATGTATATTTGAATGTATGTGCATGTGTGTGTGTGTGTGTGCACGAAAGCGGACGAGATGTACCGCTTCCGATGCCGCCCTCATTATCCGCCTTTGCATGATTCATGCGAGTACCAGAGATAAAGGCTGTCAAGACCCCAGCCAGAGGAAACAGTCGCGCAAACGAAACTCGAGCACCGGCGGCACATGTGTGCTCGCGACAATTTTCTATCTCCAGTAACGTAATCCAGTTTTGAAAGTTACAATGAAATTAGGCAGAACCTCACTGCCGCCGCCACAATTAGGACGAACGAGAAACAGAAATTCGTTGCTTTGGAAACGCTTTCGATCCTCAATAGACGCCTTTTTTAAGGGGCCATTCTGATATGCGCGGCACTAAAAATGTGGTAATAATAAAATTTTAATAAAAAAACATTCACATTTAATGACCCTGACCTTGACATAGTATGTTATCAAAATCACCCTTCCGAGAAACCTTCAAAAGGTTTAAACCGCCGATCATTGGTTACTGAAAAATTATAAACAAAAAAATTCTTGAATTTTTCATTCCAATTCACCCCTAGTTTTAAGGCTACGGTTGCCCCAGGTGCGTGGAACATCCTTGTACATGTATCTCTGTGACGTTCTTTTAATTATCGTTTCCGAAATATGTAAGGTAACTAAATAAAAAACTTATAAACTTATAAAATAATAAACTCATAATAAAATCTTTCATGAAACAGTGAAGTCAGGTTCCAATGAAACTATTTAACAAGAGAATTCAATAAAACTGATAATTATTTAGTAAATGAATTATTAAACTTTTGTTGAGAATGAAATCTCGTTCGACGCGAAAAAGCATAGTAAAATTCGATAAGTGAATCATACCTCCAATATTCTTTACCTCCATCGCATCGAACTACAAATTTATCGACCTCATTGAATTACGCTGGACTTTGATTTACCTGTTTTCCTCGACGTTATTTTTAACTAGACTGCTGATATTCTGTATTTATAGCAAACACTGAAGCGTTACCATAAAAGTTCCAGTAATATTTAATAGTATTTATTTTTAAAGTTCTATTCAAATTGAATATTCGTATATTAGTACTTAAAATTGTAAATTTGCAGAAACACTCATAATTCAGTAACTATGACATGAACAGTTCAGTCGAACCTATCTATGGAACTGAAGACTTTGGTCCAAAGAACAGGTTATCTCTATTTTTGGCCATTGTTAAATTAGGATGTATTCTATTGACAATAAAAACTCTATCGTTTGGTAAAACATACAGTTAACTGCTACCAATAGTATGATTAGTATAAAGAAATAACGAAATCTTTGGTGCATGAAGTATCTCTTGAATGACTATTTTTCAAGCATTAAAAACGAACTTCCTCAACAATTATAAATTCAATTTTTTTTTCTGTTTATTTAAAGTTTGCTAATATTCGTAAGTCTTACAAATACATATCTTACGTTCTTTTGGATCTTTCTTAGAAACTTCACTTTCTGAAACAATCGTCGTTTCTGTAGATGACCGGTTCCTTGTTCCAAAGTCTTCGATTGCAAATTCAGAACAATATATTTTATTAATAAATATCTATATTTATGAAAATAGAATAGGAAACAGATTGAAGTCTTATTTCCATGTATAGTTGGCAATGAAAGGAATAGGTTAATACGAGTTTAATGGTTTTGTTCTCGTGTTGCAGATGAACACTCCCACTATGAACGGTTCGTTGTACAACAAGAATGAAGAGATCGAAAGTTCCTGCCTGTTTGAGTTCAACAATACGCACAGCTTCCAAGTAAATGATTCGCTGTGCGTTGAATTTGCCGGTACGAATAATTCAGTTAGTCGCGAAACTATCAGTCCCAGTAGAGTGAGGATCGTTATGCGGGTCTAGACTCCATTATCGAGCAGAATGCATCAAACTAAGAACATCAGTAAATTCTATCAAAGTTTGCATGTATTATTTAATCGAATATTATAAGATTCTTTCATAAAATATTTAGCCGTCCATTTAATATCTGTGATTGTAAATTACACTAGAACAATGTAATTCGTACAAAACAGTTAAACATTAAAAATAATTTGTAATAAATAAAATAAAATAATGAAAAAGATGAAGTAAATAAGATAAAACAAAAATGTGTAATGGATAAGATGCAGCGAAACGAATTAGGCTACTGTTCAGCCTAAACTTGTGTTTTAAAGAAGATAAAAATCAGATGAAGAATATTTTACATTCTGTACTGAAAAAGTTTGAACTTTAAAATTTATATTATTTCTACTAAAATCTTATTCTTCGGCAAGCTACGAGCTCTATGAAACTCCATTAAAAGATTATCATAAAGTAACCTGAGGATGATAGATGAGTAGAGTAACTATAGGCATTCTGATTTCGTTTCAAAACCTTTCGCTGGAATATGAAAGATATACATACAACGAATTGTGAATCTGCATTATCTGTTTATAATCCTATTATCCTCAAAGCAAAATAGTAGATAATACAATCAGAGAAAGGTAATTTCGGAATGTCCCAATTTTAGAACGGCAGAACCGAATTGCAATTAACAAAGTGACGTATATTTCGATGCTTATTGTCGAAGCTCCTCAGAAACATTCGTATGCAAATATGAAATTGAGAAAGTTGACGTAAAAATTCGACCAGCTCAGCAATTTCCGAATTCTGTTACAAAATCTGCAAACAGGTTACACCTTTCAGTTACATTCGGAAGCAATTGTTAGAGCCATTGTAACTGATTTTACAGTATTTTTTAAGGGTCAATCTATATTCCTTTTAAAGATACAACTTTTAAGATAGTTACACTTATTTTATGACAATTAACGTCTTAACCCTTTAACACTCATTTTTAAATTTTCGTTTGAGAAATCCAAATATATTTCCTTCAAAAATGTCGGTTTAATATCGATGTTTTCGACTTCAAAATAAAGTTGATGAAATTTATAAAATATCTATAAAAATGAAGATCACTTTATAGAAATTTCGGCTAGTGTATCTTCAAAATACCACCAATATTACATTGCTCAATCGTGTCTGTTTTTGCACTTTCATTAAAAAAAAAAATCGAGGTTACTCTAAGTATTAATATAGAAATAGTGAAAGACTATTGCAGTTTGTTTTCTGTTGAATTATATATATTGTTTCTCTTTTAAGAAATATTATATTTATTTGTTGAAACCGATATGTACGCTTTCTGTAATTAATCTCAAAATTGTTACCAAACACAATTTTTCATTGGTATGAAATAACTATAAGAATTTATCAAAGAACATGGTTACATTATAGAAATTTCGGCCAGTGTAGATACCATTTTCCTACCATCTACCGAATAAATTCTAAATTATAATTTTTTGGCATCTGTCCCCCAATTACCTTCAGATTAAAATAATCTAAATGGTGTGAAATGGATAAAATATTATAAACTTCCTATAAATCACGACACATTTCAACGATATTGTTCTTGTTACGTAACAATCGTACTGAGGTGAAAAAAAAAATCTGCAGTAATTTGATATTCGCGGTAACATGATAATGAGCCGCGTCGTCCTTGCGCGGTAAGACCGGAAGTTTTCGGTCACTGTCACCGCGACAGAAAATTTACGTGTCACCGGAAGAACAGGGGGACAAGAAGATGCTTCCCGCTGCAAAACCGTGTTTTTACCCATTCGCCGTGCACTCGAGCCAAGAGAACGCCGTACAAGCGTGTACCGCACGCGATAACTTGATTATTCCACGAAATGAAATTTAATTTTAATACGGACACCCTTCGCCACGTGAAATTGTAATTACATATTGTGCTCTACACGTTGGTAATAACATAATTAACAGCCACGAGCGATAATTATACGCTAGTAATTACACCAGAGAAAATCTCGATTGTTACAGAATACAGGAAACAAAATGAAGTCTTCGATGCGCACCCTTATTGAATCTTCATTATTCCGTGGAACATGTTTCCACTGCCGAACTTCACGCTTTTGCATAAATATTGACTCTATTTAATTACAAATTGCAACGTATCCTTCGCCATATTTATTTGTATTATTTCATTTTGTAATTCACTGTGTGATAGGAATGTGTTACTACAATATTATCTTGTATTAATTCATTCTTTCTTCCCTGAATTCAATGTCTAAGAAAAAATATGTATGTAATCGACATATTGTCGTCCGAGTTACAAACTGTTACAGACACTTCTCTCTCATCGAAACGTTGAAAATTTTTGTTTCTTAATGGTTGTATCTTCAAATACTAACAACAATTTATATTGACAATAAAATAAAATTTGTTAAATATTATAATAAATAGTTATTCAGTAGATGATATTATAGTATAACGACGTATGTAGGTCCTAAAATTAATCCTTTCAATATGGCGTTAAAATAAGTTTGTTTACACAAAAAAAAAACATTTCCTTGATAACCTAAGTCAGAACGAACCCAGGCGTCGTTATCCAAAGCTTAATTCATTCCCCCTTTAGTTTAATAATAAGAAAATCGACGATTGAATTCGAATGGTTTTTATAATTCTCCAGATGACACGTACGAAGTGCCAACGCTTATTCTCGTGATCCTGAGCATACTATACGGAAGCATATCCTTGTTGGCGGTGGTGGGAAACTCCCTGGTGATGTGGATAATCGCGACGTCCAGACGGATGCAGAACGTAACGAACTTCTTCATCGCGAATCTAGCGCTGGCTGACATTGTTATTGGTTTGTTCGCGATTCCATTTCAGGTACGTTATAGAGTGAGTCAATAGGAACTACTATCTAAAGTACTCATTACCTATTATGTAGTTGTATCAAAAAACGTTTTAATGAATTATACAGGGTGTTCGCGATAATTTCTAAGAATGCATTTCTGAAAATTTATTTCTGCCCTTGTATGACCCTGAAGACCATAGTATACTACATGGTTGAACTCGTCTTAATGCCCGCTTTCATATGATGCAAAAAAATATGTAGCATTCCATTTAAAAAAATTAAGGTTACTTTTGTTTCTATAAAAATATTACAAATACAAAAACTTTAAATACGCTATCATATTATTAATAAAATATACTACAACTTCCTCCTCTTCGATTTTTTTCTAATGTTTACCGTTTACGAAATAAACGATGGTACAAATTATCGCGAACATCCTGTATAGCATTTTAAGGGACGCATCGGATGGACACAATGTGATTTCATTATACCTTATTTTTTTTGAGATATCAATGTGACCTTGAGTGTTTTCAAGATCAATGCATCTTTTTTTTAGTACCATCGTACTATAAATCGTTGAATTCGTCGTTCTTTTGACAACAACGTGGTATTAAAGTAAAAGATGCCTTAACCTTGAAAAAACTCAAGGTCACCTTGATACCTCAAAATAAAGTAAGATACAAAAAAATTCAAATTGTAAATTTATTAAAATTTAAATTTAAAATTAAAATTTGTAATAATTTGTTAAAATTTTTTTTATAGAACCAATAGGTAACGACTTATTTTACAAGTAGTTCTTACTGACTCATCCTGTATATACGAGAAACACAGATTGTCTTAACCATCTAGAGATAAACTGTAGTAACACGAATACATTCTGCCTAATGTAACTTTCGAGGTACGGAATTCCCTCTTGAGTCATTTCTCATTTTTGTGAAAGTAAACCAAAAGCTTCTCCTGGGGAATAATTCCACACACACACACCCACATTAATAAATCTTGATAAATCGTCTGGGATTACAGACGTGAAATCCTACAGATGCTTACAGAAAATATTGCGAATTTCAGGGTACAAGTCATAAGTTCAACAAAAAGTAATTTCAATTGTCAAAATGAATCCCACCGTGAACTATTGTCTTCTGCCCTCGTTCTGCTAATAAATTGATTTCTATACGACACCAAAAAATTTACAGAAAACAAAGTGACATGCATACTTTCTGGGAATGTATGAACATTGGATAAGCTCTCGAACATTCCCGCCAATTTTTCAAATTATCACTTTATTTAGTCTTTCCTAATATAAAATCGGACATTGAGGTATAAAGATCTCACGATTGATCATGGAATACTTTCTCTCCACAACGAATTACGTAAATGAATCGAAGAAATGTAAACATTCGAAAAAAAAAAAATTGCCATCATCGGCAATTACCGTGTCAGAAAATCTCAGTATTTACTTGTGAAATGGCGATTAAACGAGCGTAAATATTGTGAGATTCTAGAAAGATAGCAATTTCGAAATTGTTACACGCGTTCGATACTGTTCAGCATAGAGATGGAAAAAGAATTTAGTAAAACATGGGTGAGAATATTCCCCATTTCGAAGCCATAAAACATTCGGATCGGAAGTTATGCGTATAAACATAGCCGCCCCCATTTGTCAAGCTTAAATTCATTAGACTGTTATTTACGACGCCATTTTAAGGATGAGCTACGCGGTGCACCAGGTGATACATTAACCGATTCAGCAAAAGTACTGAAGTAGCTTATAAAATACCGTTGTTACGGAAAGTATTGTAAATACAGAAAAAGAAGTCTGTATTATCACTCACTGTGTATTAATCACCAGCAGATATATTAAACGTGTGCTATCTAACTTCAATAGTAAAGTAACTACACTTATGTCGATTTTCGTAAATAAAACGATTTCACAATAGATTCTTGTTAAACTAGATTTTGTTCACGATTTACACGATTTTGAACTTAAATGTTAGTAAATTCATAATAAAATAAAACAATTTTTAAATGTCTATAATTCTTTACTGTACGCACCAGAAGCGAAACATTATTTGTTTATCGGTGCTATTAAAAAAGATCGATTAACAACACGCAAACGAACGTGCAAACATGCGATATTTTTACTACGAATAACATAACATTAAAAATATCACTAATGATATCGCTACAACAATACATTTTTCAAAAACACACATACTTTATGTGTACACACATACTTTATCCTGTTATTGTGTTCTAATTTTAAATACTCACTGATCTTCTTATTTGAATATTGTCAAATTAAACATCAAACGTATTGAAAGAATCATCGAAATGAAATTAACTCGGTTTTGATCTTCTCGCGATTTGATAATAAACGACTTATCGCGGATATTTATGCAAGTATCAATTTCACGACAAATTATTCTTACCGAATTTTGAATAAACTAAAAATCCTATAGAATCTTATTAAACTTTTTGCAATCGTTTAGAAACCGCGTTTTAGACAATCGTGTATACGTTGAATGTACAAAATCCACAGTTTATTTGCAATGAATTTCTTTCGTTATTTTCTCTTCTGTTTACTTATTATTTATTATTTCATTTTATTTATTCTTTCATGTACAGTTTCAAGCGGCTCTGCTACAGAGATGGGACCTCCCGTACTTCATGTGCGCCTTCTGTCCATTCATCCAAATTCTGTCTGTGAACGTTTCGATCTTCACGCTGACAGCGATCGCGATCGATCGACATCGAGCGATTTTGAAACCATTCAGGTACGTCCAGTAATTATTAATTACTAAGGCGTTAGAATAAAATACTGCGGATTTTTATGCAAAATCACATTTTAGAAAGTTGTTGATAAAGATAAAAACACAAGTAGGAATTCCTTTCTTCCCTTAACTATATTATTGGATTCAAAAGAAAATAGAAAAATCGTTGCATCTGACGAAACTTTTGACCTCCATTGTATTTCACAGACACCTAGATTATTAATGATTATAAGCATAGTCTGTGATATGGTGTTAACAGTTTTGTATAATAATTTGATATAAATTGATATATGGACGATAATGAGCTTCGTGGAAAGCTAACAATGCCGTAACCGTGATTAATGTTTCCTACAAGTGGAAGTAGTAAATAATAACCAGACAGAATAAACCAGCCGTGTTCGAAAGCACGCATAAATTTTCATTCTTGAGATTTTTTTAAAGCGAAACTTCGAATTTAAAAAATGTAATTAATATTAGTGTGTCGCACTTTCTTAATCATTATTGAAATCAATAATTGTTTAAATATAGAATAGTTTAAATACACATATTATTATTATATATTAAAAATTTAATATTATTTAATTTCAGCTGTGTTCACTTTTATATCTATATAAAAGTATGTTTAATTAGTTTTTATCTAAGCATCATATGGTACAGAAGTATGTTTAAGTATTTTATAGAAAAACATATTTTCTAAATTCTATTTTCATAAGATGAAACAAAGATCTTTAAAGAATAAATTGTTTTATTCAGGATGGATATTTTATTCTACATATAACTACAAAACTAACATATAGTGTTTGTAATAATGATATTATAGTTGATAATATCGACTACTAATACACTACACGAATTTAATCCAATAAATATAGCTAAATATCATATGTTTTTTTGGGATGTATATGTATAAACAGAGCTCATTCTTGTATGCGAATAGTGTTCCAAAGATTACATATAAAATTAATTTGATTGAATTCTGTTTGTTTAAAATTTTAAGAATCATCAAAAAAGTTTCAATTATTATTCTTATTGGTCGAAACTTACATATAATAAATGGTCTGCGGCCGCCCCTGGGTTTGGCCGTCCAGGTGCGATTGCACCTTTCATACCACCGCCAGGAACGGTCCTGAATGTATTATGCCAAGATTATTCCTGAGAGGAAAGAATCTTTGTAGAAAATGGTCCTCAATATTAATTGTTTCCTTTCTGCCACGGCAAGCACAGTGGCGAGCATCGTAATAATTTTTCCCTCTGACCCAAGCACGTAACTATTCCCGATAGCGCGAAGCCAAGCAAACTAACTGCTAAAATGATCATCATCGGGATTTGGTTGGTCGCCGGAAGTTTGGCGACACCGATGGCAATCGCGCGCCGAGTCCAAATGGTGCGGGAATACGGGTATGGTAAGTTAATTCCTCGATCGATTTATCAATTAGGTATATTAGGTGTATCAATACCTAATCCACCATCTTTGTAATCGTGAGAACAACATATAGTACATATCATTTATAAACATTTAATAATTTTTAAATTTACAATTTACATTTAGTGCCTAATGGTCATTCACTGGTATGCAATCAATTACTGGTTGGTTTACCCTACTTTAACCCACTAACGACCGCACGTTTAAAACGTCTCATATAGGCATCACTATGTTTCGATGAAACCGTTATGAATAGATTATTTCGAAATGTAATAACAAGAAATTTTAACTTAATGAAGTAAAATTATTATTTTTCCTAAGCAACCTATGCAATTGAGAAAAAAAAATAAATATTTCAAAGTGCCAAAAATGGCAGATAACCCATGTGGTGTAGTGGTACGCCTATGGTCGTCAGTGTCAAATATTTCTTTAAGTAAAAATGGTGTGGCATGAATTAAAATCACTATGAATATCAGTTAAACAGTGTAAGTCCTTGACTTGTATAGAAATGTGTACTAATTACGTCGACAAAAGGTAGATTACTTATTGGTATACCTAATAATTATCACGCGTATTCACGTGTACATATTCATTTAATTTCACAAATATTTCACCCGTAAACACGCCGAGTAACTTGTATAATCAGCGGCGCTCGTTCATCCATCGTATAAATCACCCTCTTTTAGACATTCGCGTAAAATTTGAACAATTTTCTGCGTTTCGTAATGTACTGGCACTCGTAAGTAGACTGCGGATGTTTATGTAAATATACGCCTTTAACACTTTGACTGCCACGTCAGCCAAATATTGGTGACACATAGATTGAAAAGAGGCTGAATTATTTGTGTAAACGAAGAAGTTTTCAAGAAAGAATTATTTTAATCGGTGCATTTCTATGAATTTTTAGTGAATCCGGTTCATTACAGACCGTTTTGCCGCAACGTGAATCTATCCGAGACCTTGATGTTCATTTATAAAGGACTGTTGGTGTTTCTGCAATATTTGACACCGCTATCAATTATTTCTTGCATGTACGCAAGAATAGCGTTGAAACTGTGGGGCAACAAAGCGCCCGGAAACGCGGAAGGTTCGCGGGATGCGAACCTGATGAAGAATAAAATGAGGGTACGTGAATTTTGCTCTATAAAAATGTACATACGAATTCTTGACACGTAATATGAAATTCCATGTTTTTCTTTACTATACGAAAACATATAATCGCAAATAAACTCAACAGTGAACATTAAAATTCAAAGAAAAAATAGAAATGATAAGTTTTTTGTTGAAAAAATTCTTTTGTAACCGAAATTTTAATAAAACAGGACTAATTTTTTTATTAATTGGAAAAGCATTACAAATTTAGATAAGAAAAAAATGAAATGGTCTAATTTACAATATAAGTACTTTAAGTAAATTTGATTTATTATACAGAAAACTGTTGTTTGTAACTGAAATAGTTATATTACTTAATCTGAATGGTTAATGTACCTAATTTTTGTTATAAATTTGCAGAAACAAAGCTTCACATATTAAACGCCTTATACACGCGTAGACGAAATTTTGACGCGACACAACGAAAGAATACGAACATAATAAACTACAATAATGATTCGCATTTTGCAGAGAATTTTATTTCATTCCAAAATCACAAGCAATATTTTATAGTTGAATTATCTAGCAAATTTCTGTTACTTACTTTATTTACAGGTTATCAAGATGCTGATCATTGTCGTCGCTGTTTTCTCACTCTGCTGGCTACCTCTTCAAACGTACAATTTTTTTCAACATTTCTATCCGCAAATAAACCGGTGAGTAGTTTAAAATATATCGCAGGAGTGTATTCCACTTGCTTTTATGTTACAAATCCATAAAACGAATTGAAATTGCAGATACGAATACATTAATTACATATGGTTCTTCTGCGACTGGCTGGCCATGTCAAACAGTTGTTACAATCCACTTATCTACGGAATATATAACGTATGTATCCATTATTCTAGTAAAACATGTATTTATATAAATAAATTAGATGAAAATTCGTAAAGAAAGTTTGTATAAAAAAATACGAATAATTTTTCAGGGAAAATTCAGAAGAGAATTCCAGCAAAAATGCCCCTTTAAATTGCGAAAATGGTCATCTAGTCCACCAATCGATAACACGGAAATGGATAAAACTCGGAGTAGCCGAACCTCCATTAGGTATGCTTTTCAATACTTATATCTGGACCCCAAAGCCAGAGACATCAAGCCCACTTTTAACAAAAATAGCATTTTACATGTTTCTTATATGAAATATTTCAGTGGTCAAAATTATTTCGTTCCAAGTCGTCTAGTTTTTAATATAGGAACATAATAGTCTAACAATAATATTAAGTTCATTTTTTTAAAACAGTGTTCATCACATATTTCTACATATAGAGAAATGCCTTAAATCCTTTCAATAGTACAAAATTAGTGATTGTTTCTCGCTGAATTCTTTCAATGGTTTTCACACCTTTGATTTGCACTCTAAACTTTGAAAAGTGACTTAATACACTCTGGCTCTGGGGTCTAGATATAATTTAAACGAAATCGACTGATTACCTTCCAATTAACTACTCGAACAAACATGCATGATCCTTATAAATTGCCACAAAGAATATAAAGAAAAAGAACGGAACTCATTTATGATGAATGTTTATGTACCAATTTTCATAATTCAGTATCACAAAAATCAGATTCGAAGGAAGATTTATTTACTGCACACACTCCTGTTCGCCATGAATGTATCAAATTCACAGTTCGATTATCTTTCTTCTTGTTCACTATGTTCGAAATGAATAATTTAAATGGAATTTATCGGACGGTATCTGGAACATTTCTAGATACGAATGGAAACGAACAATATCCAGCAGTTATCCGGCGGTCACGTCCTTTTATAAAGGTACGCCGATGAGGGGATCAACCCAATCGTCTATCGATGACCACCAACCCTGTACACGCAGTAAAAAAGGAATCGGTCACTACATCCGTAGGGGCCACGAGAACAATTGCTCGATGTCGTCGAACAGAAGCGAAGAATTGTACGTCTTCTCGTCCCGGAAACACGTGCAAGATTCCGTCATGGAGGAGCTACGTCTGTAACATCGTGAAACGCATAATCGGAACACGTGTATGGAAGACCATCAACAGAAAGAAAAACTGTACTCCGCTCAAAATACCAACTCTTCTCTAATTGTTTCCACGCATTCTGTACACAGAGAAAACACGAATGAACGATCATCTCCTACTTAGTCAACGAAGCTACCTAAATATTAACATATTAGGTACAATTTCCTTTTAGACTAATTTACATCGTTGCTCAGACCAGTCAGTGATCCTTATATGTATGTATACCTGAAGATTAATACACTTGCAATTAGTTATCGTATGTTCGTTTTACCGATGTGTACATACCATTGTACATAATGTGAATATCTGCATTTCTTAGATAAGTCATCTGTAGTGATCCTAAAAAATTCATATGACTTGTTCCTCTTTGTATTTAACAAGAAAACGATCAAGAATCTGACGGTGTGTTATGTACCAGTAATAGAATTTATGGGAGCCCTGAATCGCAGAAAATATGTGGAAATTAATAAAACAATAAGATTCGATAGTGGAAGTTACTCTAGAGTTAAATTGAGTTCTCGTATTGTTTCGAAGTACATTCATTAAGAACACAGTTACCCAACGAAGGAAGGAATTCCGGAAGATGCATAAGGCTGTGACGTTTTTAGTAAAATATTATTCTTTTAGTGTACAAACTTTTATATACCTGTTTTTTTTTTGTAAAGAAGAGATTGTATATTGTACATAGATATTTTCAAAGCATTGAAAAATTTAGAATTTTAATGATTTTCTTCGTTTGTTCTACATGAAATCGAAGGAACATTGTGTGGAATGTGTTATGACAAAGCATTTCTCTTATAAAATTGATTATGATGATCTCATTTATAATTTTAATTATAATCTTAAATGTTTTTTTAAGCAAATTAAACTCCTGAATACATATTGGTAACAGTGTTTTGTTATGTGACATTAAAATAAATGTGACTATGATATACCCAGGATAATATTTTTAAATATTACTGTACAAGTCGTCAATAAAATAGTAACATAATATAAAATAGAAAATTTCATTGATTTAATTATAAAATATTACACTCAGTTAAAGGAAGTAAGTATGATTGACTTGTAAGTGTATTTACACGACAAATGAAAAAGATCGGTATTTAATTTACACAACAAATTGAAAATATTTATATATTCTCCATAGTATTGTAATTGTCTGTATTGTGTGCATATCATACGTAACATGTATTTTTCGAATAACTGTAAATGCATCGAATGTAAGAAAAAAAAACAAAAAAAGCATAAACAAATAAGAAATAAAATTGGAGTTGATGTCATTTACTACGTTAAAACAATGGAGAAATGTTTCAAGTCGATATTTTGTGAGATATACTAACATTAAAAACTTTATTTCTTGTTAAATGAAGTGTTAATCTATTGCTTTCGTAATGACTAGAATGCAGACTATTTCCGTGACTGCTACAACTTACATATTTATACTTACTAAAATTAGTTTACAACGCATAGGAGATTTACCGGACATAATAGCAACTCTACAATTGCAGTTACCGACTGCTGTCAGCTTTTAGAAACTAAGTTTTGTCATATTCAGTTAACTCAATGGTGTGTCGTAAAATCGGAGTTTCTGAAAGAGAAGTTACAAAATAATTTTAATCCTACTGGAATCGATGAATCAGAGCAAGAATTCAGTTTTGAAAGGAAACAAGTTTACAGAATTTCGTTGAATCACACTGCAAAATAAGAACCCTCTCCGAATTGATATTGCATGGTGTTGAAAAGGCTCGAACGTCTCCAATTACAATTTCGGCTACCGAAACAGGGGTATTGTATACCTGAACACCACTCATTTAAAGGACGTTTTATTTCTGTAAATATCATGAAAAGTATAATACCTATAATGCAAAATATAACAAATTTATAACTATGAGTTTATATAAAAAGTAAAGCTCTGTTACATGTAAACTATTGGCTACACTTACGAGGGTCACTTCCAAAGTATAACCGTAATTTTTTAATCAGCTATTGCTTGTTTATGGTACACTTCCCATATCCCCTTTTGAGCACAGATGCTAAATAGTTTACAAGATATTAACAATTACAATTCTTTATTGTGCGGTATATCCTTACCTATTGGTAATGCATCAATGATTTCAACAACCTCTTTGGCACAACGGTTAAGTGTTCAACTACAAGAAATACACTAATCTTTGAACATGGGTTCAAATACTGGTGTGATAAATATTTTTTCATTAGTTATATATATGTTTTTGTAATTTTTAATGAACTACAAACTGAGGAAAGTTGATTAAAAAATAAGGGTTACACCTGGGCAATTCCCTTCATTTGTTCACAGTTCCATGGGTTAATCAAAATTTACATTATTGCGTCGTTCAATATCCTTAATTTCTAACATATCTGTCTTAAGATGCAATTTCATTATTTCTCGCCAAATGTCCATTCTGTGTTGTTCATTATCGATTCCCAGTCTCAATAAGATATTTTCATTAATTCTCAGCAATACTCTCCCTGTGACATCATGCTTAAATGACATTGTCCATACATTAATTACCAGAAGCACAAAAATATAACTGAAGCAGGTACAAAATAAATGCTTTCATGTACTATAATCCAATGAGATACTTACATATAAAAATTTCTCATGATATAACTGGTAATAATCGCTACAATGCCTCCTTAACCATTTTTGTACATCCAACACATTCCACAAATAAACTGGACGTGGTCGGGTAGTTTTAGTCTGTGATATTTAGTTATAATCATTGAGGGTATAAAAATATTGAAATTTAAGGACATAAATTAATGAAATCTACTATTATGTCAAAACATACCTTTGGCTTATTAGTAGAATTAACTACCTCCTCTACCATTATGTGTGAAATGTTGACTATACAGTTATAAAAACCAATGTTGGATTGCAATATACACAAACATTAGTTTCTAAAATAAAGTACATAGATTACGACGATTTCACAATTTTGACAGTACTTCTTGATAACAATGTATGTGCTTCGTCCCTAGCGTCTAGATACCAGACATTATAATATCAAATATACGACTACAATTACAATATTTTCATTTCCCTATTATCTTACGATAGTCCACAAAAATTGACAGCCAATTGTTGTCTAAAATAGTCTAAATGGACTAACAGACAGACTCGCGACAACTTTAGTGTACAATGCATCCAATACAAACTGGAATTGCACGACATGTCACTAGTAATTCTGATTACATATTTTCCTCAACTGTTTGTTGAATTCCCCTGAAAGCCAGTTACTACACTTTTTAATTCACATTTCATTTTTTGTAGACAATATATAACATCAACTAGGTATACTTATTGTTAGAACAGACCTATAACATCTAATGCTGATTCTATACCTCGTAAGTGGTAACACGAAGTCCCGTAAGATGATAAGTCTATTCTATACCTCGTCTGTGGTTGTATATTTAAAAAAATAAATGCATAATAATTCAACTTTTTGTTATAGTTAAAAATTATTAACATTTTTTGTGTATTGTATGTATCTCTAAAACATATAATTATTCAATTCTGGATCTTTGTGTAAAATCACATTTATATGATTAATTTGTGTATAAAAATATACATTCTGTTTAACGTTAAACAGAAATTCATTATTCGGTTTAAAATACATTAGAATCGCTATTACTATATTATTGAAGTTTCTGTTGTATTTCATACCTTTATAAATTCTAAAACTGACAAATGTTAACATTAAATTTAATTCGGTTTAGTTATGTTTTTATTTTATTTGTAAATGGATAAAATTCTTAATAGAGTAAAATATTTTTGTTTAATTCTAGTTCCTGTAAATTAGGCCATAAAAGTCTTTACATAAATAAACATCTGTAATCTACCGATAATTATAAACGTTCTATGCATCCCGATTCAAATGCGCGTTCTGAACAACTATGAAGTTTTCTGCTAACGTTTGTGTTTGCACTTGACGCATCGAGTGTCGACAGCTGTTGGCCTTCGGCTGATTTCAGTGCAATTCGAATTTTCGCGTGAAAATCGGTGGGATTTATTTTTTCTTCTCGGTCTGCAAATGTGGAGTCCTTCGCCGTTCGTCTTCTTTCGCGACAAATTCTTCGGTAAATGAAACAGTCCACGGTGGAATGTGTTTCTACGCGTGGACTTCAATCCAAGGTAAACCCTTGCGCGTAAATTACATGGATTTTCGACTGAGCTCAAAAAAATTTTAGATTTAAAGCACTGTAGGAAATAAATCTAATGAATGGATAATAGTGAACGTTACTTTATATATACGGAAACTTAACACTATTTAAGTACTTAATTAGGTTTCCTTTTTCTTTTATAAAGCTTCGGTCGATAATTAAATCATAACATTTCTTCAAAAGTTTAATTTTGATTAGAGTTATACCTTTTATATAAGTCAGTAACCTATTTTGAACAAAAACTCGCCACTCTTTATTCGGTGGATTTTCTCATTGTTACGTGGCCGTTGACTTTGGTCGTAAATTATTAAAAGTAATTACCTATATTAAGCACGAAACAAAAATTCATGTTTTGCAGTCAGTAAAATTATCTTTCTCGGTATTGAGTAATTTAATTAACAACTTTTGAGAATATTGAATTTAATGAGGTTTTCTTTGTTCTTAGCTTATTATTGCATTTTTATTGAATATTTATTATTTGAATTAGCCATTCAAAAATTTTTAGTCTAATGTATGATATATAAAAATTAAGATAGAAATAATTTGATCAGCAACCTAAAGCTAATTTCTGTTAATTTATATTCCAGCAAATTTTTAGTGCACTGCTGTTTAATGATATTTACATCATTGTTTGCTCTTCGTCTGGATGGTTTCATAGAATGGAGTTATTGGTGTGTCTTTACACCAATATGGTTTTGGAAGAGCATGGTAATATTGGGTGCTACTGTTGGAATTTATATTTGGTGGAGACATCCACATGCTAGGCTAGAAGGAGATGCCTATGTACATTACAAGGCAATGTTAATCACATTGGCATTACATTTGATTCTGTTAATGTTTGAACTATTAGTATGTGATAAATTAGAATCCGAAAGACATCTTTGGATACTTGTATTTATACCATTGATCTTTATTTCAATAGTGTCAATAGCAGTAAGTATATTTTAATTATATATATATATATATCATATAAAAAAACACTGTCATTTAAAAATATGTGAATGCTAATTTTTTGCACATTTTGTGTCGTATGTTAAACCAGTATACATTCATTTTTTTTAAATACAAACATGTTACATCTTTAGGTATGTATTTGGGCTGCAAAACATGATCGGTCCTTTGAACTTGAATTATTTTGCGCAGTTAATGTATTGCAATTTATTTTCCTGGCATTAAGACTTGATGGTTTTATAACATGGAGCTGGGAAGTAGTGTTTGTGCCTGTTTGGACACTTTTAAGCTTGTCTCTTGTTGCTGTTCTATATGCAATAGTATTTGCTGCTGTTTTATTAAGAACACCACAAATTAATGCCAGACAAAGGCGGACATCTTTGAATTCGGCATTAGCATATACATTTCTTGTGGTTCCAATTTCAGTGTTCCAAGTAAGAATAATAATTTTTATAGAACGTGTATACAATTAACAAATTTCATCAAGATTGTATTTCAATTCATTCTAGGTGTTATTAGCAAACAAATTAGATGGAGACATTTCATTAAATTATACTACCGTAGCTATGCCACTTTTAATATCTCATATAACACTCATTTTTATGTCTTTTGATGCGAAAGGTGGAAATAGGTGTAAGAAAAAATAATTTTATTTCACTTAAAATTTAAAGTAGTAATATCACTACATATTTATTAATATTAATCAAGCATTGTTATTAATTGCAGGGTGGTTTGGCATTAGGAAAGATTTTTGTCATTTTTTACTAGGGCTTTGTCCATTGCTTCAAGAATATGGTAACATTTCGTACCAACCAAGAAGTGATCAGGATCAACCACCATCTGAACCAATGGTTTCAGAGAAAAATGAAAAACACATTAAGAAAATTGACCTAATGAAACCTGTTGTACCTATAATTTCCATTGATATGCCTGATTGATTGTTTCATTTAGGTTTGTATAAACAGTTATTTAGGTACACGTGTTTTAATCTTGATTCACTTTATGTGATATAACGTAGAAGAATATAATATCAAATTACTAATGTAACAACCCTCTTGCAGGATCGATTCGGGCATTTGAAATATTTCTATTGATATGACTGGTTAATACCAAGAGCCATATCATAACAAATAACAGACAGGTGCGTATATAATAGTGAAATCTATTATAAATAGTAAACTATTATTTTCAGTACGATATGTCGTAATGAAAATCTTGTTATTGTTAAACGTATTGTGCGCCAAGGCAATCATAACAATTATATTATCTATTTTGTTCCTGGGGCTTAAGCTTTTCACAATAATTGTAAAAGTTTCAATAGGGAGAATTCCAAAAAAAATTTTTTACGATCGATTATGGAAGGAGACGTATAAAGACGCTAAAGTTTTAAATGCATCAATGCTACATCAATGGCCCCTCGAACAAATTTAGTAGTCGTAACGCTCAAAAAGCAAAACGTTATGTCCTTCGAAGCCGTATAAATTTTTTATGTGTATTCAAACACCTAAACTACACGTAGAGTAGAGCTCTGCAACGGGATGGTCTTGTTCATATTAGCCCCACCGCGTCTCTCGGTTTAATTATAGTTTGTGGACGAGATATAGCGCAGTCTCGTATTCTAGCCCGAACAGGCATAAAATCTAGATCGATTTCAGTCGGGAACCATAACAGATTCTGGTAAACGAGAAGTAATTTAGACTAGGCCTGACTATGTGTACTTTGGTAAAAAAAAAATAAGATAATTCTAGTTGGGCCAAACGGAAGGACAACGTGGAGCAGACTAGACGTAGACTGCCCGTTGCGGAATTCTAACGTAGAGTAAGTGACTGACCCGTCCATTTGTTTGATTGCTCCTTTGTAATGATACGAGGTGATTGTCGACCTATTTTGTTATGCCTGTTAATAGTGAAGTTGCGTAATGATAGTATTAATGTTACTTTGCCAAAAGTAGTGGGTATAAAGAAACGATGAACATGCCTAAGCTGGTGCTAAAAGTTAACAATACTTTAGACACGTTTTGTATGCAGCTAACAAACTGTATTTAAACCATAATACGCTGTGATCTGTACAAAGCCGAGCTTGATTTACATCTACTTACGTTTCAAACCGACCTTCAATGTAAATAGCCCATACGTTAAAAGATCAAGTAGCGCTGTACAGGTCACACTTGAGAAATTGATTATATACAAAGTTAAGTCTCGGTTATCGGATTACATCAAATTTGTGAGCATGAAATTATGTGTTTGTAAGATAAAATAAAAATATATAAGATACGTTAATACAGTGAACAGTACAAATAATCAGATATTGTATTTGCAAATGATTTGAATAGATTTTTTAATACTTGTCTCTACTACGACATTAAAATATAAATTCTAAAATTGAACGAGACTTAACTGTACTTGTATATGTAGCAAATAGAAAGGAATCATTGCAATTAATGAGCGAAGGGATCGTTAATAGGGGGACGAAACTAAAATTATTAATTATATTTCAGTTTTCTCTTTGTGAAAATGCTTCATATATTTTTCAGCCTTTTTTTTTTAAATAATCCTTAATTTACTAGACAAATTTACATCTACATTTGGGACAAGTACATATGTTGATGACAGGCAATTATATAGGAACAAGAGCCATATATTTATATTAGAATAATTTTTCTACGTGTTCCTAAAATGTTTGCAATATTTTTTATTAAAATATTCATATTGATATTAGTAGATAGTCATTTTGATGTGTATGTCGACATGTTCAATGGGCTCTGTTACTTTAAGCGGTAAATTAGATTTAAATTCTTTTATACATTTACAACTCGTCAGTTGCTTAAAGATGCCAATGAGTAATTAGTGCATTTCCTAATTAATAACGTAACAAGTATGCGTCGTTGTTATATACCAAATAATTTAAATTTTACTGTATTCTTTGAAATCACTATGTCTTTCAAACAACCGAAAACTAATACCGTGTTCAGGGATTGAAATAATTTCTAACTAAAATAAATTGTTACTCGAGGAAAGATTTAAAATATACTGTTTTTGTTTAATTATATGATGAACAATATTTTTGAGGTGGTTGTGAGAATGTTCGTTTACTAAAATCTAACAAAGTATATAGAAATATACCTATGAAAAAAAGTTTCGAGTAATTGTTTGGGACCCAAGAACACATTTCATTGGAAATCAAAGAGTCTATTGAGATAAGATGTACCTGGTATATATATATTTCAATCTCTGATCATGTTCGTAAAAATGCAGAAACATTTGTTCGATAGGTTGGTTATGCGTTATGTGTGCGTTGTAACATTGAATCCTTTATGATAAAAAGATAACAAATTTTTGTATGTATCAATATGGTCTGTTGTACATGAAGCGTAAATTGTTCAAATATTAGGTTTTTAATCGGCCTTAATGAGACGAGAGATCGGATACATCGGCTGGGATACAAGACTGAGTACTTCGCATCTTTATAATAACATCGGCAAGATGTAAAAAGCAAAATAATCGCGTGACTTTCAAGAAGAGACGATTAAATGATAAGAGCATTGTTAACGTTAATAGATACCATTAATTATTAAGGATACCCAATCAGTTATTGTGTTATGATGTAGAAATAATGTACATAGTCTGTTGTATTACAATAACATTATAGACTATATTATTAATTATTGTATATTATACATATCTACCATGAGCGACGATCGATAAATAAGTAGTGGTATCATTTTATTTTATATACTCCATACGCAAAAAAGGTACCATTATAATCTAATAAAGTTTATATTTTTTGGTATTAACAGACACGAGCAATTTTTACAATATGTCGCTTTTTTCGTTCTTTTTTCATCGTGTCGCATACAACGCATAACATATTTCGTATTATTCGAACATTTAACAAAAAATATAAATTCACAACAACAATAACAATATGCAGTTACATTTTCGTATTCATTTTTCCCATAAATCCAAGTGTCAACAATAGGATCGTAGCCAAAATATGGAAATTCTTACTTGAAACAATCAGGCGATTATTCCCAATTTAAAGGCTTCAGAAGAAATTACGTAATATTTTTGTGAAAATTGAGTTATTTTTCAGTCAATGCAAGGTGGTATCTGATGTCCATTCACATAGTACCTTACATATTTCACTTTGTCCTATCACAGAATAAAAAAATACAAAGAGGATGAATAACGTATGTTATAGACAAGTGCAGGAAGAAGAACTTTTCAACTCAATTTATTAGAAACTTGATATTTATACCATAACACTTCCATCCCCCGAATCCTTAGTTTCAAAGTGATTCTTATTTTTAAAGAATAGTTCGATGAATATAAATATTATGAAACTTGCAAGTATACGATTTCTATGCTACGATTCAAAATCATACTTTTTTTTTGTGTGTAATCTGTTCATGTAAAAAATAGAAAACGCATATCCATACAATCTAAATATCACTTACGCACATTTCTGATATATGCGCACGCTATTGTCAGCCATTAGTGCATCGTACAAATTGATTCGAGGCACTGGTAAAACTTTCAGCTTCAGCACAAGGGAATGTATTCAGGTACCCATGTACGACCAAGTAGTACTGAAATCTTTTTTGATACTTTCGTTACGTCCAGCTCGGAATCTTCTATCAGTGATGTTTCCCAAACATACAGTATTTGTAAACGTTTTGCACACAGTGCTACGAATTCCAACAATCCTGAGCAACTGTGGACAAGAAAAGAAAAAAAAGACATCAGTACACCAAGGAGCAAACTCGGCTTCCGCTAGGAAAAAAGTTGCATTGGAGAAGGACCTCCTACAACTTGATAAATTTATTCCAAAAACTGAAAAAAAAAGGTAATAATGGCATGTTAATTTGACATACATTTCAATAATTCCCGAAACCAAATGGCGGAAGGTCTTTCCCTCTATGTTACTTTTTCCCCTAGCGGAAGCCGAGTTTGCTCGCGAGGGTACATAATGAAATTACATTTGCTTCAGCTAATCTGAAGCTGTGATGACTATAACGATTAAATTTCAGATCCTGACGATTTCAAAAATAACAGTTTTATGAATATAATAATTATATAATGAACATACCTGATTTCACAATCGCCCAAACCAACAGCACTTAGGCGTGGACAACCTTGGGCGATAGAAAGCAGCGAACGATCAAGTGTATCTGGTCCATATGCAGCAATTACTATCTCGATCAACCGAGGACATACGCAGCTAATGCGTAGCAATGTTGCTTCCGATGGTGCTTCCCCGAAGTATAAGTGTGTTGTAGGAACGTATGGCGTCAGAAATAGACTCTGATCGTCTTCGTTTGTCATGTACGACAATCTATATTATTGTAAAAAAGAAAGAACGTACCATTACTGTTATAAATTCAAATTTATATAAAATGTAACACATACATCTGATATACATATGCTGAAATATCGTCATTGTTGAATCATAATAAGAAATTTATATATTGTCACATTAACCCTTGTATAGGCAACTGGGTACCCGGTTATCCAGTTCTAAATTGTCACTTAGAATGAAATTTCACTTAGAAAGAATGCACTTACAGCACAAGATTTATGTTCGGAAGATGACTCGAAAATGTACACCAAGCTGTATCGCTGACTCGCGGAAGTGGTTTTATCTCTTGATGCACTTCCAATCGTAAGGTCTCCAGTTGCATCTGTTTCTCGGAGCTTAAAGCTAACAGTAATTCGTCGCTGAGTAAAGAATACGACAAACATAATTCTCGTAGATACTGGCAATAATTAACCAACGCCTGGATCCCTATAAAGCAAATGATTAATCAAATAAATCCCGTTTTGACAAAGACAAATTGGATCATATGATACATATGCAAACTTATAAAAAAAAATAGTTTTATATCGTAAGCAATATTAACTAATGGTGAACAAATACACATAAATTGAACATATAATAATTAATTATGCATTATATTATAGGAAGAAAATTAAGAAAAATCATTGAATCAATGATAGAGCATAATATGTATGATACCTTCAGGTAATAATCGTGGGAATTCTTTGATACGAAGAAGTTGCAGTGTTTTCGAGGCATCCTCATCTTTTCCAGATCGATCCTTACTTTCCTCGACAGTATCTTCGCTTGATATCTTCATGATGGTCTTGAACTTATCATTGTCAATCTCCAAAAATGCGGGCTTTGCAGTGCTCATTAGTGCCAGCATCTACAAATACACATCATAATTGTTAACTTTTCCCTGAATTATTAATAAACAAAGAATAACTTTCAGTCTTCTATAAATCACGTTGCAAATGACAGAACTTTGGCAGCAACGTAATGAAGGACCATCCCTTACGTTCGCCTCTAATAAGGTAGATTATTATACCCTTTTCGTGGAGTGGGACTCCCGACTGATTTTACAACTGGACACTGTAGATTTTGGCATAAAACCCGTAATATGATACTTTTATGGTACTCGAACTTCATTCAGGGCTGTCTGACGTCAACTGGTTCTTCCTTTTTGGTATATTTAATAAAATTTTGTACGGCATACAATTTGGAAAACAATCAGTTTTATTACACGTCGTCGACCTTTTAAGATTGAAAGAAACTAATTTGCCATTGTAGAGTTGCTATTATGTATTCTATTATGTATTGCTGTATTTACGGAAAAAGTTTATGTTTCTTAATCTTTGACAACTATGGGTTACTCTTTATTAATGCGGAAATTACATATTACTGAGCAAGAGATGGCGGGGGTCTGAGATGTAAAGTAAATGTACGTGTATATGTATACATTTACTCCTGTAAGATACGCACAGCTCTGGTTGCGCTTACATCAATGGGCCTTCGGTCACCCGCAAAGTGCCTAGTTATAAAATTATAAAAAAAATTATAAAACTTAAACAAATAATTGCGACCTAAGGCAAGTATACAATACAGGGTATAAGATTGCCAATTCATATTTGAAGATTGGCGAGCGGATTGACATCATTTGGGTCAATTTTTAAACGCTTATAACTAACAAACGAAATATTTGTTGCAATTTCATTATTCAAAGAATCACCCCTTAAATTTTTTCCCATTAGTAGTCGATCACCCTGTATAAACAATGGTCGTAACACCCAAAAAATGTAACACCCCAAAACCTCGAGAAACCAATGTGACTAGTGGAAGAAGATTCAACTTTCCTTTGGACCACTGTCGTAGAAACAATTTGGACGAAAAAAAAGAAAATAGTCTGTATTCCGGTGGCACACGATACAAAGTGAGAAATCCCGACGAGACCACGGAATACACGTTTGAATCGTGTCGATAACACGAACCTTGTTACAGGATGCCGTATGATAACAAGCTGCTGCAAATACAAATTTTTTCGGGGGCAAGCCACAGTGTGCTTGTCAGTCAATGAAATTGTTTTCCTTGTATTTAGAGGATAGCAAGAGAGAACGAAGGGCAACCGGGCGCAAGTGGTGTCTGGGAGAGTACTGCGGCCTGAGCTTGCCCACGGAGATCGTTGGTTACGGCCTTCGCGAAGGTGGTGCAGAGAAAAAGCGAAAGGACGACTGGAGTGGCGGTTGTAGGTATGTAATCGTTGTGCAATACGGCCAACATTGATCGTATTGGGACCATGCGAGTCCTGCGGCGAATAACGGCGACTAGTAGGACATGCACGTGCTGTGCTCGATGCAACGGTATGCGTGTGTGTACGCGGCTGTCCTCACGTTTACCCTTAACATTTTCATTCCCGAATTGTTAAAAAATTACCAAAGAAATATTTTCTTGTATTTTTGTGTATATTACATGCAGAGATGGGCAAGCTAATAATCTAGATAAAAAGTTTCGAATAACGAATAAAAGATCAAAAAAACTATTTCATTTTTAATTGTTTAAACGTGGAAATTTCAATTTTTATAATAAAATAATACTTTATGAATGAATCGACATTTCTAAAACTCAGAACGACACCCTTAGATACTGCTGCTTTTTACTGTGTATTATTCGAATAAAATTATGCCCTTCTCTAATTACATGACACATAAATAATTGACATTTAACATTTGGGAACTGTTTAATGTCTTCAGGAACGAATTTATTAGGATCAAAGGAAAATAATCGTTTTTTTTTTTAGTTTCCTACTGTAGGTACTTGTTTAAAATATATTTATTAATATTAGTGGCAAATAAATTTCTGCTCTGGTTAATATATATTATATTAATAAAAAAGAATTTTGTAATCATTTTCCTTCGAACCAGGTAGGTATCGATATCTTTGATGCGATACTAAGTAGACATTGATCCTTTTTTTCGATACAAGTAATGAGTAAAAGAATCGATACCTTGACGGTATTGGTTTATCCTTAGTCACACGACGGCGAGACCGGTAAAAGGATCGGCGACGAGCCAAGCGTGCAAACGCGTTCCTAAACCTCACCTGGCTACTCACGTGCTTACGGTTACCACTGGTCACGTGGATCGTTATCCAGGGTATTTTTTAATTTAACAAAAAATATTTCAGGCAATATAGCAAGAGAGCACCATGGAGGAAGGTATTCATCTCCAAATACCACGGGCAAGCTTATATAATTTGCATTTTTATCCGAACGTATTAGGACAAGAAGACACAAACATGAATTTGTTTATATTCGATAAGAAAAGAGTGCTAACATAATTAGAATGTATGGCATTTGGACAAAGTAATATGGTGAAAGGACAACAGATCTCTTTGAAAGATAAGATTCCTTCTAACTACTGCGTTCTGTCAATCAAGCCGGAAGATGCTAATGATTCAATTGTATCGATTACGAAGGAAATCCAGAAACGTGACCAACGAAATAGGTAAATACGGTAACATCGGTGATACGTTAAGACCGGCCGTTAAAACAGTACGTGCAAATATTTAATATTTCACGGAATTAATAAAACGTCTGTAATCTCTGAAAGGAGGTCATGGACTTGCTGGAGCTGCCTGGTCCCAGTAGACCATTCACGTGTTTCTCCATTGCGACTCACGTGTATCACCGAAGAGAAAGGAAACATATAAATTACTAATTAAACATTAAAACCGTCGAACGATCAAGCTGGTTTCTGTTCTACCGTACCTTAAACGTTTCGCTTAATATTCCATTTCATCGTAATAATTCTTTGAGACGGGAATTAATTTATTTAACATTAATTCGTGAAACGGGAACAAATGAAATTGAAAGATTATAAATTCCCTACATTAGTCACTACGTTATAATTTTGTTTTGCAAAATAAAAGAACTACTTGAAGGAGAAAAAATTATAACTTCACTATTGTTAATCATGACTCGCTAAAACGAACAGACTTATGTACAAGGTGTCTCAGGTCGGATAGTACAATCAGGGCAGTAGGTGATTCTGTAAGAAAAAAAAGATTTGGCTAACGCGTCTGTTCGTTGCAGGCCGTTACTAATTACTGCCAGCACAAATTACACGCGATTTACATGAATTTTCAAACACAATTTTCTCGAAGACAAAACCTCAAACGAAAAAAATTTATTCTGTTTTTCTTGTCGAGTTTCTTTTTTTTACAGTTGTACTGCCCCATTATTTATCTGAAGAAGTGTTCAAGATGTGACGTTTGAAAATGATCAAACTTTGTTTATAGAAACGACAAAAATAATCGTCTGCAGTAAGGTCGTTCAAAAATTCATAAATTCATTAATTAATTATTCATGCTAAAACATATTTTCGTATCAGTCGTTTAGGTAATAGCCGTTAACCATCGACCTCCAAATATTAACGGAAAATAACGTAATTTCTTTCATACATTATTATTCACAAAGAACCAAAGCACGATATTTTGTAAATATTCGACGCAGAGGTAGTCTACGTGATTATCAGGCATTATCCCCACCACTGGGGGAGGGGGCGTGAAATCTATCAAGCGCATACTTTGTTGTACCTCCGCTTTTGTTGCCGAGGTTCAGGCTTAGGGGAAAAAACGAAATTACGAAGGTCTGAAGCATTTCTCCCTATTAGATTATTGTCCTGGCGCGGACCCGAGTTTGGGACGGTAATCGACAGGAGTCTGTACATGGAGTGCCTAAAACTCTTTTGCTTTGGTTGACACTTTTCTAATCATTTTAAAGATGTACACCAACGAGCAAACTCGGCTTCCTCTAGGGGAAAAATAAATGTAGGGGTAAGGGCCTCGTACCGCTTGATAAATTTATTTCAAATAGTGAAATAAATGTTAAACCGAATGTTAATTTAGCATACATTTCAATAATTCCCGATACCATTTTCGTAGTTCATCATAGACGGTAGTTACGAATTCCATATACGGAATCAGGCGAACGTTCGAACAACGACAGACGAAACGAAGGCGTTTACAATTACCTATTTTACCCCGGCTGCGATTGAATGTTCCGTTGCTCCAAAACGGCGATCGGTGAGTTATCGTATGTCCCGTGACACAGGCAAACAGGATGATGATCGAAACTAGTCGCCGGAGGAAAATCGTGTTTATTGGAAGCGAAACCCATTTACTTTCGCATTGGCTGCTCGCTAGCATCAGATTCGGATGCCCGTCAAGCTGCACCTGGAACAAACACGCGTAACCTTAACCGCGCTGTAATTAAACGCCATTAGCGTGTGGTCTAACCGATAATCAGTGACGAAAAAAGTATTTTATCAAAGGACAATCATATTCTCGATACTGTTAATACGTTCACTACTACCACACACATCATGATTCGTCACAATGAAAACTTTGGATCATTAAAGACCCACACGATATTTACATGAATCGTTGTTTGAAATCACAAAACGGCACGTAACATTCGAGGGGAACCAATAAGACCATTTTGTCAGAAGTTCTTAATGTTCCTTGAAGAATACACACATGTGTCACGAATAAAATATCAAAACTACAGTACGACTGTGCAGAGACAGTTCCTCCAAGAACAAACGGCGGTAGCGAACGTGTGAAGAATTATTTATATTACAACTTTCCTTAGCACGAAATTTAAGGTTACGCAGTGAATCCAGCACAGTGCTCGATAAATTTTAAACATCGTCGTAATCGACGTTCGAATACACGAGTACCAATCACCTGACGGAAAACAAAATTATCAATTTTACCAATAATGTCAAACAATAGTGAAGGAACACCTATTACACGTACAAAATTACTATAGCTTTTAAATGTGAAAACGTGTCGACGACCGTTATTCTTCCCTCCTTAAACAGCGTAGAAAATAAATGGCTGCGTTCCAATATTTGTGCTACCAGCTACCGTAGCAAATCAGTCGCGATTTAGTACTGAGCTCGCTGTTTTGCTGTCTATCGCTCCATAGCTGCGACGCCGTCGCACGTTATTAACGGCTGATACACGTGTTCTCGCGCTCACGTGCACTGCGGCTATTGCTACCTATACAGGGTGTTCGCGATAATTTGTACCATCCTTTTTTCCGTATACGGTAAACATTAGAAAAAACCGAAAAGGAGGAAACTGTAGTATATTTTACTAGTAATAGGATAGCGTATCTAAAGTTTTTATATTTGTGATATTTTTCTAGAAACGAAGGTAACCTTAGTTTTTTTAAATGGAATGCTACATATTTTTTTACATCATATGAAAGCGGGCATTAAGACGAGTTCAACCATGTAGTATACTATGGTCTTCAGGGTCATATAAAGGCAGAAATAAATTCTTAGAAATGCATTCTTATTAATGAAAGTCTCATTGAACACGCGATGTATTTTTATTAATACAACATACTAGTAAATACAATATTACGAAATATTAAATTTATTTCTTTTATTTCTGCTCTTGTATGACTCTGAAGACTTGGACTCGACTTAATGCCCGCTTTTATATGATGTAAAAAAATATGTAGCATTCCATTTAAAAAAATTAGGGTCACGTTTGTTTCTAGAAAAATATGAAAAATACAAAAACTTTAGATACGCTATCATATTACTAGTAAAATATACTACAACTACCTCCTCTTTGATTTTTTTCTAATGTTTACCGTTTATGAAAAGAACGATGGTACAAATTATCGCGAACACCCTGTATATGTATCTATGTATCTTTGACACGCGACATGCGTCATCACTGCTACGAGAAGTTTCCTCCGTTACCATGTTCTGTGAAGTGTATGAAAATGGGGATTACGCTGTTTACAATCGAGCCTGGGCGAACTGGACATATTTATATTTAGTTAACGAAAGATACCAATCTAATGATACCTCAATTGAAGTTCGGTCACAATAAATATATATCTATTGTTGAAAAAATATCCATTTCTAATCAGTTACTTCTTATTTTATTCAACGAACGATAGAGGAAATGACAGGAAACCTTTCGTAAGATATAAAAATAAAGTCTTTTGTGTTCGTTTATCTTGTCTGGTCAAATTAACAAGATCATCTCTTCGTCATAAAACACTGATCTACGCGAAAACGAAATATCATCAAAGCGTCAACAAATCTATTTAAAAAAAATAAGAAAAAAAAACGACAATAAAAATTTAATTGAAATTAATCAACGTACACATTTGGTCAGGAAAAAACATCCATTTCTGTGCCAACGTATTTACCAAGTACGACGTCTCGTTAATTATCGTTCACCGATTCTAAATCAAAACGCATTAGAGCGATTAGTGGGAAAGCGCCTATGTTGGTACTATCGTAGATTACTTTTAAACGACCGATATTGAATGAAGAGAAAAAATAGAGAAGTGGTTTTCACCTGAACGTTACACGGTGTTTTTGTTGCGACGAACTACCATTGAACTGCAGTCTCCAAAGGATTAGGAACGACTGAAGTGTATGCATTTCAGGAGCGTAACGTTCAATAGCAATTCAATTTAAAACAATATTACGACCAATATTTAAAACACCTCGATAACTACTATTTGAGCCGTTGACAATATAATAAAACGATGAAAAAACAAAGAAATTCGTATTTAGATGAAGTATAACCGAGACTAATAAGGATGTACATATGTATGTACTAAAGATTGTTTATACTCTTAAATGAAGAATAGAAATAAAAATTATGTTTTACAAGAAAGTCTAACCGCGATTACTTCGTCTATATATGTAATTTAATATAAGTACGAGAAGGATTATAATATTATGTATTTTCAGCCACCGAATTTTGTTAATCATAATTAATTTATGAACGTTAGTGAATATGTACAAAACTTCATTCTCCTTTTATTTAACCGATTGATGTAGTCTGTTTAGTGTTCCAATGCAACACGATAGTAGCAACACAAACAAGACGGATAAACTTGTGTCATACGTCCTTCCTCCACGAGCCAAATGCAGTTGAATTTCGGATACATACATAGGTTGAATATAACTACACATAATGTAGACTTTTGTCAACTGTTGTTAGGGATTACAATGCATGTACACAAGCGTATAAGTTTTCTTTGCAAACAACAACCACGACTAAATTTGTCACTTACTGTACGTTACACTAAACATTTAATCCATGATTTTATTTTATAGTTTTCAGGCGATGTACTTTCTGATTCAGTCACCAATAGTTTGCGAGTGACTCATGGTGACCACATTTCTGTTGTTCTCTCTTGTTCACTCTTGTTGCCGCCAGTTGACGCTACAGACGTTATCTGTCAAAGTTTTGCAAACAGTTTCTTATAATTCAAGTGCGTTTCGTAAAGAATCAGTTATGGATCCAGAGAAAAATGATGTTTGCCATCTCTCTGACGTTGTTTTAAATGAGAATAGTAGCAGTGTCACACAAGTATGTGATTTAAAGATGTGCGTTAAGATTTCTTTGTTTATACACCTTTGAAATAATTTCAGGGTCTTAAACCAAAAAAACGACCAAAGCGCGTATTACATTTTTCGGATGGTGATTTAGAAGAATATTCTGAGGATGAAACGGATAGTCCAGAAGAAATGAAAGCAGTAACACAAATGGATCCAGTTGAGTTTTGATTTATGTTATTCATATATTATACGAAATTTTTCAGTTATTCTCGAATTAATAAATAAAAATTGTATATAGAAGAGTCTTGATTGGGCACCTTGGGCTTGGTACCAGACGACATGGCTTGGTAGCAAAGTATTAGATGGTTGTGATTATGCTGGTGAATGGTTAGCCAGCTTTTTTGGAATTACAGCTCCGAAATATCAATTTGAAATTAACGAATTCTACAGACTTCAAGCTCTTGAAAATGACATTCAACGTAAACAGGACTTAGAAATGGGTGGGTGGAACGAACAGAACAAAAATAATCTTATAAATGACAATAATGTACAGTGACATAATTTGTGTTTTGTAAAGTTTATTCATTGAATTGTTCACTTATTATTAATTAACAATGTTCTATGTTTCAATATTGTGTATGGAAACAATTTAAAATATTTGAATGTGAATTCAATTATTTAAATAGTAAACATAAAAGAAGGTTATCGCTTTTTTAAAATATCATAGGTATTTATAAATTTTGTTACATACATGTGTACTAATACAAATGTTTTATATATTATTAATATGTATCATTCAATGAAAATTGATGTCACGAATATATTTAAGTATACAAATGTTATATAAAAAGCTTAAGAATACTTTTTGTATTTAAAGTCCACTTGAAAAAATACAGCAATTCGACTGAAATATTTGATCATTTAACAAAGTAGGAAAGCTATTCTAGATCCTTGAATAGTGAAAATTCTCAATATATAAAAATTATATAGTTTTAGAAATGTTTAGTATTAAAATACTTTTGTACATAAATTTAGAATATCAATTCTGACACACAAATGTTGTACAATTAATGAATATATTGTAATAAATCAAAAGCATATACATGATTATTAAATACATTAGTATTTAATAAACCTAATTCCATAATTTCAATTCTCAGTTTTCACATTATAAATGGACCTGACTAATAATTTTTTTATAAATTTTTTATTAGATCTTGAGAATGTTCCCTTAATATTATATTAATATATTCATACAAATGAAAAGAATAAACTTTATCACGTCATAAGGTTTACAATTAAGAAAAACAATGGAAATTATATTTGAAATAATTCTGACAGTATCATATTATACTGTATCAAAGTGTACAGTTTTAAAGGAACATTCATAAGTTCTATGTATACTTGCTTTTTGCACAGTATGTACCTGCAGTCTGTTATAGCAGGAACTGATATATCTTTTATGTATAAACATGAAAAGTCTATTACGTTTTTAAAATACAAAAACTTATGTTTCTGGCACAAACCTATGTAAAGCACTAGTTAAGACTAGTAAAGAGCTTTGAAGGCCCTGAGGTAAATGCCTCTGTAACCATGAACCCTTATATTGCTCTATGTGAGCCAACATTTTATTTGCTACATCAGTCCTAAATGTAGGTGGAAGATTACATACTCCTAAATTAATAACTGCGAGACCCATATTGCTATTAGGATTAACACCAACTCCAATTAGTGTCCTTCCGATTTTGCATGCTGTTAACATTAAATCAGAGGTCAACTGAAGCTCTTGTATTTCCATGGACGCAAACTTTGACGATAAATTGACATCATACAATGAATGGGAAATACGTTTAACTTGTTTCGTGACTTTCTATTTAAAAAAAAAAATAAAAAGTTACTTTTCGTTTATTTAACATGAAATTTAAAAGTTTTTACCTTCCTACTTACTGCAAATAAATCAGCTGAAAGGTACTCCAAATTTACATTATCAGGGTCTGTTAATAATCTGTACAATGTTGACCCTCGATTATCAGGAATCTGTTGCAGATCTTTAGCTCCTTGGTTTTTACTTAAGGTAAGTACCAACGTATCTAAACGGCCTAGTTCTAATATTGCGTTGCCAATTTTGTATTCTGAATCTTGGAAAACGTGAATATCCAGCAACTTCGTAATAGATTTTTGCCTATAAAAGTGATATACTGAGTATACATATTTTATATAAATGTTTCACGATTGTAAATTACAGTTGCATCCCCAAACATTACCTTGAAATCGTGCATAATTTTGAAGATATTACTGTATTTTACATTGTATAATAATTTTAGTACCTTAATCCAAACAGTTCAGAGATTTCGTAATTGTCGTCCACGCACATGTCTATTTCACTGGCTGGGTTCCATGCTAATCCTGCTGCTATTAAATATCCAATCCAAGCAAAAGGATGAGGGGTAAGATGATGACTTCCTGACCAGTGTGCTACAAGTATTCCTACCGACTCTTGTTCTAACGAAGTCTTCATTGCATTTTTTGTGTTTGCATACGTTGATGCTGGACATCCTGCTAAGCTATTATAACTTGCTGTTCCAGAACTGGGTAAAACATTACCACCAGTTATTGTAAATGCTTCTGTCCACTCAGAAAAATCATAATCTGCCTATAAATTCGATTTATATAATAATCGTAAAATCACATTTCAACAACTTCTAATAAAACGATTCACGCGACGAGAAAGTTTTACCTGAAATCCATATTCAACGAGAATAATGTTGTTGGGTATATTATTAAATTCTGGTTTGGAATGTAAACCGTTCGAACAAAGCATCAAAGTTGTACTTGAACTCAGATTCAAAATATGCCATAGTTCTTGAAGACAAGAATACGATTTAAATACTTCAGACATATCTGTTTCTATAGTCTCATTAATGGACAAGTTCAAATCAAAATTGTCCGCTTGAACTAGCAAACTAGCTAGCCTGGGCCCAACATGGACATAACTTAAAGTTGGAAATACTGCTAATAATTCTTGAAATATAGGCCACATTTGCGATAAGTGATGCTGACCCACGTTAGAATCAACATCTAAGGTTGGAACTAAATCTAAATGCCGATCCCTGAAATAAAAACTATTATATTGCAAACAGTACACAGTCAGATACAAATCATGTTACATAAATTGCATCGATAGACGAACCTGCAGTAACGGTCAAGCGTAACCATTTCTGATTTCGTATAACAAAGTTGCCAATCACAATTTGGAGTTAATCGCGAATACAGATGTAAATAAGATATTTTAAAGGATGACCATAAGTCAATCATATGCAATAAATATTCTAAAATTGGTATACGACCTCTGGGCGAGATATCCAATAATATACCCCGATGTGAGAATCTTGGCTCATCTTTTATAAATACAGGTTCAATTTCACACGCTTCCGATCTATTCAGACTTTTGCTTAATCGTAATATTTGTACAAATGTACAAACTGCATAATGCAATCCAGCCAAACTTCCAGCGCCAACTTTAACAGTGTTCTGTGAAATGTGTAGTTGATACCCCTCGGGTTTATTAAACAATTTCTTGTTTACTATACACTCAATTCTGTTATCATTAGGTAATTTGCCAGAGCTTGGATGCACTTCACCAATTTTTACATCATGGCCCAACTCCAATAAATGAGTTCTGCTAATTTCCCAAACATCTAATATTCTATGTATGGATTCGCTACCCTATATTAATAGCACAATCTATTATGAAACTGCAAACAATACATGATACAATAATAACCATTTTAATTAAGTGACTATACCTGTATTATAGATATAAAAAGTTCTTTTCCAGCAATGAAAGGTGCAGAACAATTTTTCAGTTCAACAACAGTTTTTGGTTGTGGCCAAAGTAAATTATAAATCCCATCTTTATCTGTACTTTTCGTTGGACTATTTTTGCCTGATTCGCGTAAAGGTAGATCGTACACTGGATCTAGAGATTTAGTAGATTCAATAGAAAGTTGACTCATGTTACTTGAAATGCTTTTCTGACAGAAGTTTCCTTCTGTAAACGATGCAGTTGGACTATGCATAGTGTCAGTGTCATTAGACACAAAATTTGATAAAAATCTCTGAAGGAAACAGTGCAGATGTTGTTTACCTCTGGAGAGATCATATGGAGTTTTCCCTGCAAAAGTTCTGCAAAAAAGGTTTGGTTAAATACGATGAAATATTGCATGTGATTATAATAATGTATTATGTACAAACCCTTTGGTTGCTCGTACAAGAGGATTAGCACCTGCTTGTAATAGTTCCTGACAAACAGCAACATCACCTCGATTTACAGCATCATGTAATGGTGTAGCTCCACAACCATTTACAGCATTTACATCTGCTCCTCTATCTATATAAAAATTATATAACTGCATTATAGAGTAATAAGTAGAAATCCTTTATTGTATAAAGACATCTGGAATATTACCAATTAAACATGTGACAATGTCTTTATTTCCATAACAAGCTGCCCAATGCAAAGGTGTATTTTTACTTCCATGGGAATCCCAAGAGTTTACATTTAACCCTGCTTCTAATAACTGCACTACTCTGTCAACTCTATAGATAAACTTATAGTGTTATAATAGAACATTACTAATAGATATAACAATATTATATTACATACTCTGATGCAGCAGTTGCTCTCAGTAATTCTTCAATGTAAGTACGACGTATTGCATCGCTTGATGCAATATCTACAGCATTGTGTCCATTGGCATTCTGAATCGCTGGATTAGCTCCACAACTTAATAATGTTCGTACAATGTCTGGCTGATTACTCTATATTTTTATACAAATTGGTATAACAAACCTTATTGTTAATATACTACAAAACTTTATAAGTTCAAAATTTTATGCATTTGTAATATAAATAAATATGCAAAATGTAATAAAATATTTATCAAAGGTAAAGTTATTGTGAATAGATATACAAAAATGTTTAAAAATAATTTGTGAATAAAGCAATTTATCAATTACCTTTGCAGCATATGAAAGGAAAGTACCTTCTTCTAACAGTGGCTGATTTAAGATCTTATCTTTTGTTATACCTTCAGCTGTATTACCATTTTCACCTGTTACAAAAATGGAATGAAAACTTTGAACAAGTGTGCTTTACAAACATCATTACATGGCATGTACTATACATAATGTGACCGGTTTTTATTCATTTTGTTAATTTATGTAAAATAGGAGCATTTTCTCCACAACCTTATGTGAAAAATTATAAACATACGTATAATTACACTGTAAAATTTCTTATACGTACATGCATCTAAAAGGGATCTAATTATATCGGTACGTCCATGTTCAATAGCTGTACGAATATTTTCGCAAATGTCTTGCATTTCTGCTTGTTCTTATGTCATATCAAAGTTGTATATCGCACATCTTAAGAAAATTGTTTAAATGTCAGCTATTAAAGATTATCGCAAACATGTCACTAGACTTGCTTATCATATTGCTTGCGTTGGCGTTAGGTTTTACTGGGTTTTACATCGCTGAAATATCGAGATGTCAGTTGCAGTCGATATTGAATAGTATCGAGATATTGTTTATTAATTCGATATATTTTTGAAATGCCTGTCATATTAATTATACTTTTCGAATTACAATTTCGACAAATTACGAATGTTTGATAAATCATATGTACTTACATACTGTTAAATTGAAAGTTTTTTTACTTCATGTAAGGTATCCAATACAGTGATCTATTACAAAATCCTAATTTTTAAAGATTTCAGTATAAAACTTTGTTGAATCATGAATATTGAAAAAATTTAGCAGACTGAAATTATGAAATTCAGACTAATTGTTTACTGGCACTATGTAGGTACATATTATCCGTGCCACAGATCATCGTAGCATAGACGGGAATGTTGTTTCTTACAATTTTTTTTGTTGGGCCGATGCATACCATACGACTTTATATAAATTATTGCGTCCAATTCTGTGTCGAAAATATTGTAACAACAAAACAGTAAAAATAAGAAAACAAAATCTTATAATATTTTACACCTTAAAAATTCTTTAACACGTTTGATTATACAGTAACGTGAGAATGAATGAGAGGAGAATGGTTCGAGGCAAGCGCGTCACGTTTCGTTGATGATTTCGTAAGATCGAAGCAGATCGAAGAGTGTCAACTGTCTTTCTGATTACATTTCAAAATATAACTTCTTATTGACAATAATGTCGTCAGAATTACTCCTGGGATTACGCCTGGACCCCCAAACATTAACTACAATTAAATTAAACGATGTTAATTTCAATACTAAAGTAGAAGACTTAAGATCCGAGACAGCGAGAAGAGTTAACCTAACAAAGGAGTCATTTGGTAAGATGACAGTTGACTTTTCATTCTGTATGCTTTGTTTTGATTTCTCTTCAATTCGTCTAAAACCTTTAAACTTTTTAGTGTACGGACAATTTGAAACCTAAGTTTACTATAATCTTCTCTATTGTACAATGTAAAATATACTTTTAAGAATAACAATTATTACAATATAGTTATAAATATATTTAATTCTGTCTTCTTTTTTAGAATTAATTTATTGTGGATGTATTCTCGAAGATGAGGTCACATTAGAATCATGTGGATTGAAAAGTGGTTCAATGGTGCATGTGTTAAAGAAGCAGGAAACAGAGATTCCAACAATACCTAAATATATTTCAGAAGATAGCATGTTACAACTTGCATCTGCATTTAAATCATTTAAAGAGAACCCTGCACTTAGAAGTGCTTTACATGTAATTCTTATATTTTTATAGTGGTGTAGTATCTTAATATTATAATATATGTGTTATATTATGAAATGCATTTATTAATTTTAGCGTTTAGGTAAAAGACCAGAGGCTATAGCCAATATTATTTCATCCTCTCCTGGATTACACGAAGATGCTGTAGCAATTGCCATTTTCAAGGATCCTGGTTTAATGGCACATTTCACAGATGTAGATACAGTCAGAAGGTAGATTTTATTTCATCTCTTTAGTTACACTAGAATTATTTTGAATTAATACATTAATTGTATAAATAGGTTTGCAGAGGCACATCCAGTTCTGGTAGAAGCTGCTCAAAATATAGCTGCAGCTGTTCATGAAGAAGTACACAACAACGCGACTGCTGCATCTAACAATTCTCTGTCCAATACAGAACGTTCTGCTTATTCATATACCTTGGATAATATGAGTGACGATGAAGAAATGGCTGGAGATTCTTCCCAATCCTCGGACTCTACACAGCCATCAAATCTATCTATTAATCCATCAAATGCTACGATTACTGCTGCACAGCTTGCAGCAGCAGTTTCTAGAGCAAGAGCTAGAAGTTTTCCCCTTTCCAACTCACCTTCTTCTACATCAGCTGGCAGCACAAATTCTGGAGTGATAACTACAGAAATGTTCAGTCAAGCTATGCAACAGGCTTCTGCAGCAACTACAGGCTTAATCAACGATTCTATATTGCCACCAATTCTACCGCCTGTGTTGCCACAGATTACAAATTTACAGAGACAATTAGCGCAGATGCATGAAATAGGATTGCCAGATGATACAATAAATATTCAGGCACTGCAGTTTACAAATGGTGATGTTCAAGCAGCCATCGAATTAGTGTTTAGTGGTTTAAGTAACAATTAAATTTATTAAATTAACATTTGAACATTTCAAAACGATTTATAATTGTATAAATAAAGGCAGTACTTTTATGAATGAAGGTGAACCAGCTGCATGGAGCTGAGCATCCTTCAAAATTATAATCATTTAAACTAAGATAATTTAAACCATCCCACGGAACGAGTCAACCGAATTTCATGTAAACTTCGTATTAAACTGAAATAATCAATTAATGCTGTCTCTTTTCTTTGAACAGTATTTAAAATTATATATATTTCGTAATATTTCATTGATATGTACAGCTGATAAGCATTTAAAAAACTGAAATAGCTAAAAAAATCGATTATGTAAACAATAAAATATACATTTAATTAAAATAAGTTTCATTCTTACACATAATAGAAATGTTTTACGTCCTTCATATAATACCCATAAATAAATTTTAATAAGGGACTTTTAAATAGGATTAATTTTTCCTAATAAAATCTTTCAATCGAGAAATGAAATTCTCGTTCATCAATTGAAGTAATCTAGTTTCAATATTCAATCGAGTGCGTATAACGGAATTTTTTATTTTCGTCCAGTGTGTCATGTTCGTATAATTTGATGGTAAAATATCGCGGGGCCCATGTGTAGCTCGCGCCGTCACTTCGGGAAAGTGCGTACGCGCGATTAATAGGCGCGACATTCAATGCATGTGGTAATGTGCAGCGCGTGTCGCCGCGTGGTTGCGACTTGCGGGTGCAACGGTGTGCGCGCGCACGCTCGGTCTCCGTTCAGTATAGTAAAGGGGAACTGCGCGCGACGTTCAGTTCAGTAGTAGTCGGGATTCGGTGAGCGTCGGTTGCGTCGAGAAACGGGCAACACTCCGAAATCGCACGAGTACGTATGACAGAAGTCGCACACGTGCTTGCGAATTGCGAGCAACGCCGATCGGGCCCGAGGGAAACCTTGATTGGTGTGATAATCTATATGTAATCCTTTACCGGTGTGATTCGAGTGAACGAATCAACACGCATTTTTCTTTTCGTCACGCGACTGTGGAACCGAGCTAAGAGGACACCGGCTTCCATCAACGTTGCCCGACGACGACATGCCTTTCGTTACATCTTCGAAAAGCTTCGAACGTTAAGAGTCCGCCGGTTACGTATCGTACAGATGTGAGCAGCTCATGAGTCGTGAATATGCATGGCGTGAGGTTATGGGGAAATCGGATACCTGACAGATAGCCTGTTCCATTCGAGAGGATCTTTCAACGTTGCTTGGGGAAAAGAAAGGTAAGGAACCCTGTATACCTACTTACTTGTACCAGTTTTTTTGATCGAGAACGACGCTGTTCCTTATTAAAAAATACGTGTAACAAAGTCGACGTACCGGTCCTCCCCTTCGTATGGGAATAATGCAAGCGAAACGTTAAACGGTATTTGTTGCCGAAGCCGGCGCCTGGGGTGAGTGCCGGCTGCGTCGCTAAGCTCACCATTATTTTCCTTAAATCTGCTCTTTTTTGTGTCGGTTCACAATGTATCTTGTGTCGTGAGATCGTTATAATTGCACGTATACATGGTACTTTATTCAAAGGTACTCGATCTGGTATTTATTTTTGAACATGTCTCATTGAATTTATTCGTTTCTATTGCGTTTTATATTACACATAGAAAGGCGTGCATCATACGAAAGATATGACTTTTCATACAGTGGATGGTCTATATTTATGTTTCTTTGAATGGCAATAGGAGATATTTAATTGTATTGGTGTACTCTTTAGAAACTGTTATTTGGTTGCTTGTTTCGATACAGTAACCAAACTGACTTGTGTACTTTGTTCTGAAACAAACATTTTATAATCTCATCGGTTCAAGGTGGAAAGATAACTTAGAAAATTCATGACGATTAGAAAAAGAAAAAACTATTATTTCTGAAATACTCAACATTGCGTAGAATTTGTACACAAATGTTTTCATTCGTGTCAGTGTGAATAGTGAAAATGAGAAAAAATGCTATTACCTTTTTAATTTGCCTAAATGAAATGTTCTAAAAATTTGAGTATTCACAACTTTCGAGAAAACGTCGCCTATTCCGTGACAATTTCATAAATACAAAGGCATATACGTGTCAGGTATTATATAACATGACATTTGGAAGATTTAAACAAAGGAACAGAGGTCACGGGATACGTGACATTTTCTCGGAAGTTGTGCTATTTAAGAAATAGGGGTGGTTCACCCTCTGGATGAGCTTCGATATATTAGGTGCGTCGTAAATTCCCTTAAGAGGACAGAAAATACGAAAAAACATCGTTAAAGGCACGGACTTTCGAGAACGCTATTAAACTTTCATCATTATCGACGATTTATGTGGCGATGGTTCACGTATTCTGCCACTTCGCTGTGTTTCCGGAAGTGTAAAATTTGTTGTCATAAAATACATAGCAGGAACAATCGAATAACATTTGTAATTCGTGGCTGCTGAAATTACGCAATCGTTGACGTAAAAATAACAAAAGGAATTTGCACGGTTGTGCTTAAATGATCGTAATAATAATTTGTCCTGGTCGTTGCTAAATTTTTATTTCGAACATAAACCCGAGCCACACATTCCAGAAGGGCCCCGTTATTAACCTTCCTTCCATTTCGTTATGATTAAATGTTATTTAATTTTATTTAAAATAAATTTCAACTTTTGAAGATTTATATATTTTATTGTGCTGTATTACAAAAAATCCCCTCCGCGCGCTTTTCAACCAAGGGGCACCCCTAAAATTTCATAGCCCCGGGCCACAAAAAATCTTAACCGGGCCTAGTTTCTACATATATTGAGAAACGTATCTACAACAAATAAGAACAATTACAATTTTATGTTTAAAAGTCTGAAACAGCGAAGCCATGGACTTTCTTCTTGAAATTGTATACACAGTCCCTCGTCTCCGAAACGTCGTTTTTGTTTTACGCCGTTACAAGAAACGACTAATTCGATAACTGGATCATCCATGCATTAACCGGTCGAGATGCAGTAATTATGTGTGTGGTGTTGTAAACAAGGGTAATTTCATAATTGACAAGCCTACGCGGCAGTTGTTAACTAATTGTAACTCTAGAACCAAGGGCATCGGGCGCCGATCTGCTCCGACCCGAACCGGTTATAGGGGATGTAACGACTGTAAGCTTCCTCTTAAACTTCCCGACCCTGAAATTCGTAAAAAGACCCGTCGCGAAAACTGAACTGACGGGGTGTTAACGCACTGTACATCTTCAATGATTGGTCAATAAAAGCGCAGTGATCGTTAATAGTCACTTCGCAGTTCTGGTATAGTCACAAACAGTTCAGAATTGTCGAACGGAATCAGGTTTGTGGTCAATGGATTAATTTGTGCATAGTTTCGTGTAGTTATGCGAAACGACTATGTATCGCGAAAATACAAAGAAACTTTATTGTCTCGCCTGTATTTCACTGTATTAATGAATCTAGTGTACAGCATACAAAGATGCAGACTCTTTTTATTGATCTATTAACATAAAATCAAGAAACAATAGTCACTTTTAGACTATTTAACACATTTTTAAAAATATTCGAAAAATTTTTTTTATAAACAATGTGTTTGCTCACGATAAATAACGGCACTAGTAGTCACAGTAACAGTCAACTAACAATTAAATTCTTTAGGGTTAGGTGGGTTAAAAACTGTCCCACCTTTGCTTAGCTTTTTATGCATGGTGGGATATATTTTAACCCACCTCGAAAAGTTGAAGTTACTCATAATCATACAGTTTAATATTTTATTTTTATATAATTTGTTTTATCTTTAAAAAATTCTCTGCAACTAGGGTTTTTATTTTCTTTAAAATCGTGTGCCTCAAAGATTTAAAGAATGTTCGTACTGCCGATCGTCTAGAAATATTTCAATTATTGTCACTAAAGTGATAAAGTAGGCGTCCACACTGCAGTGGACAAATACAGTTAGCGGGTTAATTGAATTTTGTTCATAAGGATAAAAAAATTAGGTTTTTTTCACGAAACAAGAGTCTTCCACACGAAACCGAAATCTGCAATTGCGTTTACGAAGAGCTTTTATGTGTTCTCGTGGCACAACAAACACTCACCACGTGTGTCGAACATCCTCTGATCTCCCAATATATTGTTTCAGAACGATCCGGTTGATGGTTAAATCGCTAAATCCACGAATTCTCGGAGAAGCCGCAAATCCGTCGAATTGTTTATCGATTCCGCGCAAGATTTCGATTGTCTTATAAACATTTGGACCCCGAGACTGGTAAAGTATCTAGATCGGAGCTAGTCCCAGTGACACGTAACGATCAGGTGAAAAAAAGACACAGAGGAGTATCCGAAAGAAGAAGAGGTGACAATAGAAATGGCTCACGAAAACGGTATAAACGGGGACACAGACTCCGAGTCGGTGGAATTGAATCCCTTAAGGAGGACGAGGTTTCACGTGAACCGTGTCGATAGTCTCGAGGGTCGGGCAAGCCTTCTCGGCGAACAAGAGACGAAAAAGTCGCTGAGACACATGACTAGGGAGGCTCTGCCCAGGTTGGACAATTACAGGAACATCATGAGCATCCAGGCGGCTCACAGGCCATCCTTGGACGAGCTCCACAATCCCACTCTGCTTAACAAGGTAAGGATGATGATGATGCTTGACCATTAATGGGACTGACATTTCTTTTGTTTTACAATGCGTCGCCAGTTGTACGCTTATTACGGTCATGACGTTGGTATGTATTTAGTATTCTTTCCAGCTGTATCGAGTACGTAATAACACATGCCCTTTTAGAATTCTTGGCCCATTCTAGCTGGTTTCACGATGGTATTGGAATCAATTTCGGAATTTTAATTAAGGGGTTACATATGCTTATTAGGTAAGAGGGAAAATTAACATTTTTTTTGTATGTACAGAATTATTGTTTATTAAAAATTCAGCAGATACATCTTATTATATGGTATTTCCTTAGTAATTTCTGAAAAATTGAGCTATATATCTGTCAATAGAAGAAAGTTTTTTTCCAACAAACGAAACGTTAGTTCGTTGATATTAAAGTATAAATCACTCTAAACGATTCTGGATATCATCAGCGGAGTCACAAGAAGTAAACAATGTTAATTGTGTTATATTAGATTGTATGAACGGTGCCTCGAAATTGTTCCCGGGTCACACAGTGTTTCTGTTTGGCAACAGTTAATACCCGTGTCAATTGAAGAAACCTCCGAGATACACAGCCCTCTTTAGCTCCTTGGCTCCCCGAGCAAGAGTCATCAATCTTCGTGAAACAGTTTGATCGAAGATTGTTTCGAGAAAGTCGTGTCGTGGTTGATATACGGGTTGTAACAAAAATGTTAGAGGACTTGGAAATGGGAGACTGGCGAGATGATTTGAAACAAGTTTTTCCTTAGCAAAAATATTATCCGAGGCTTGGTTAACGAGATATTAACGAAAAACCTCGACCAATCAGAGCGCGAGTTTGCCAGCCAACGTTACCGCAGGAACTCAGTCCTCCGCTTCCGCTCGTCTGACCTTTCACTCTCATTTCTTCTATCATTCATTCTTCCATCCATTCTCCATTTTCCTCACTTCTTCTCTCCTTTCTTCCACCTTCCTCATCCATTCTTCTCCCTCCCCCTTGTCTCTTATCACTTCCCTTACCATTTCCTGCCACCCCCTTTTTTCTCCCCAACCCATGCATTATTCCCACGCATGTTCCCACCTTTCTTCTCTCTACCCACAGATCCTGAACCTTCTTTTTTCCTCTTCCATCCAATACCTATTTTCTATCGTCTCATTATCTAACCTAAATCTGGCCACCCTTTGCCACCTACTTTCTCCCCACCCTTTTCTCAGATACCCAGGAATCCCTCTTCCTTTAACCATTTTGTACCATTTTTTGTACTTCGAGTTTTCTATATTTTTCCACCTATCCTCCTCCTGTAATCTCCTCTCTCTATTTACCATTTCCCCTCCACGTGGCTCTCCTCTTTCTCTCATTCTTTCTATCTCCTCCACTGAATTAGTAAGCTTATTAATTTTTTAACGAATGAACCTATCATTGATTGACGGTAAAAAATTAGCTACCTTCAGAAAAAAATTTCTAATTTTGTTTTGACACGATATCTTTAAATAACGTTTAATATAGAAATTTATTAGTATACATGCCTAATACACTGAAAATTTTAAACTGATTGATACATTTGTTCATGAGTGACGACCGTAACTATGACTGAACCTACCGTTTCTTAACACATTGCAGTTACCCCCACGTTCGGTCGTGCAATTAAAGCATCACTTGAAACGATCATAAGTGCCATAAGACTGTCTCATCCACCAGGAATATATTTATTCGTGAAATTGATATCTCCATGCGAGTGCAGCTGTATTCTGGGCTAGCGATGAATTATGGAATGCCATTTCTAATTTCGATTCCACGAACAGCTTAAACATAGTTAGGGATAAACCAATATCGTCAAGGTATCGATTTTTTTATTCATTGTATCGAAAAAATGTATCAATATCTACTTAGTATCAAAAGTATCGATACCTAATTGTATCGAAGGAAAATGAATACAGTAATATACACATACATTCAGCTATTAGGTTTCAACGAGCATATGCAAGTCCTTGTCATAACGAGGAGGCAATTTACGAATTGCGTTTGCAAGAAATTCACGTCCGATTTCCGGACACCACCGGTTATCGGTCTTCCTTCGCAGCACTCATCAGTAATATCCTTACGGCCATTCTCGAATGCTTTACATACCATTTAATGACTGTTTGGCGACGTGGGACATTTTGTCCGGACTAATTATCGGAGAAAAAATATACATACGTGTTTATATAAATCGGACGAATAATAAAATTAATGAAACATATAACTGGAAAAAAACAAGAGAGAAAATTATAGATAAATCGAGAAATAAATTGCAAATAATGATAAATATTGACTTCAGAAAAGAAATTTACGAAGACACTTGAAAAAGAAGGCATAAAATAGAGTTAAATCTCATATTGTGCACATGGAGTGGTCCACGTTTATTACTAAACCTTACCAAAACTTTACGTCAATATGACGGATTGCGGATTTTCTATTTTACAATCACTGATATTATAATGTTTCTGGTGGTACTAATGTTGACCTTTAAATTACTATTTTTATTACACAATTACCATGTTAACGTTGAATCATCACGCCATTATCGTATTTACTAACACTGTAATTAGACACACATACACACACACACTGTTTACCATAACTGTAGTTAAAAGTAATTGTGTAAAAAGTGAAATATCTCGTAAAATATTATGCTTTCAATGGCTTTTCCTTATACTGTTTGTACACAGTACAACAGTACACTCTTCCTTAATTCGTTACTTTTTCCCCTAGTGGAAGAAAAGTCTCCTACCATTTAATAAATTTATTTCAAGTACTGAAATAAATATTAAAATGTATGTTAATTTGCCATAAATTTCAGAAACTTCCGAAACCGAATGGTAGAAGGCTCTATTCTACGTCACTTTTTTCCCTAGTGGAAGCCAAGTTTGCTCGCGAGTGTACATAGAGGCACGTTTTAAAATCTATAGCTACAGTCGCAACACCTGGAAAGAAGCAGTCGTATAAAATTTATCTGAAAATCGTGCGTGTATATTACATGACCAAGGATTATGAAAAATTTGTCGACTTCCTCGCCGCAAAAAGGTTTTCGAGCCACTCGATTGAAATATCAGCCGCGAATCCGAATTGTGTGGGGCTTAACGAGAGTGCCAATGGGACCAGTAAAACGCGTGCTCCGAATACATTACGGGCGGAGGGATAACCGTTTGTTATTATTTGACTATTATACCACCGTTATTCTATGAACGTGTTGCTACCAACACACATACATACGTATATATATGTACTTATGATCCAAGCCAGGAACTTTTGCTGCGCGTGAGAAACGCTCCTTCGTCGGTCGTTCTTTTTCTTCGATGCAACTTGGCGCTCGTAATTCACTTACTCGTCGCAATGTACCTCGCGTACTTACATACACACACGCGTCCGATGCGTTAACTGCACGTACCGAGCAAATGTCACCGAAGAGGTCGATGTATAATATATTCGAGGAAGAATAAAGTAAATAATATTTAAATAACACGGCGAACGACAACAGGACGATTTTGTATTAGATATAACGTAAAAGAAAGATATAATAATTTAAGAATGGTTGCGTTACAAGAATCGAAAGATGTGTAATTATTTCGTAGTATAGATTTTATTTTATAGGATTCCTTTTCGAATTTACATTTTAATTTTGTAATCGGTTAGATTACGAAAAATATTCAAACCCTTAGACAAATTATTCAAACCGTTTTTCAGCTACATGTATTTAAAATACATTTATGAATATTAATGGCAATCAGTTGGTAGGTTATCTTTTTTTGTTTTTGTTACGGAATTTCTGCGTAAAAAACATGCTTGAATGAAAGAAAAACTAAACTTACGCCCAATTTGTAATTAGACTGAGAAAGGTTTATGCATTTACAGGAAATATCAACCTGTGTGGATACAGTAAAATTAAAATCTTTAATGGTATTCAATAGTAAATGTTATTATTAACATAATGAAACATCTGGCATAGGAAATTAATTTTTTGTGAAATTTCCGTTTTCATAAAGTATTTGCACCTGTAGGTCACTTTATCGCAAAAGCGAAAATTTACAGGAACATGCCGATTAGATGGCAATTACGTTTTTCACCTCTGTTGTAACAATACGATTATTACACGTACGTACAGAAATAGCTGTAGTAGAAAATAAACAAAAGAAGGTGTAAATGGACTATTGCAATTACGTTTTATCACCTCTGTGTAACAATATAATTGTTCTACATATACGTACTTACAGAAATTACTGTTCTAGAAAATAATCGTAAGAACGTGAAGAATACAAGTTGATGATTTTATGGTAATTATAACTAAACTGCGGATTTTTATATAAAACAATATTTTCTACAGCAATTCATACAGAGAAGAACGAATTTAGAAATTACATTCTTTTCTTAAGTATCATATTGGACTTAGAATAAACTAGAAAACTCATTGAATCTGATGAAAGTTTTGTCTTTTACTTTATTTTACGGAACCCTGTAGGCCATAAATGCATAAAATCCGCAGTCTAATTATAACAAACCTGGATTGGATGACGTATAATACGTTACAAACTCTTCAATCGAACTTAACAATCCTGCTTATTTCATTTTACAACTCAATCAAAATTCTCGGAAACAGAATACATTTCTGTTTAACTTCCGTTACGTCACAGGAATGTGTGATTTTACATGATATTTCGCACGATAAACGTCGTATTAATCTTTCCCAAATATTTTTCCGATACAGAATCGTAGACAGTCAGGTATGCGCCATAAACTGTCAGAATACACAATTTGTTACACTGTGTCGTCGAATCCACTTCCGACTGAAATTCGAGCAGTTCTAGATTTATCAAAAAGAAAGCTCCTACGGGATACCCATAATGCTAATTATTACGCGTAACATAATACGTAACACGATAACCGGACGATTGCTGTAACTCGAGTTTCCTCTCTGACGGCGAAAATGACGGGAAAGCTAAAATACTTCATAGATAAAATATAGAACAAAAAAAAATTTTCATGATCGAGACATCGAGGTTTTTCATTTTTTTTTTTTTTTTTTTTTTTTTTTGTTATCAGTGAAGGTACGCGAGAAACGGCTCCGAGGCAGTCGTGTAAGAATAATTTCGCAATTATGTATACCGGAGTGTCCAAGGCACGATATTCGAGGATAGAGCGCGGGAAATAATGGGATGAAATAATCGTCTCTCTAAGAGCTATAAAAGCAGCGAGCCACACGAGTCGAGAGGCTCTCGGTTACCCTTGAACCGCCTAATCTTTTCGTTAGCAAATCAATGTCTGCGGTTCGTCAGGGCGAAATTATCTAATTACGGTGCACAGGTTAATCGAACCGTCTATTGGAGATCACTGGTCGATGAATTATTTAGATTTCGGATAAATGCATAGATTTTCGTGGACTACAGAATTTCTAGAATAAGGGGATCAGCCACGAACTCTAATACATAGAAATATTCGAAAGTGTTAATGACCTGTAGTTTGTTAGGAATATAATAATTTACAAATATCGATACAGGTGAAAGCAGGAATTTCGAATATTTTTAGGTGACAAGCACATGTAAACAGATTTAATAATAACAATGAATTTACCTACTGAATAAAGAAATAGAAAACAGACACTAAAAGATTACAACGCTACAAATCTTTGAACTTTAGTGGATCTAGATAATTTCAAGTGCGTTGTAAAATTTTCTAGATTTTTTTTATTTAATAATGTAATTTATTGGAGACGATTACTTACATGTTGTTTATATTTTTCTTATTGACCAGTAGGCAGTTCGTAAATATGTAGATGGGCGAAAGAAGATTTTTGGAAAATAGTTGTATCACACTATACGAAATAAAAAAAAAACTTATTTTAATTTTATTCAATTTGTTTTTATATTGATGTTTGGACAATCGTGAGTGTTGATGAATGCATACAGCCCGCAATCTATTAATCTGGGATCGAGAAGGATTAGCCTTGAAAATATCCGAATGTCACGCTAATAGTGCTTGCACTCCTAATCTTGACTTCGCCATGACATCCGAGGGTGTGATCCAATAACAATGGAATTCCCCTCGTTTCTAAGGCTTCCGGAATCGTTTGTTTGCAGAACGCAGATTCTTGTAGATTTGCTCGAATCTTATGCATGCTCGAATTTTTAAATTGTCGAAATTCATCGAATCTGTATGATCTGTGACAAATTTAAATATTGACTTTTGTCAGATCTGTGGTAATATTTTCATATCTATGATTACAATACGGATCCATCCAATGGTCTTTCTAAGTAAATGAAAAAAAAAGGAAACAATATATCTTAATCGATACAACGAACATCTATTTTCATTTTTTTGATCATTAAATCGAACTTCTATTTGTCTCCCACTCGAGAGGGAAATACACTTGGGTGGTAGAAATTGTAATGCACGATAAATGCATCTCGACAAGGTACTATTCCATTTACTATCGTAAGTTTAACTTTCTATTGTGATACAACATAAACTGCCTACAGACTTGACATACTTCTTATTCCTTAAAAGGCACCACTTCTTTCTGTAGATGCTTAACGTACTAATTAATTTATTACAAATTGTTTCAGGACTTTTCGTGAAATTTGATTATACTCTTTAATATTCTGCTTAAATTGATACCTAATGTCACATATGCTTTGCTTATCAAAGAAACTTTTTTATTCAAAGAATGAATCGTTGAAGGATAATACTTATATTCCTTTTCAAAGAGTCTACTTTCGCTGTTCAATATTCCATTCATCGTCGTAAGTTTCGTTTAAGGGTTTGGATACATTGTATATGCAGAATGATTGTTTATTAAAAATTCAACATATACATCCTATTATATGTTGCTTCCTTAGTAATTTTTGATAAATTGAGCTATACATCGATCAATAGAAGAAAGTGGCTACCATTTAATTATAACCAATTTCATCAAAACACCATAAAAAGGTCTTTCTAATTTTATATTAAAGCAGACAAAAGGAACTAGTACTTGTCGAAGTCGAAACTTCTAGTTTTCGACATAAATTTTCAACTTCTTTTGTTACTAAAAATGCACAAATCAAATATTTGCTTCGTCAAGCACTAAATTTTAGTCTTAAGAAATTACCATCAAGTTTGATCCAAATTAGTTCAGTAGTCTTTTAAATATTTCTGGTACCGATTTTGGAAACTGCACTTCGAGTATAAACGCTTTTAAATGGCAGCCATTTTCGTCTATCGATATAGCTCAATTTCTCAGAAATTATTAAGAAAATAACATATAATAATTCTGCATATATACCAAATTTTTTTTTAACTTTCCCTCTTTATTTAACAGCACAAAGGTATTTAACCCTTTAAATCGTTTCACGGTGTAAGAAGAACCGGTGATTCAAGGATTTCCCGTTCACAGTGTCTCGTAATCGTTCTCTTATTAGAGAAACGGATTTTTGTTTTTCGCGAGAAAATTAAAACAGACCAGACCAACACGCGTTCAAATCCTCGAATTTCTAAAAAAAACCGCCTCAATATTGGGCGACCGTGTAATGTACGACATGTGCGAGAGAGGCATTGTTACGTAAATCGTTAGTCTTCATTGGCCGACTGGCGACCCTTCCTCTAGACGAATCACCTTCAATGCCGATAACCACTTCTAAATCTCAATTTACGCGTAACGCTCGCGTACAGAGATCCCGTGGATCTAACGACACAACTTCTACAGTTTAATTCTATAAATAGTACTTTTCGTACGTCTCGGCGTAGTTACACACAGGAAAACAACGTACACACGTACGCACACACGTGGTCCCATTCACGATCGTACCGAAAGATCACAGCCGGTCACCCGGAAGTATATGTACAGACTAACGGACAAATGTTTTCGGGCAGAATCATCAAATCAATAAACACCGATAAAAAAAGTAAATGTTTTTCGAAAAAAGGGGTGAAATAGTACACCCTTAAGCAAACTCGGCTTCCACTAGGGGAAAAGCGGTGTAGAAGAAAAGTCTCCTACCACTTGGTAAATTTATTCCAGGTACTGAAATAAATGTTAAATTGAGTGATAATTTGGCATAAATTTCAATAATTCCCAATACCAAGTGGTAGGAGGCCTTTTCCTTGATTCGTTGTTTTTTCCCCTAATGGAAGATGTTTGAATTTAATGTTAAAATAAATTGCTTTTAAAACACCCATATAATTACTATTATAAGTGGATTGGGTATGGTTTGTATAAAACACGAGTTATGTGATAGAAGTATGTTTGAAAAAAAAATTTCAAAAGTTAAGAGTTGGCCGAGAGAAAAGATTTTTCTGAAGTTGAAAATGTTTTTAAAACTTTTTTAAATGTATTTTGTGATTACGTTGTTTTTTTCATTGATTTTAAAATGATTTTATAACAGTTGTGTTGATTATTGTAAAAAACTACCCCGTATCTATATACAATTTTATTTTGTTACTGTTTCCTTTTATGATTATTATGAATATAATTTTGTATAAAACAAAAAGCTTCTGACATTCAACAAATAGCTACCAAAAAATTCCCTCACTGTTAAAAATTCAATTTTAACACTAGAACTACCGACGATAAACGCACATTTACTTCAACCGGTGAATAAACGTGAAAAGCTTTTAAAAATTTAGATATTAACTGATTTCTTCACTTTCATACGGTACTAAACGATGCAAAAGATCTGAGAAAATGTATCTTAATAACATTTTAATCGTCGTTGTAAGAGTGTATTGACAAGTCATTTTGACTTGCTTAGTAGTTCTAGTGTTAAAATAATTATTTATAATTAAATGTAAAGGACGGCAAAAATTATTTTCGACCAGAGCAACGGAACAGTTGGATCTATTCTTTTGAATTTGTTCCCAGGAACGGGATCTATTAAACAAACAATCACCTCTGAGAATGTATGAACGTTTTAATGAATTTTCGTTTTTTCTGTAATGCAATTAGGGATCAGGCTCCCACACGTTACCCATATCGCACGTGAAACCGTCGACTTCCGGTATCAAGTTTGGATGGATCCAGGGTGTCCTATTGAGATGTCTCCTCAACATTTGGGGTGTAATGCTGTTTTTACGACTCTCATGGGTCGTTGCACAAGCGGGTGTAGGTAATTATCGTCGATAAACAAGACTGAATTATATACGGTTCGATCGATGAACGGACAATTCACTCCGTTTAATTACTTGATTTCCTTTCTTGTATACTTTCAGGACAAGCGATTCTATTGATCTTCACAACGACAGCCGTGACCACTATAACGTCGCTGTCAATGTCAGCGATCAGTACAAATGGGCTCATTAAAGGAGGTAAATAACAGGCCCGGTGTAAATGTGTGAATCATACCTACCGCTGGAGGGGGGCTGGGACGAATTAAAATGATCAGTAATGATGTGTACCGATGCCCTAATCGCATTAACCCATTCATAAAATAACATAATTATACAGACAGCAAAGATCGACAGAAGTATTATTTTCAATGTATTCTTCTGATGCACCAGCATAAGGTTCAAAGTCATCTGAAGGTCGTGGAATATTACAGGTGGTTGGAATAGGTTTTTAGATCATTGCAAGAAACGCACTATGTATACTCTAGCTGGAAATTAACGTATGAAGGTAACACATTTTTATTCAGAATTTGATATTCCACGTTCTATAGTATAAAAAGTAAGTAATTTCGTTAAAAAAAAATCAAGGTGACTTTGAAATCTCTGAAATGCCTCCACCCACAAAAAAAGCACGTACCATATAAGATGTGCCTCTTGATGCCATTTAACTTCCACGGCTCAAAATTTTCATAAAGTGTACCGTTATGTCATTATTCGAGGTGATCAAGTGAGCTGAGACACCCTGTATATGTATTCGGTAACCCTGATCTATGGAATTGATTCATTGTTTTTTTTTTTTTCTTAGGTGGCACGTATTACATGATTTCCAGATCATTGGGCCCGGAATTCGGAGGATCTATAGGGCTGATATTTTCTCTGGCGAACGCGGTCGCCTGTGCCATGTATGTTGTCGGGTTTTGCGAGAGCATGGTCGATTGTCTCAAAGCGAATGGAATCTGCATCGTCGATTGCGATAACACCGATATTAGAATAATAGGTCAGCTTGAAAGATCCTTTATAGCTCCGACACTGTGTGATATTTTAATCACTTCCTTTTTTTTTCATTTAACAGGCTGCATCACGATCGTTCTGCTTCTGGTGATCGTGATGGTCGGTCTAGAATGGGAGGCAAAGGCCCAAATCGGTTTGCTCGTTATTCTTCTGGTGGCTATCGCTGATTTTGCGATTGGCACTTTTGTTGGCCCTAAGGACGATCTGGAGAAAGCTAAAGGATTCGTAGGATATAATGGTAAAATATTACAAATATCGAAGTGATTTTCATGGTTTTAGTAGATTTATATAAACGCAACAATTAATCTGTTAACTATACATCAGCAGTGCTCGTAGCAATATCAGTATTAGCGATTTATAAGTCGTTTGTATTTTGATCACATGATTTGTACCATTTTTTTTTTCCATTATTTTCACAGGTGATCTGTTCAGGGAGAATTTTTATTCGGACTATAGATACTACGAAGGGGTGGAACATAATTTTTTTTCAGTTTTGGCTATCTTTTTCCCAGCGGCAACAGGTATCCTGGCAGGTGCGAATATATCCGGTGATTTGAAGGTGATTTAGTCCTTTCGTCTATAGGGAATATATATATATATACTTTTTTTTAAATACTTATACCTTGTAAGACCACGCGTTTATAACAATAATCAACCAGAAGTAGTGTATTTCTACGCATTTCACGATAGATGATATTCAGCCTGAAGGTCATTTCATCAGACAGTTCGTTTCTATGTTTAAATAGGACCCACAAACGGCAATTCCCAAGGGAACACTTTTGGCAATACTTTTAACAACGATTTCCTATTTCGTTATGGCTTTCATGGTAGGCGGTACAGTCATGCGGGACGCATCTGGCGATGTTAACGATCTATGGAACGTGTTCAATGGTTCGTACGCTGCTATAGCGACATTCAACTCGAGCAATGAAACAGTCGAGAGTACGACTGTTGCAGATTCGAACGAGATCGTTTGGAGCATGTATGGTACAAAATTTAATTGTACAGGGAATTGTTCTTATGGCGGCCATAATAATTTTCAGGTGATACTTGTGCGATAGAGTGCGTACCTATTTGGCTCAGTGATCCATCGTATGTTTTGTAAATTCAAATTTAATTGTTTAGGTGATCGAATTGGTCTCTGTGTTCGGTCCAATTATTTATGCTGGATGTTTCGCGGCTACGTTATCAAGTGCCTTGGCATCGTTGGTTTCCGCCCCGAAAGTGTTTCAGGCACTCTGTCTTGATAAATTGTATCCTGGAATAGCGTGGTTCAGCGGTGAAAAGGATAGGGAACCGATTCGTGGATATTTCCTCACATTCATCATTGCTGTTGGTTTCATCTTGATCGGTGAATATTACGCAGTCTTTGTAATTAATGACTTGGTAATCGTCAATTGTCTTGTTAAAATACGATTTTCGTTATTCTTTTTAGGTGAATTAAACGCTATAGCTCCTTTGATCTCAAATTTCTTTTTGGCTGCCTACACTCTAATCAACTTCAGTACATTCCATGCTTCGCTAGCTAAGCCAATTGGTTGGCGACCAACGTTTAAGGTACAATTTTTGCTGCACTGTTTCAGTAACTAAAGCAATCGCTGATTCAAAAAAAGAAATGATAATACAGTCTTTCGTGTGTTTTTTTTTTTATTTTAGTATTATAATATGTGGCTAAGTCTTGCCGGTGCTATTCTTTGCGTCTCTGTGATGTTCCTGATCTCGTGGTGGACGGCTTTAATTACTTTATCTGTGGTTTTAGCCCTTTACTTAGTAGTCTCCTACAGAAAACCAGGTAGTACTTCATGTATTATGTATTCTGATGTTTGTGACATTAATAAAAAAAAAAATAACATTCTTCTGTAGATGTAAATTGGGGTTCGACCACGCAAGCCCAAACGTACAATAATGCCTTAACGGCTGTACAACAATTAGACAGAGTCGAAGAACACGTTAAAAACTACAGACCTCAGCTTCTGGTACTCACCGGTATGCCGAGCGCCAGATCGTCGCTCGTTGACTTTGCGCATCACATTACCAAAAACAACAGTTTATTAATTTGCGGTCACGTCATCGAGGTACCGCGGGAAATTAATTTAAAACAAAAAAAAAAAAAAGAAAAAGTATTAAATGACATGATACCGAATATGTTTAAAATATGAAAAATTTTATATTCATACATTTCAGACACCGATATCGTATAAAACACGGAATTCCATGATCGCGAAATGTACTTCTTGGTTTCGAGCAAATAAGATTAAAGCATTTTATTCGTTGGTGGACGGTGCAAGCTTTCAAGATGGTGCCACCTCCCTTTTACAAGCCGCTGGCCTAGGAAAAATGAGACCCAACATATTGTTAATGGGATACAAACAGGACTGGGCAACGTGCCCACAGCAAAATTTAAATGCGTACTTTAACGTGATGCAGTTAGTATCTTTATACAATTAACAAGTCAAGCGGAATATTATTATTAATTACATTCCCATTTCTTTTTATCCATTCAGTAAAGCATTGGACATGCACACAGCGCTTGCGCTGCTTCGAATAAGCGAAGGTTTAGATCACGGTATCGCCATAGGAGACGTTGAAGAACAGAAAAAGAATCTGCCATCTTCGATACCAGGAAATCAAAGTTTTTCACAACTCAGCCAAGGTCTGTAAAATATTTACGGGCTTTTTACATTCTGTACATTCTGTTTTTCGAAAATAGAATAGGGAATAATTGAATTTAATTTTATTTTAATACACGCGTAATTAAATTTAATATTTACTTTCACAGCCAGTAGCACATCAGATATTTCGATACCCGGCAGTCCGGCACCAAGACGATCAAAAACGATCAACGAATATCCTAATCCTAGCGCGGAAGATCAACGTGAAAATCGACAGAATATCATACCAATCGCGAAAGATATACTTAATGCCGTGACGAAGTTTCAGCGTAAACAAAAAAAGGGCACCATAGACGTATGGTGGTTATACGACGACGGTGGCTTGACTCTTCTGCTACCATACATTATTAGCACGAGGCGTAATTGGTCTAACAGTAAACTCCGGGTTTTCGCACTTGCTAATAAATATTCTGAATTAGAGTACGAACAAAGAAAGTAGGTTTTGGAGACTTATATAATAACTCCATAGCCAAAGATATTATTATATATTTGTTATTAATATTATATATTTCTAGCATGGCAAGTCTTCTATCGAAATTCCGGATAGACTACTCTGCTTTGAAAGTTATACCAGACATCTCGAAACCAGCACAAGATAATACGAAAAGTTTCTTTAAGTCGTTAATAGCGAATTTCCTGCAAACGGGTGACCCTAAAACAACGGACGATGGTATTATTCGTTTAGTGATACAATATATGACGGATAAGTTTTGATTAAGGGATACACTAAGGAATTTATTAATTATTTTCAGACGTTATTAAAGATTCCGAACTACTTGCCATGAAAGAAAAAACGAACAGGCATTTGCGTTTAAGGGAATTGTTACTCGAGAATTCTATGGAAGCTAATTTAGTTGTTATGTAAGCAAAATGAACGCTCAAAAACCGTTGCCATTTATAGTTTTTAATTATTGTAATATCTGTCATGTTATCGTGTTTATTTACAGGACATTACCAATGCCTCGAAAAGGTGCTGTATCAGCACCTCTCTACATGGCTTGGCTGGAGACTTTAACGCGCGATATGCCACCATTTTTACTTGTTCGAGGGAATCATACGTCTGTTTTAACCTTTTATTCTTAATGACGCCAAAGAATGGAAAAATGAGAAGATTTGTGTACAACAAAACTTCTCTCTCGAAAATCAATTACTGAAATATAATTAATTAGTGCACTCTCAATAATGACTTAAACATTATACACGCGTAAAAAAGTGATGTTATAAAAGGAGAAAAGTAACCTTACGATATATGAAAATGGTGCCTTTATGACTGGAAAGGCACACATTTGAATGAGTTTAGTATTCAAGAGTGTGGATGTTTACCGAGGACCAATTTCTAAATCTGTTTAACCGCAATAAATTCACCAAGACTGTTATTTTTTAAACACACGTTTGCCAGAGTAATTGTTCCTAAATTTCTAAATAATGTTTTCCATCCATCAGTTATAAAAAAAAACAAATAAAATTAACTGTCTTCATGAATACTTAAAATAATGAAAATGCGAGATAAGTAATACGATATGGTCGCCAATAATATCGTCCACATGTTTGCTTACAATTATTCGAAACTTAGGTAACATACCTATGTATTTAAATTTGTATTAATGGATAAGAAAGATCGACAATCATTTGAATTTGTGTAAGAAAGTTTCTATTAAGATATTTTGAATAACTATAAGCAAGTGTGAATGTGTTTGCCACCAAATTCGAGAAGAATACTAGTCTTAGGTTTAATATTCAAATTAAAGCTGGTATGTATTTTCATTAGGTGTTAAAATTATGTACAGAAGTTTAAATTTTACTTGCATTACACTTTGTATACCAAGTCATCCATTCGTTGAAATGTTGCGGACGTTTTGTGAGAACATTATTAAATAAGTTATCTAACTGTAACAATTAAGCTGATATTAAATATTTATACGTGTGTTCTTCCATTTATACGGGTAGGAATAATTGGTAAGAGCTAGACTTTATTGTCTAGTGTATATCTTTTATTCTGTTTACAACTTAGTAGTCTTATACACTTTGGAGTAATTGCAAAAAAATTACACAGAATAACACTAAATCTAATGTTACAAATTGTGAATTATTTATCGTAAAATGCATTCCTAAAATACTTTCATATTAAAAAATGGTTACAAAAATTATGAAAACTAACGGAACGCTGAAATTAATGCAAAAAATACGCATATCAAATTGTATAAAAGTGTAATAAAATTACTTAAATATTGTAACGACTTTGAAAACACCAAGAAACCATTGCAGTATATCATTTAGAACGGTATAATATTTTATAGACATGATAAATATGCCAAAACACATCAAGCTTGCTGTAATAGATGTGTATATGTACGTATTAAGTTTATTTTATAGAAATCTTGTTTTTTTTTCTGTTCAGTAGACTCTTAATTGTGTAACTTTGCTTTAATGTGAATCAGCACATTAACTTTTAACTATCAGCGCTTTTATATATTATTAACTTTGTAGTATATTATTGAATAGTAGAAGAGCTCTTTTTGAGTAGTTAAGTGAACACGATTTATAGACTAGTAGCAAATGCATCCGAAGGTGTCAGAATACTGATGATTAATTCCTAACAATTGATTTCTAATTGTATAACATAACATATCAAAAGTAGAAGACATTTACTATAATATCGAATTTCTATGTCATTCATTTTATGATTCCATTTTTTGTGCTATATTAGAAAATTATTTTTCTTTAACTTGTATAATTTATAAATCGATTTTCTTAACGTCACAAATCTTTGTAAAGAAGAAATTTTGTGCAGTATTAATGACTCTTATATTTTGATATCAAATTGATTGTATATATTGGAAGTTAAACATATGCTATCATTGTAGAGCATAATATATAAAATTATAAATAAAAACAATGATACAATATGTTTAAAAGCATGAAAAAATAAAAAATATTAACAATAAAATATTATTTTGTTATGTATATACAAATGCTGCCACAATAAAAATTATGAATATTAGAAAAAAAGATATATAATTTTTTACACAAATGGCAAGATACAAATTATGACTGTTGTAAGTCTACAAATTAGGTAAATTATTAATGTTTCAATATATTATTCTCTATTGTAAATACATTAAAATCAAATATATATTAATCTTTTTAATTATAAAATCTCTGTTCTACTAAGATAATCTTTTTATAAAATAATTCTAAAATAATCTTTCGTTCATTAAAGTAGTTTTAGAGCGACGTAGTTGCTACGTCAATATTATAGTTTCTTTTTTTTTTGCACAGCATTTTGATAATATTTCTCCTTTTTTTAGAAATATTCAACTTCTTACTCTTATGTATTCGTATGAATGCATAACGCTAGCAATTTAGCACGTTTGCTAGATTTGAATTAGATTCTCATTTTTGGTTTAGATACTGCGAATATGTCTGGGTCTACGTACCAATAAGCAACAAGATGTTAAACCAGAACTGACTTTCGCTAATTCAGACAAGTGTAAAGACCTGGTTGGAAATTCAATTTTCTCTGCGAACACCTTACTTGATTGTGGAATCTCGTCTTCTGATCGATGAATTAATGTCCCATTCACGTAAAGTACATTCGCGGCAACATCTTCGGGGACGGTTAACGTTTGATAACTGTACGTTGCCTCCCTTTCAATTCTCTACAATATAAACAGTTCAGAAGTATTAAAAATAATATGAAGGTAATTTGGAAGGATGATATAAAGTGAAATTTTTTTGTCAACTGCAAAGCTATTAAAAGGCTTTTCAATATCACGACTTATACATCTGAAACCTAATAAATGTCTTCTAATTCGAGACTGGAAAAGTTTCTATTGTTATATTATGAAATTTGTAACTGGAATTGAAAGGTTGTTGTCTTGTACTTTTTGAGATTCAAAAGTTTACTAAATAGGAACTGATAAAAATCTGTTAAGATTAAAATTTGATACCTTCAAGACTTCCTGTGATTCTTTCCCAGCACCAACGCAGATAATGTCTGGACCAGCCATAGTGACTAAAGCTTTCAGACGTTTAGATTCAGCGACCTGTAAGAAATAATTAAATAGAAACTACTATAAAAAAATAATTAAAATTGAACTTCAAATAATTCCAGAATTATAAGATCAAATCTGTACACAATCAACTTTTATTTTCACATTTGTAACTAATATCTTTTCTATCTCAATTACATCTTATCAAAGAATCATACGTTTTGTTATAATAAGTTATATACATAATATAAGCATAGGTTTTGTTTTCATAAGCCAGTCCCTGTTATACTTAAACATGATGCATGTACTAACAAATACATATTATTCAACGTATCCAACTATTTGGTGGCATTGCATAAACAAAAACACCGAAGTAAACTTTTATTATAATGAGTGAAACAAATATACTAATTTTGCAAAATGTCATATTGGTGTAAATGATAATATTTTTGTGTATTGGATAATAATTATTCAAAAACAGATTAGTTTAATGCAGTCTAATGCTTGAATTTAGGGTAGTATATAATTTCACAGCTCATATCCAATAAAGATATTTTATGAAGAAGTTGTTATATTTGTTCCATCAACAATAAGTGCTTACTAATGTTAAAATATGTGTCTCATAGGTGACAATAACAGAAAATAGTGCAGGTATGATTGATTATTGACATTTGTTAGTTAGTAAGTTAAAAAAAAAATACAATGTATAGTATATACGAAAATTTTGTCCGAAGTTACACTTCGTCGACAATAATTGATTCAAGCTGTTCTGTATTAAACTTAACAGTATGACATATCTACATAAATAGATTCAAATTTTAATTGTGTGCAAATGTAAAAGTGAGAAATATATATATGTATATATCTCTGTTGATATGTGAATATGTGTTCCATGTGCAGAATTGCACCAAGCCATAAATCATATATTAGTACTCTCTGTATGAAAGCATTTCGTTAAAATCTGTAATATAAAATATCTAATTATAAATAAACTTGATAAAATCGTGCTAAATTGTGTTTCTAAACTGTGAAGTCTTTTTGCAATAGAATATGAAAAAGAGAGTCAGTCTAATACACTCAAACCTGAAGTGGGGCTGAGGTAAGACTTTCCACTATCACCTCTTCGCCACCATCACCCACCTTAAATGAACATTAAAAGAGTAAGTTGTATGACTTTAATATTTCTACTACATTGGTCATATGTTCAACCCAAATACATGTATGTATCTATATGCACATATTTATACATAATGTTCACAATTTCTAAACCTATGAAGTGTGTTGTAAATGCATTTCGATAATATTAAAATCGAATTATATAAGAAATATACACGTAACTAGAGGAAATATAGTGTAACCATAAAACGTGATGGGTCATAAAAAAAAGTATTACTTTCGTCTGTACTATTATTAAATAACGATTGTTATGAATGTTACTTATAATACTGTACGTACATACAAGCTGTAAAAACACTTTAAAACTAAAAGCACAAATAACTTACATTTTGTACTTGTAAATAGTTTTTATACTCATTACATTTTGCTTTACATACACTGTACAGTCACATTTATTCTATTGTCATAATTTCTTCTCTATTCTATATAAACATTAAAAACATGTAAGAAAAAGATATTTTTCTGAAGCAGAACAACTATAAGAGACATATACATTTTAATGTCTTAATAATACATTATATTTATTACAGACAAAGATTATAGAATGGAATTAAATAAACTGAATAATTTGAAAAAAAATTACAATATGCAGAGAGAAAAGAACAATACTAATTGAAGAAACGTTTTAACAAATGGTTCATGCTGCTTTTAGATGTTTTCTGAACAGTTAGAAACTAGAAATATTTTGTACAAGTAGAGTAGAGCCTTACGAAAATAATTCAATGCGTTTTAAAAAGCCGAGGTACATGAAATACATTGAATTATTAATATGGTAATTGATAATTAACCAACCTTAATAGGTACACAGGGATATTCTGGGAATGCTGCTGCAACAGCCCTTGCACCTGCTTCATTTGTATAATGAGACAGTCCAACAAAGAATTCTCGACCTACAATAATAAATTAAAAATAATAATTACCTTAGTAACTCTAATTAGTAATTTAGTAAATTATTCATAGACTATGTAACAAGTTTCAATGATATTTAATAAGATTTTTATTTCATGTAAAACTCCTAATTGAGTGAAGAAATTTATGTGATTTCAGTGTTTTGTAAATTAATATATAAACATCTATATTTATACAAACACCCATAGTCTGGTTATTAGAGTAATTATAGAAATAAAAAAATTACCAGTGAATAACACATCTCCTCCATCGAGACGAGCATTTTTGTCCGCAATTTCTATAAGTGGGATCTCCAATTCCTTCTTTAACACAGCCCTAATTGTCTCAATCTGAAAATTAGATCATCACCTTTTCAGCTATCAATACACCGTGGTGACAGATCTATTCAATGTAGAGTACAATTCGTTATGCGACGCTTGAATTTATACATACTTATACACGCAACTGGCGTGAGTATAATAAAAAATGTTTATCAATGAATGGAAAACGTTGGAAATAAACCTCTTTTATCCGAGACGACTCGTTCGGCCGTGCTATCAGCGCGATACCATTGCAGACGACAGCAATGTCTTCGACAAAAACACAGAGCGGCGAATTTTCGTCCGGCGGCATTTCCACGACATCGATGTCGAGTTCTCGCAAAAGCTGAGCCAACGCCAAATGTTGTGTTCTAGCTTCGTCTAACGTGACCTCGCCTCTCGTACGAAGCGAAAGGGGAATTCGGCACATTACCGCGTGCGTGTAACGATGAAAAGGCATGGCTTATGGGTAAAACCAATTATGTTGTTAAAATATCACGTGATCTTTGGTTTCCTTCAGTTTCCAATTGAAACGAGACAATAGCAAATAGATTACACCACCCTCTATGTCTTGTCAGAACGCAGAGTGCCATCAAGTGCCACTAACGTAGAAATTTGACGTTTATATAAAAACAACAATGAAACAGCGGTGTCAACATTCACTCTTACAATGTCACTAGATTGACCGCAACGCAGATTACGCATTTTTCAGCGGCGGAAATTGGAACTAATTTCAGAACTTCTTCCAAAACTTAAAAGTTTTAGAATTAATTATTTTGTTATTATTTATTATTTCTTATTACTTTTTTGGTTAATTGATATTAGGAATAGGAGTGGAGATAGTGTCGAGATTAATGAATAACGCATATGTATGATTTGACTGTTTTTTATTGAAACTTAGATACTTATTTTACTTAAATCCTATTTACCTATATAATTTTACAATATACTTGTAATGATATTTATATAAATTCAGAAAAAGTAGGCTTAGATATTATTCAGGCTTATAAAATATTGTAACTTATATGCCGCAAATAATTCCCTCCTCTGTAACTTGCAAATCTTCCGTACCGTCTTCAAAGCTTCGTAAAGGTTCTAATAGCACCGACTAGGTATAGGATAGACCTTTCATCTTATGGGAATTGGTGGCCCATCTAAATTATAGTACCGACGGTACCGACACCTTAAAAATCCTACGATTTTAGCGATCTCTACGTTTTGAGAACCGTGAATCTGCGGTGGGTAATGACACTAAAATGGAAATGGGGTATGTAACCCCAGAAAAATGGGCCGCAAAAATACATTGGATGAAATATCTACTCCTATACGGTCGTGATTCACGACTTATTTGTGTGTGAAGTAAATGATAGATACGCGCTCTCACTCACATATTTCACCCACCACTGCCATGTGCCCGCACGCTGCACGCCGTTGCCCGCCAGTGAGTTTGGCGGGCCGCTGAGTTGCCCATCATGTTGAATATGCTAGCGTGGAACCAAAATGGTTAGATTCTTACATGATTTCTACTATTACTATCATGATTACTATTATACTATTAGTGACTATTATGCTGGAATTGGCCGCTTGGTGTAGCACACATACTCGGGGACTCGGGGACAACTGGGGACGACGAATTCCCGGGCATTCCCGGGCGTGAGGCTGAGCATTGAGTAGCCTGAGTAATGCTCACTGAGCACTCTCATTTCCTCTATGATACTGTATTTGCAAAGCATACGAAACGTTCTACAAATTAATTCAAATTGTTTCGTTATACATATTTCCGATAGCACGATGTTACTAATATTTCAATGTAATTGTTTTAGATGGATAGAAAAATCTGTTATTTCCTAATTATGTTTTGTTATTGTTGTGTGGTAGAGTTTATTATGTTTGAATATGTACTTAAAATTACTTAATATAATATGAATATTAATAATGCAAGTAATATTAACAATGACAGTAGTAGGCCAGTAACACCATCAGAAGAAGATTGCTGCCACAATGGATGTAACCCTTGTATCTTTGACATACATGCAAAATTATTGGAGGAGTATAAAAAGAAGAAGAAAGAAAATGTAGAAGTACAAAACAGGAAAAATATACTATGCCAATTTTCGTACAAGACTTTCGAAATCACTGACATAAAAGAAACATCGGATGATTATATTTTACTCCTTTTGAAATGTCAAGGTAGACTCCTGGTATTACATTTTAATTTATTTAAGTATATTATTAATTATAATTTCACATTATTTATAGAAATAAATTCAAAAAATAACATGACCTTGTTAATAGAACCAGGACAACATGTTATGTTACATTTATATGATGCGACTAAACCATTCACACCATTTTATTATACAGATGATACCATTCAATTTTTAATCAGGCTTTATCACACTGGAAAGTTTAGTACATATTTAAGAAATGCAAAAATTGGCGAAAGAATTCGTGTTAGAGGACCATATGGGAACTTTAAGTATAAGCACAACAGGTTTGAAAATTATTTATGTTCTATGGTTACTTCACTTTTTCTTTAGATGGAATATTAGATTAATAAAATGAGTCATATGTAGGAGCCATTGAAAGATGAATAATATACAAAAATCTAAAAAAATTTCCTCTAGTTTTCAGAATATAATTATGTTTAGTATGGGATCTGGAATAACAGCAATGTATCCCATATCAAAATCAATTATAGACAATGAACTTGAAGAAACAAGGATTCATTTTATTGGATGCTTTCTAAATATATTACAGATTCCTTTGAAGAAGGAACTGCAAATTTTATCAGATTATTGGAATTTTAAATGTGCATTATACATATCAGAATTGCAAAGTGAGTTACATGTTCTTCTTAAGTTCGACAGTAAAAGTATTAACTACATTTCATATTCGTATGATACTCCTGTATACAAGATAATGTTTTTTTAGGTAAAATTTTAATATTGTATAACACTTTTTGTGCGAACATCTAATTACCATTAAATAATAAAATTAAAACTACACATCTACTTAAATGATAAAACATATTTGTCATTTATGTTTCAGACGAAGTTCATGATCTTCATGGTATAAATATAAAACCTGGCCGATTAAATAAAGAGTCAGTCCATCAAATACTTGAAGGTAATATGAATAATACAACATTAATCCTAATATGTGGTTCAAACGAATTCAATAAGTCTGTTGAACAATGGGCAAGAGAAATGAATTATAAACACATAAACGTGTTTGAATGATAAACCAATGAGTAAACATATCATGTAACTTATCTTAAATGAAGGTGCATTATTAAGAATACTATTTTATGCAACATGATATACTTTCTTGGCACTGTGGACAAGTACCATGAATATGGTCAAATACAATATGATTCCCAGCAACAGCTTGCAACCACTAAAAGGTAATAGATGTATTTTATGAATGCTATTTTAAACTTTAATACTTCTATACAAAATAATCTAGTATTGAATAAACATACCTGTAATAAACAAGGTGTGTGAAAGTGTCTTCTACATTTTTCATTACTGCAGATTTTATCAGGTAATAGTTCATTGTCTAATTCCATAGAGAAACAAATGCAACACTCTTTATCAGAGACAATAACATTCTTATCTTCTATGTATTCTTCCTCTTCTTTTTTGGGAAATGTGTCTATATTTAACAGCATCATTAAATTACTTATAATATTACATTTTGGATTCCAGTTCTGAAAAAAATACAGAAGTATCTAATACCATAATTTTTTGAATGAAACCAACAATCTGTATTTTAACACATTGGTTGCCATGTGACACATCGACATGTTACACCCTATTTTCTAGTGTTTTATTGATGCAAAAATTACAACGTAAAATAATATCAGATAATTTTAATGTTTTTTTTAAATTTTAATTGATGAATAAAATACTGAGGATGAACTTTTGTTGCCATATTATGGTTTAATATATTGGCATATGGGGAAAAAAATAGGTTTACATACATGCACATTCTTAGACACCAAATCCCTTTGCAATTCAGCTTGTGTTTCACTACCCATGAATTTAATTTCAGGTACATCCATGGGATTCAAGGGATCTATTTTAACAAACATCGATAACAATGATGTTAAATAAATTCTGCGATAGAGATGACAAAGTTTTGGTTGTAATGGATCTAGTATCTGACAGTTCCTGTTTGTTAAAAGAATGATATATAATTAATGCATATTTATGAAATAATTTAATGAATATTCTTCTTCAATGTTAAATTTAAATGAGTAAATTATGTTTACTTGTCGATCTGCTGCAGATTGAACCAAGCTTTCTCAAATATCTCTACTTGTAATTTCAATTTATTTCGTGCTATACTTAATGTCGATACATTCTTTTCAAAAGGTCCAAAGGCAGGAATTTCAGGCAAATCTGAATAGATAACACTCCACGGACACGCACTGCTCTTTGTCCTTTGTAATTTTAAAGACACATTGTTCATAGATAATTTGATTATATTTAAACTAGTGTCAGATAACAGTTGAACTTCCTTCAAGAACATAAGTTTATGTAATGTATATTTATGTTATTCAAACTATTATGTAATAAAGATATTAGTATCAGAAATTGAATACATACAGATGGAATCTCCAGAGCATCCTTTAATTCTTGTAGTATATCCAGTGCACTGTTATCTATTGCTTCATACACATTACCTTCTATATAAGTAGCATCAATGAAATTACTCTGTTTAAATTGTTCCTGTTGTTAGTTCTCAGATCGAATGTAGAATTAATAAATTTATATAAACGGATACATATTATTAACATATACAACATATGAAAAAACTAAAAAGTTATATAACATCCAAAATAATTATTGAGAAGTTAATAAAATATATACAAGTGTTTCCTGTGACTTACTATAAGTGACTGTAATTGCCTTAAAAACAACGAAGTTTTCGTACTATTTGCCATTAAATCCTCCACCTGTTGTCTAAAATTGGTGTTGCGTATAAGTGTAATTTCTTTGCCAAAATTAATTTTTGCATTGTGGAAAGACGGATAATTCGGTACAACTAGTTTTAATTTGATACGAATAGTACATCCAAAACGAGATCGACACGAAACTGTCAAAAATCCTTGCCAGGTAACCGGAATCTCAGAGATTAGTATCATTTCAGGGTGCCATTGAATAATAGCTTCGTAATCGTTAATAACCATTATGTTTAATTAATTAAATTCTTGTTATCGTTAAGAACATATTAACTGCAAAAGGTACAAATATCAACAGTGATAAGTAGAGGTGTTTATATGTATAGTAGGTTGTTTATATGTAGAGTATAGTTTTCTTAGAACTGTTTCATAAAAATAAGAATTGTACATACAAATATTTACTTCGTTCAAGAGTTTTAAGAAATTAAGAATGATACAAAAGTTTCATTAAATTCCCATCAAGTTTTGTTGTTATATCCTATATATTTGGTTATGCTGTAAACATGTAAACACCTCAAAGTAACAGTAAAATTTGAAACGAACAAAAGTTGACACTTTTAACGACTACAAATTTCTTTGTTCAACTGTTAGCTACATAGCTCTCTTAGCTTATCACACTTATCACAAACATATACATATACCTACAATACCTACATATTTTATCGACAATTACATGTGTCAAACATTTTTGTGATCGAGAGATCTTGTATTAAACTTAATCTTACTCTATACTAATAAATTAGTTTTTAAACACAATTATTATTTATTATTTTTTCTGATTATTTTCATACGATGACATTCGTACATATATATATATTAAATTCAAGAAATAATTGTATTTAAGTGAATTCATAAATCAAAATTCCAATGTATTAAGATTAATTAAATTCACAATGTTTTTCTATGAATTTTGAGTAAAATCTTCTATGTACATACTTGAGACTGTACTCTTTAAAACATAATCTACTATGGTTACTCAATGCTGCTTTTATTCATTTTAAACGTAAAAATGAATGGTGCAATTGTTAGTAAAGTATTTTCTTTGTGAGTTGTCTGCATTGTACAGATTATGTTTTCCTAATTTTTATAACTTTTAATCGAACTATTTGAATCTAAATGACCTTGGACGGAAATCTGCATTATATCTTGCCTATGTGTACGGATAAAATGTTTATACATGGTTGAGTTTACGTGTCACGTCGTTATCATGTATCACTCGCGATAGTAAACATTCCACAGAGTTTAGCATTGCATTTCTTATAGTTTTCCTAAGGACAGTGGAAAAAAAAGTGACAATGCTGCATCCCAACACATGTGAAGTAAACGATACTTAAATGTTACGTGTTCATAACACGAAGGAATGTTACAGATGTGATTTTCTTTGTTGTAGGTTATGAGTCACAGTCTGTTCCTTTGTCATTTGTGATTATCAGACTAAACTAATTCTTCTGTTGCCAATTTAAAACCTTGAATGTGATTGAAACATTAGAGTGAAGTTTAAGAGATATGTACAGCAGATGTGGCATTGAGACCAAAAAGAAATATATACATATACGTGAATGTTACATCTTTATTATATATATATATATATATATACATATTATATATAACAAAGTATCACACAATAATGTGTTATAACTGAGTAAGAGTTTTACCAATTGTACTTACCAATGATATAGAGAAAAGTTTCTATAAGTAATAGTATATTTATTACAATGATCACGTACTGTGATTAATAAATTTAATTATATGCAAAAGAGAATAGAAAATATTAAATCTTGTGAATCATACTGATTATTTAAAAGAAAGTACACAGTATTATCTTTAATTGTGTCCAAAGTATTAATGCAGAGCTACATGTGTTTCCTGTATTTTTTAAAATAATACAGTGCTCTATAAGATGATAAATATTAAACTGATAAAGTACAAAGAAACTTGTGAAATTTGCTAATATAGTGGATTCTGAAGTATCCATAACATTTAACACTGATAAGTCATTTAATAAAAGAAATAAAAAAAACTATTCTTTATCGAATATGAGTGGAACAATAAGAGACCAGCCATGGGGTACACAAGTATTAGAAAGCACAGTCTCCACATGTTGTCCTCATCGCCGTGTCAATCGAATGGCATGGCATCAGGGTGGCATCTTGGCCCTGACATATTTGGCATACACTTGTTATCATATGACGCGAAAGCCAATATCTGTTGTCAAGAATGTATTGAGTCTTAACTGTAGCAGTTTGTCACCACCTCCAAATTTTTTAATTAATAGTACAAATAGAGATACATGGTGTGATTGGGCTCCATTTGGTAAGTTGTAACTCAGTGGTAGAAATAATTATTGTGAGAAAAGAATGTAATCAAGTAAAGGTTTATTTAATATTTCATTTTCAGATACCGAAGATGCTCCAGCATTACTTGGCATGTTAGACTCTGCATTTCTGTTCACGTACGCAGCAGCCATGTTCCTCAGGTGACATTGAAGTGAGCTTACTTATGATGCAGAACATAGATACACTATATTGATTATAACGTACATATTTTTCTGTACAGTGGTTTTATAGCTGAAAGAGTAAACCTACGTTACTTTCTTACATATGGTATGCTTGCGTCGGGTATATCATGTTATCTTTTTGGTATTGCTAGGCCATACAATATTCACAGTTTATGGTATTTTGTTCTAGTTCAGGTACATGATAACAATTACAGAAAGTAAATCATTGTTCACGTAAATATACTTCATTATTAATTTTATGTAGGCAATTGGTGGTGTCTTTCAAACGTCAGGTTGGCCAGGTGTGGTTACTGTTGTTGGAAATTGGTTTGGAAAAGGAAAACGAGGTTTAATCTTTGGAATATGGAACTCTCATACATCATTGGGGAACATTTTGGGTAGTTTAATAGCTGCTGAATTCGTGGAATCTGATTGGGGATTAAGTTTCATGGTACCTGGAGCCACAATGGGCTTAGCAGGATTTATAATATTCCTATTTCTAGTGCCCAATCCCATAGACATAGGATGTATTCCACCTATTCCTCCTAGATACAGGAAATTTGATGCTACTCACAGTTCGGATGAAAGCAGTGGTATAGATGAATGTGAACATTTCAGTAATGACATTGAAGATGTAAGTTGAAAACATTTTCTATTTTTTTTAACAGGGTTCTAGTATGACTATCAGCATGCTGTCCTTTGATAGAAATATATATTTCATAACCATTAGTTTTGTTATTCTATATCTAGCACTGGAATGTAGATGGATTTTTTTAAGGTTCTCATGCATATGATATATTTCAGAATATATTATCAGCATAAATTCCATTTTGTTGTATGTATAGTTACCATTAAACGCTTTTCACTTTTATATTCTATTTAATTTTTTAATTTCATATGTAATTTTCTAGTATATTACACAAACATTATGTAGTAAGACTCATAATTTGATGCGTATTATTCATATGTATATTTTTTTGCACATGCCATATGCTCACTAAAGATAACCCATTTGCTGTACTTAGCGTCTCATCTATCGCTGCGCCTACCGCGAACAAGTTGGTGTTGATGTAAGTGCATGCATTCTTTTTTTACATAATTAATATTGCACCTTACACATAGTTGGATTAACATCAAATGCATTTTGTTTTCTGTACTATTAGGTATATACAAAAATAGTGACCGTCGCGTGTAAGTTATGACTGTTGTTTCATTTTATTTTATCGATAAGGGATTCAATTCTTTCCAGAAAAATGGCAAAAAGATTTAGAAAATAAAGTGAACTATTTCACATGATAAATTATGTAGTAATTCTTCCATATTATCCTATTACTTTTGCATACACCTAATATATTATATATATATATACATATGTTTTAACACTTATCACTATGAATGTTTATGAAGCGATTTATTTCTTTCAAGGATTTTGCAAGTACAAGATCTGAAACTAGCCCGATATTATCAAGACATAGGCGTGTACATGATCATCATAGAGGAAATGCAATTGGATTTGTAGGAGCTATGAATATACCTGGTGTTATAGAATATTCTCTTTCCTTATTCTTTGCGAAGCTTGTAAGCTATACATTCCTGTACTGGTTACCATTGTACATTGCAGCAACAAGTTAGTATTTATTATGTTACAATTATAAGGATGTCCCACAATGAATGGTCCAACTGTCACGTAGATGATATTGTATTAACACACATTACAAATACTTTTATCTCTCTTTTAGATACTTATGGCGCCACATTCAGTGCAGATCTTTCAACTTTATTCGATGTCGGTGGAATTGCTGGTGCAATAGCAGCCGGTGTTTTATCCGATTATACTGGCATGAGTGCTCTAACATGTGCGCTTATGCTTGGATTCGCGGTTCCCGTGGTATGTACTGTTTCATCTAGACCAATGACAAGCAACCTGCGACCCACTGGTTACTTATTTGTGATGCGCCGAAGTTGTTTGTGCGATCTATTTTCATCAACTAAGGTGATAAAAAATGAAATAAAAGCTAAAGTAGATTAACACTGTTTAAATGAATAAATTAGGTTTCAGATTATTGGGTTTTCAACTTTGGCCCATCGCAAAAAAAGGTTGCTTGTCACTAGTGTAGAATGTATTTGTACATACTTCATAATGTAAACACTAGACATTCTTAAATTAATGATTTTTTGTTTATATCGTAACCCATTTTAATGCAGTTGTTCATATATGACTACATTGGAAGCACGGGTCTAGGCATCAACATAGTATTACTAGTATTAGCAGGACTATTGGTCAATGGACCGTATGCTTTGATAACAACTGCTGTGTCAGCTGAGCTAGGAACTCATCCTAGCCTAGGAGATAATTCTAAAGCTTTAGCTACAGTCACTGCTATCATCGATGGAACAGGCAGTATCGGTGCTGCTGTAGGGCCATTGTTAGCAGGCTTGGTGTCACGTTGGGGTGGTTGGCATAATGTATTTTATGTGCTCATGTTCGCAGACATGCTCGCATTGTTGGTACGTTTTCTTAATATTAAATCATTAATCGATAACAGACATTCATAAAATTAATTCAATCTTTATTATTTCAGCTTTTATCAAGATTGGTTTACAGAGATATCCAAATGTACAGACAACGACGACGAGCTGTGTAACTTTATTCTCGTTTGTTAGACAAAGGATAAAATGAATATATAAATAAATAAATAAATTGTTTTAATCTCTGCATTTAAAATTTCAGTTTTTGTTTTAATATGCAACGTATAAAGTATTGATTTGTACTCTTGTCTAAGACTTATACATTGTTGAATTCTCGAAATATTTATGCGCATTAAAATAAATACTATATTTTTTATACCATTGAGTATTACAATTTAATCAAATACAGAATAAAAATATAACAGTCTTGTTTTTTTCATTGATACATCATAAATATAATAATTGCATATTCGTTACCAGTTAAAATAATTTTATCATAATGTTAAGGAATACCTGTGGGAATTATGTAACTTATTGAATCTGCAAATTCACCCCATGCTGTCCTTTGTGTCTGAAATGTAATAATCCATGCTAGAAGAGCAGCCGACCATAAACCTGCACCTATGCCAGAGAATATCACATCTGAAAATTTATTTTAATAAGCTATCTATTAAAGGTTCTACACACATACATACAGATGTATGAAAACACATTAGGTAGGACATATAATTTGCAGCCATTGTGCAATATTAACCAGAGAAAGACTGAACTTTGAGTTATCATCTTGATCTATTTTGATTTGGTATTAATTAATCTTACGGATGTAAGGGACAATAAACAATATATATTTTGCCATTGTAGCATGATACATTATCATTAACATATATAATCAGTTCACTCAAAAAAATTTCTTGGTGAAGCAGAATATTAAAATAAATTAATTAAAAACTTACATCTTTTAATCTGCTTTTGTTCTTCATAATGCGGAACAGTGAAAGCTTCTTTGGCGAACCAAACAGCATTCACAGCCCAAAGAAACGGCAGAAGGGCAAACCCAGCTATGAATGAAGCAAAATAATTTATACTTTTTGCATAAATAATCAGAGTATCAGAATCAAGCATGACTCACCTCGAAAATACCATTTGCAGATGTATAATTTCTTGTCATTTGGAATTTTTGACAAATCCATAATGACAATAGGTATTTTAAATGTATGACCTATACCCTTGTTATAAATATGTTCATACACGCATGTACAATATTATTCTATGTATTATAATGCTATATCTGAGCACGGTTAACAAAATTAATTAAGACGTTAACAGAAACAGGAGAATAATATAAAAAATACATTAGCGAAGTATCAAACCAAAACGTAAGATATTCTTCCGGAGTAGAAACGTTACTCACATTTCCCGGAAGATGGTGTAACAGAGCACGAAAAAAGAAAGGAAGGGATGCGCTTTAAATGTTCTCATAGGAAACAAGTTAATCGCAGAGTTACTTTGAAAAGTATAAATTACTTTATGATACCTGACGATTCACCTTACGTAAATTCTGCCGTAGCTACGAGTAGAAATATTACTGTGGATATATTCAAAAAAATGCATTGGTCACTTTTACAGCGCCTTGACCTCCGCGTATGAGAAAATGTTGAATATCTTCAACATTTGGACACCCTGTATACCCTTAACAAAAGATATACGAAGTCCTGAATGACCACCACTTTCCCAATCGTAATGGTGGGAGCAAGTCATGTGACTGGTTACTTGCCGCCCCGCTTGTCGCACGAGTATCCGTGGCCAGCCATTTTGATTAGTAACATGGCGTCAGCGGAGATTAATATGGCGTCCTCGGACATAATAACCGAAGTGGAGATTCAACCAGATATTCAAGAGGTTGAAATAGAAACAATACCGGTGGAAATACCCTGTGAGACCGTGGAGACTACCATCGAGGGAGAGGATGGCCAGCCGATGATTGCTCTTCAACCACTTCCAGAGCCAGGACGCGAAGAAATCATACTACAGACGCAAGAGGAAATCGTCGGCAGTGATCCGTTGAGCGTATACGATCAGATCCCGGTACCAGAGAACGATATTTATGTCGAGTCGAGTCCCGGTCCATCGAGAAAGGGTCCAAAGAAGGCCAGAAAGAGCGGCACAACGCGTTTCCGAACGACCGATCATACGATATTCGGGGAAATGGGCTCGGAAACGAAGGCTAGAAAGTGGGAGCAGAAGCAAGTGCAAATCAAGACGCTTGAAGGTGAATTCTCGGTGACGATGTGGGCCTCAGGCACCGATGATGGTAAGTCTTCGTCGTTTATTTTCTAACCTCTTTATTTCTCTCTTTTTTTTTTCTTTTGGCAATTTAAACGAACACATATCGAGGTAGTTCCGCCGTGAGACTTTGTAACGGCTATCCCTATCTCCATGTACACTGTTGGTACGCACTTCCGGTCGACTCGAATCAATACCGTACTTTTCTTACGGGTTCGTTAAAGAAATCAGCGGGTCGTTCTCGGATTCTTTATTATCTACGATTTCGTTGACAGTTTGCGTTGTTTGTTTTGATCGAGAGAACGCCATTATGCTGCCAGGGGGCAGCCATATTTTGAAAATGGCTTCTTTTACGTGGATCTATCCTCACGAATGATAATGGCGGAGTTGCGCTTATAGCGGAACTAGCGAGATCCACGCCTTATCTTTATTTCCCTAAATGCATTACTTTAGTTGATCTTCCACCTTTATTCTTACATCTATATTAGCTTCTGCATATTTTACTTGAATGGAATCTCTTATTTCTTGTTTTCCGTAGAAAATGACTGAAAACGCTGAATTTATTCTATCAGACATGAAAGTATCCATCTCTACCTCTTACGTCATTCTGTATGAAATCTTTAATTCTTGTCCAATCGTTTATAGACATCGGAATAATTTCAATAATTAATTACTATTTATTTTCATTGAAACAATATGATTCTGAACTTCTTAATTTTATTATGTAAATTCAGTAGCATTCATATTACGTTTATCTTTGTCACACTGTTTTACTATATAAAAAGATATGATTAGATTTATTCGATAATTTCACCTGATCATTACTGTGACATAATAATAGAATGTTTTCAAAATATAGTTAACATTCAAATAATCTATCTATTAAAATAAATAATACAGTTTTCATTACTTTTGCAGATATAAATTGTTGAGTTATTATTTGTATAAAAAATTTATTATATATATATTTTATATATTTTATGTTAAATTCAGTATTTGCTGATAAACAAAAAATTATATTAACCATGAAACTTTTAAATATGTAATTTTTATTGTTCCCTGTTCTTTTATTTTCCACATTTGATACATTATTACATAGTTCTCCATTGCTTAAGAGATATTTTGAGGCTTTACAATTAAGTACAAATAAAAATTATAAAATATTCGTAAACCAAAAATAAGTACAGTAGCTTTTGTTTGGGACTGCTTGTTTGTTATTGTTAAAGGGAGTGTCCTATTAGCTCCTCACCTGGTGGATGTTCCAGATGAAGGCTCAAATCCAGAGCCTGATCCAGACTACACAGAATATATGACTGGTAAATCCAATGCCAAATTCAATCACTCTGGGAGCTCCATTTCTGATGGAATGCCAGGTCTTGATTTATCGGATCCAAAACAACTGGCTGAATTTGCTAGGCCTGGTCACAAATTGAAAGTACGCAAACCGCCTGTTTTAGATGGTGTTGAACGCACCATAGCCTGTCCACATAAAGGATGCACAAAAATGTTCAGAGATAACAGCGCGATGCGTAAACATCTGCACACTCACGGGCCACGAGTACACGTATGCGCGGAATGTGGGAAAGCATTTGTTGAAAGTTCCAAATTGAAAAGGCACCAACTGGTTCATACGGGAGAGAAGCCTTTCCAATGTACGTTCGAAGGATGCGGCAAAAGGTTTAGTCTCGATTTCAATCTTCGTACTCATGTTAGAATTCACACTGGTGACAGACCTTACGTTTGCCCGTTCGATGGATGCAGCAAAAAGTTTGCACAGTCAACGAATTTAAAGTCACACATATTAACACACGCGAAGGCTAAGTAAGTATATATTTTGGATTCATAATAAATATTTAATAATCAAAATGGAATATTTGATAAAGTCGTATGTTAATTTACAGGTCACGTAATGCTATCGGGAGACAAGTACAACAAATTCAACTTCAGCAACCTCAATTTGTTCAGGTTGAAGTTGCGGACGTGGATAATCAACAGTTCATTGTTTATGCTGATTAGCCCCCCTAAACAATGATCTCATATCCTACTAAACCTACTATGGAATATCGTAATCATTAATTAGTAACCTAAACAGTGTAAATATTTTCATGATACAAGTGATGCGGGCAGGACATTACTAAAAGCTGTTAGTTATCTTAAGAGATGAAATTAAGTAATCGATTTATACCTCTGTGCTTAGACGCAAAAGTAAATGGATAACATGAGCACTATAACTACCATAAAATGAAAAAAGAAGAAAAAATAAAGTAAAACTATGCTAAAGAAGGTAGTGTATCTTCTGAAACATATAAATGGTAGGATGTTGCGCACTGCTCAATCTCATGTCCGAGTAACTAACTGATACCTAGTGCGCTTTCATAACAAAACTGTATATATTTATACGTAAAGTAAAATATTGTATACAGTATATTTTGGAGAAATTCTGATGAGAATAAACTACAAGATATGTCTTTTTCCGTCGGACTTAATTGTACCACTTAATATACTTTTTACACTATATAATGGTAATTGTTAATAGTCATTCAAAAGAAGAAAAAGGAAAGGAAACATAAATGCGTCTATTGTATATTATAGTTTAATGTCCGCAAAATATGATACCTTTATTCCTGTAAAATTATTAAGAGGTTTTTAAGTATTGTCTATTGAAGTAGACAGGGGAGAGAGAGCATTGTAAGATCAAATGGATGCGTGTTTAATATTGTCGGCATTGAAAAAGAGAACAGATTCATTCGAAAGATGTACGTTGACATAATATATTTTATCCGTGATATTTACGAATACATTGTGATGTATACATGTGCATCGATGCAATGACGTTAACGAAGTTGTTAAGAAATTCGTGTCATTTCGAAGTAAGAAGCAATAGTTTATAGATAGATTTATAATATCGACTGTATTAAATGGCGATTGCGTGCATCCCATTACATCGTTATTCATTAATATTCGCATATCACAATTTTATACATGCAGCTACAACGTTATAGCATACCTACAATTCGACCTACATTCTATAATTCTAACATTATTTATAAAACAAAAAAACTTGGATAAGTTATTTAAATCGTATAAAGTATATTCTTTCATAAATATTTCTTTACAGCTATGCATTTCACATTTTATAGCTGTATGCGTTCACCAAAAGAGAAATACTTTAAAGTATTTCCGGAGAGTTCGTTTTTCAAAGACATTCTGAGTGAACACACGATCTGTTGTATGAAACTACAATCTTGAATTTCTTTCCTGCTATATAATATCTGGTCTTTATTTGTTTGTATATTCCCAGTAATTTTTATGTATAAGATATTTTTATGAGTTGTAAACACTTTAAATTGATTAATTTCAATTTATAATAAAGTACGAAACATTTATATGAATTCTGTCAGTGTGCAGCGTGTAATGTAATTTGGCCTATATAAGTAGCAACGTTTGCTTATGGAAAGAAGTTTAAGAAATCTTTGTAGAATTTTTAATGCCTGATGGAAAAATAGAAGCTTGATCTGGTATTAGTCTGCCAATAAATATTTTTTATCAACACTAACATTATGAGCATTCAACATAATTTCTTGCACATTGTAATAATAATTGCTTCCTGATGGAAGTAATGTTAAATATAATGTGAAATTAAAAAATAGTAATCGTTGTGTGTTCGGATATTACTGCTGTCTTCATATTACATTGTAGTTTCTTTTTATTTGGGTTTAAAAGAAAGTGAAAAAACATAATTTTTCAGTTGTTTTTATTATTGTTATTACACATGCAAAATTTCTTTTATACTGTGATAACTTTATACAGTCACAATGTTCGCATATAAAGATTCAATAATGCATTGAAAATTAATGAAAAATTATAAGAATTTTACGTTTATTTATATCTATTTATAGTAACATAGCAATTTATACAGTCATATAGTAATTTATTAAGTCTGAATGAAAGTGAAAAAAATTAGTTTCTATTGATATTAATGCTTAATATCCGGAAAAGAAGTGATATTCATTACTTTCAACTGTAACATAATAATATAGTAAATAATTTCACGCTACTCTGCCCCTCAATCGTAACATTTAAAACATACTTATGTGTGCATTATATTTTATTCCGTTTTAGAAAAGTACATATCTCGTGTTCATTTTTATCCGTTTTATGTAACTTACTGTTTGAGTGAAAAAAAAAGTTAATGTTATCTCAAGATCTTCAGATAACTAGCGAATGAAAGTTTAAAAATGTATCGTTGAATACATTTCTTCCGACAAGACAGTCAAAAGGATAACAAGATCACTTTAGACCCTTCTATGAAGAATTATTACAAATGGAAATTATAATTAGTACCTCCCAGACCGTCCATCTCTACCCTTATCTTCTCTACCTTTTCGACGATCTTTGGATCTAGATCTCCTATCACGAGAGCGTGATCTTCTCTTACGGTCACGACCACGAGATCGTGAACGTGATCTCGATCTACCACCTTTACCACCCTTCTTGCGGCTGTACAGATAACGCCGTAATTCTCGAGAAATAGGTTTCAAATGCATAAAGTTACAAAATCCTGATCGAGTACATTCTCTGAAACAATATTAAAATTCGAGTGTAATAAAAATCTGTATAATGTTCTTTCAATATATTTTTATTATACTTCTAAATGAATACATACCCCATTTCATACTGACGGCAACAAGCTTCCCTGAAGTCAGTAACTGGTGAAAGTTCAGCATAAACTGGTCTTCCACCAAACCATCTGTTATTTAAGTCGTTAACAGCTCTCTCTGCATCCTCTTCTCTTCGAAACTTAATGTAAACATTCCCAACCAAGTGATCTCCCAGATTGTCACAGACATTCATTTCTTCTATTTCACCATACTTGTCTTCACATTCAACAAAGACATCTTCAAAGAAGTTATCGTAGTGTTCTTGCATTTCTTCGTCAGATACATTGGCAACCACTGTAAAATAATACTTATAAAACTGTATAAAGTGGTATTATTAATTTTCAGGTTAAATAAATGACAAATTTTGTCATTGTAACTATTTATTTAGAGTATTAATTTATTGATTAAGTAGCTTTAGATTATGAATGCTCTTATAAGCCCAACATTGATTAGTGGGTTGAATAATTATTATACTTACAATGAGATCCATCTGCACTTTTTGCTGAATTCTGAGGATTTACATAAAGATTCTGTAATAAACATGTCTGGAACAAACAAATTATTAATTTATTAATGAAAGAGTACTATGTTGAAGTATGTGGCATATCATAATCAATAAGGCATGTAAGAAATGAATAAATCTAAGCACTGTACTTTTGACAATTTATAACACACTGAAATCATACACGTGAAACAGGGCAAGAGTCGATAGAAGTTAAAACTTGATGGTAATTATAAGGAAATGAAACGGAGTAAAAAGGTTAAGGAAAACATCTTTACCTGACTGAAAGTTGGCTTGTTATGAATTCGTGAGCATCGATCCCCGTGTCGGCAAGCACCAATTTTAAAATAAAACGAACAGTTTACTCTGAAATAATGAAAAAAAAGGGACGTTGTTAAGCTTTTGTATGAAAAATTCAAACCCGTATCAATTGGAAGTCTTCACTTACTTGTCTTTTTCTGTACCAAAAATTGATGCCAAGTACTCTGCCATTGTTCCCTGTTTCTTAGTATGTTGGAATTAGAATGTTGTGTTTTTTAAAGCGCGCAAAGAGCCGCTTTGCCACAACATACACAACCTTTTGCGTGCGACTCCGTTTTCAAAATGGCGTGGTAGCCAGTGTTATAAAACGCTCGCTTAATAAGTTCGCGAGTGATCCTTCTAGTTTCTCTACTTCATCTCTAGAGGGCACCGAAATTTGTCCTATGAACATTTTTAACAGGAATAAAATAAATACTTTTCGACACACGGAATTATTCATTTATAACAATATCGTGATTTATTTCGTGAATTCTAATGTTTCTATTTTGTTGTATTATTAAGCAATTGTTGTATTTCTGTGCGGCGTTGTCAACCTTATCGATGAACATTTCAAATTCTTGGCAACTCGTGACTTGAATAGATGTCACTGTATTTTAAAAGGAAAATTTGTTTTCATCAACATGAGTCATATGTAAAGATTTTCTTTACAATTACTATAACAGTAGTTTGGGAACGAAAAGTTTGTTATGCAGCATGTCTTCCTCAAGTTGTACAGATAACGTGAAGTACATTTATCAATTGCCATTTTTCGAACGGTCGGAACTTTGTAAAATACTTAATCAGAATGACAAGTGGGAAGAGCTGGCTGGTAAGATGTAAACAGAATTTTTAATTATATTCATTTAACTGCTAGTAACATTATTTTGTGTAAGTACTCTGTTGTACTAACAAACAAACCTATATATGTTCACAAGTGTTATGGACAATTTTTCAGGAGTATGGATGAAGTATGATGTGTTGACAATACAGGGTTTGCGAAAGGAAAAAAATCCAACAGATGAACTATTAACAATGTGGGGCCATCATAATCATACAGTATTGGAATTGTTTGTTTTATTATCCAGAATGCAACATTATCAATCTATGGTTCCATTAAAACCATTTGTTGATGAAAAGTTTCATAAATTACTTTATAATGGAGAGGGTAACCTTCACAGAGTACTTGGAAAACGACTCAATAAAAATACAAAAGATTTGAAGATAGGTATCCAGAATTTCAATCAAGTTGTACCACCAGAACCAAATGTGCCTAAAATCATTGTAGAAGCACACACTAAGGAAGCATCTCATAAAATATTAAATCAACCAATGCAAGCTGTGCAAATTGGAATTACTCCCAGCAATTCTAACAATTTACTCGTTGCATCTTTAGCAGCTGCATCTCCTTTAGCAGGTTCTTTACAGCACAGTCGAACTAGTGGAAAAAATAACAATAATGTGGCAATTCCTTGCACAGAAGCAACTTTACCTCATGCATCTTACAATGAATTATCCACAGCTACAAATGAATGGAATAAACATAATATCTTAGGGAAAGGAGGTTTTGGAACTGTCTATAGAGGTAACAAAAAAAGTAGGCAGTTAATGTTTTACAAATTATTTATTTATAACATTTATTGTCTATTGTATAGGCACTTGGAAGAATACCGATGTAGCTATTAAGAAGATAGAAAAAAGAGGAGCTGATTCGGATGAAAGTTATGTACTTCAGCTTCAGCAGTCTTTAAGAGAAATAAAAATTTTAAATTCTTGTCCGCATGAGAATATTTTGTCTCTATACGCGTACAGTTTGGATGGTAGAGCACCATGTCTTGTATATCAGCTTATGAAAAATGGATCTTTAGAAGATAGACTGTTAGTGAAACAGAAAACTCAACCATTAACTTGGATACAGCGTCATGAAATTGCCAAAGGAACTGCCCGTGGTTTGCAGTATTTGCACACAATTGGAGGAAAGCCTCTGATACATGGTGATATAAAAAGCGCCAATATTCTACTTGATAAAAATTTTGAACCTAGAATTGGTGATTTTGGTTTGGCAAGAGAAGGACCTGAAAAAGATTCAATGAAAGTAAGTCCATATTTTGTTTAGAAAATATATGTGCTTAGGCACTGAGACTGGTCAAAGTGAGAGCCTAAGGGTGGTAGGCCCAACCAATGTTACCCATTGCAAAACTTCACTATATGTGTACAGAGAAATTAATAGAATGTTATATGTTCTTTCCACATTTATTCTAGGTGAGCAAAATTCATGGAACAAGACCTTATCTTCCAGAAGAGTTTTTACATGGACGAAAATTATCGACGAAGGTAGATACTTACAGTTACGGTATTGTTTTATTTGAATTAGCCACTGGTTTGTCGGCGTATGATGACACTAGATTGGAAAATAAATTTTTAAAGGAATTTATTGACAGTTGGGAAGATAAAGATCTTCATTTATTAATAGATATAAAAGCAGGTGAGAAAGACAAGCAGGTGTATAATAATTTAATGGTTTTGGGGAAATGGTGTGCTAATCATATGGCACAAAACAGGCCTGAAATGGATTATGTTTTTAAAAAATTGAATGACTTGTAATTTTATTATGTTTTGATTGCTATTACAACTTGCATGAGAATATTACGTCTTGTGATAAGTGCATTTAGGAAGATGTATATAGTTGTATAATCAGTTGATATATAAAATTGACATAATTTTATGTTTGAAGTTGTCATATGCAATTTGTAGCTACATTAGTATATATATTTTTATGCAACAAATTATTATTGATTCCTATGGAATTCTTTTCTCTGTTTTTGATACATTGCATGGCTGATAATGAATTGACAGTAGTTGTCTATTAAAACAAAGCATTGTTTATGCTTTATCAGTAGATTTTATTTTATTTCATTTCATAGCATTTATATACGACTGACAGGGCCGTTTTCAGAATTATGTATGTATATTTACATATATTTTGTGGATAATAAAAACGTTTTAGAAGTAAACATTAAATGTGTTAAATAAGTGTACTAGACACCCTTTATACCATATATTTAATTAAGAATATAAAAAAGGTTTAAAAGTGACGATTTAATAGTATGTAAATAGCTTTTAAAAGATTAAAAAAGTCAAATAAGTACAACGGATATTTTTAATATACACACGAGGGCTTTATAATACAACTTAAAATAGTATGTTTGAATACATTAACTTTTTCTAATATTTTTGACAAAAAACATTTATATAAGATCGAATTCTTTTAGATTGTTATCTTCAGAATTTAACAGGAAGTAAACATGAAAGTAATTCATAAAGTGCAAAAATAATATCAATAAGATTTCATTAATGTGTAATAGATTATAGCAAACACATAACATACATTTGCATTTTAAACTTTTATTATAAAATTGAATGTATCAATATGTTTAAGATTTGTACAATTGTAATTTTAAGGCTATATTTTACATATCTTTACTGCATGATAAATGAAATGCGACATGAAAAGAAGTCGTGATAATGAAAACAATAACACATGGCGTTGATAAATCTACATTATTTGTCGAATGTATTTAGAGATGAAAAATGAGAATGTTGTAATGTTTTAAATAATCATAAAGTATAATTTCTTTTAAAAGAAATGTAAGTATTATACAATATTCTATTTTTTTTCTAATAAAATAGCTTTTTAAGAAACTTAAAATACTAACTACATTATTATTACTAACTGTAGTTTTGTTTTTAAAAAATTGTAAGAAAATTATAATAAATAGAAAATGACAAATTAAGTTGAACAGTATCAATTAATTCCTAAAGTTCAATATCAATTTATGATAAATTAAATTTTAGCGATTTAGCGGATACTCTAAATCGAAGAGTGAAACAATTTTGAAAGTAATTTATATATTTCGTATATGTATATTTTCTTCAGATATTTGAAAGTACTACGGTATACAAAGTAGAAATATAGCTGACTACTTGGGAAACAAAATACTCAATTTTTTTTACTCGCTAAAAAATTAGAACTAATACAGTAATACCCATGTTAAAAATTAAGTAGAACGCAATATGCAAAAATATGTATGAAAACTTGTTTGATACGAGTAGTACAGAAGTGCATTTCCAACATTGCGATATAGAATGTGCTTGAAAGTGAAACACGGGAATAGGTATGACGTGATTTTTAGATTGCTATTTCAGTTTCGTGATTGTTTAAAAAATAATAGTACGCGTAATCTTTTGTCAACAGAACTTGCACATCTGTAGTAAAGTACGAACTGTTAACTTTTGCTGTAGTGCCCAATTTCTTGTGCCCAATTACACCTTATACACCAATGTATTATATTATTATACACACAATGTCCTAAAATAAGTGACACGGTAAAAAGAAGTTATAATCTTCTATGTTGTAACTTCAGATTGCGAATTGATTAAAGCTTTTTATCTACATCCCTTAAAACGAAAAATTTATCTAAATACTTCGGTTTTGTCATTTCAAGACATCCCGCATAACTTGTGTTTAAATTCGCTAACCGTCGCGCGATTCATACTACCGAAAATTGGTAAACAATAATACACATTTAACAAATTTTCATCAATATAATTACAAGTATGCAAACGCGACTTTGCGATGAATATAATTAACTATATCCAATAGTAGTCACTGATAAACCATAAAGAAAACTAAACGAGAGGTATTATCTAACAAAAAAAAGAACAAAGAATAACGCATCATTTTTTAAAATGAATTGGATTCGCAAAATAGTTGAAGCACACAGTAAGAACGTTCTAGGAGACTAATATTGATCCATAAAGGGAAATATTTTTAGCACGAAACCCTGAATGTGTACCGTAACATGGAATACGTTACACACCTTCGTATTCCGCGCCCGTTAAAAGTAGGCGAGAGAGCACCGGCACCTTATCTGACCGCGAGAATAAACGCATTCAGGAATTGTTCCCCCCCTCCCTCCCGCCATACCCACGTGTTTTGAAAGAGTATAGAGGACGTCTTTTTCATCAACGTTGCAACCCGTGTGTGTTTACTTCGTATACCTCCCGGACATTCCCGAGGCGTTAACTAAACAGATCGGTCTTCGACGTGATCTTCTTGATGGCCGGTAGTATGTGTATCGTGGTGTATTGGCCGTAGTTCAGTGGTATCCTTAAATCAGTGCTGTCTCGTCTGTCCGGCGGAAGTTCTTCCTGCTGTTGATTGATGGTCCAGAGCAAGGCTGGTATCGATAACATGGTCATTGTCACTCCCGCGATGGCCAGCAACCAGATTATCACTGTCTGTACTATCGGGAGCACGTGAAGCGCCAGTTTCAAGAGCAGCAGCAGGTCGCTTGGCAGTGTAGGTATGTACTGTAAACAAATTTTTATATGTACATTATGCAGAAGTATGTTAATATTGGAGTTATGTGTTTTGGTCGAAAGTGGTGTTTACATTCGGTCATTCCATGTGTCTCTTTACGTTTGTTTGCACTTTCTGATTTTCTTTTACCCTCGGAGTTTAGCCCCCGACACTTCTGTCTTTCTTATCGCCTGAGAACGTGATTCTGTTCTTAAAGCAATTGACGTCTGTATCTCTAGAGTTCGTTTCTTTCGCTTGTATCGTATTCAAAATGAGAAACGTTTGTTTCCTCGTGATGCAACAGTGACAACTGATCAAAGAATCGTATCGAGAAGTTAGTATAAAGAATGCCAATTACCAAGCTCCAAAAGGAATCCGTTATTTATTGTCAAATCGTTGGCCTAATACTAAAAATATTGCCAGATTATCTTGATCTAAGTAAGTGTATTATATGCATATTTCTTTAACTTTCAAAGGTTAATAATGTTTTCTACGTCTTGGAAAATGTGCCAGGGAATCTAAAGTTTCATCAACGTTATATCTGTTTTAGTAATCACTATCTGTTAATGCCTTTCTCGCGTTTCTAGCGTACGAAACACTGCTGATATATGTATAAATCCATGTACCTTTAGGAGCACTGAGGATTGTATGTGCTCGTAGTCTTCTCAACAGAAGAAAAAATTTGTTATCTAACTTTCAATTTTAGTAAATAGTCCCGAAATATCAGAATTTACGTAAACACCCGTAGTCTACTAATGGGAGTTAAGTCTTCAGGTTTTGACACTTCAATGGATTGCCCTACTATCGGCTTGCATAACATAACGGTACCAACAAAAAATTTATTTTATTATTTTCCATAGCATGCTAACAAATATTCCAACCTTATGACACACAACGATTTAAGTTACATATTTTCATTAGTACTGTCTCTAGTGGGCCCCCTTATGCGGCTTCTCCCCTCCTTGCCGCGCGTGTTACCTGCGTATAGGGTAGCATTGTCTAGGGGCAGGGTCCCCTCAGTATTTTCCTTAACCTCTCACTATATTGGATTCTACTTATCTGCGTGAACAAATAGGTGAAATTTCTATGAAGACTACTCTAAATTTCTCATTTTTATATCCGTTTATATTTAAGGAACATTCAGTCAAAAGGATGCAATGAATTTTCGATGAAAATTTGCAATCTACCCGCTTCATTGCCCATATATATTTCTAATCTTTACTAGGATATTCGTAGCAAGATTTTGCCTACGTGATATACTACGAACGCAATAATCACTTCCGTCAGTGGCATTTATTTTCTAGCAAGACATTCGTATTCATTTTCAATTACGTAAATTTCGGTCAATGTTGTGTGAACGCTTCGCGAGATTGGATTCAACATTTTTAAATGAGAAGCTTAATTTGGGCGATGTTTCCAGGAAAAACGAGCGGACATATGTTTCTAAGAAAATTGTGGTGTGTGCAACAATAAGGAAAGTTTGAACGTTGGGTCGTCACACGTGGGTGAAGTTTGTATTTCTGATACGTTTGCTTTTTAAATGGACGCCTGAAAAGCATCCCAAGGTCGGCAGCGTACCTTTAAACGGAATGTTGTACCTATCATTTGTAAAACAAGTTCAGTGACTCATTGCGCAAGGTCATTGAAGATCCCAAGTGCACAGCGAAACGACCTTTTTAGTACAGCTTAACTTCTTCTTGGAATTTCAGCTCACAGAGCTTCCACGTACAGTTGGCAATCAGACGACTTTTTCGTGTCTCCTTGAGACCTGTAATGATCTTGCGTCCCGAGGCAAGAGACTCATTTGGACCGCGGACATTATTCATCAGGGTGGAAAATGTAATTTGCGATTCACCAGAACGCGTTTTTCACCTTGGTGCCGTTGTGTGTACCCAAACAGCGGTGCCATTAACAGTAAATTGTTTCTTGTAAATTACGATGAAATTGCTGTGTCTTAATACTTTCTTTAGTAGGTATCTGTTTGTTGTTACAAATTACAGAAGATAAAAGTAATTTTTTGTACTTCATAACAAGATAATCATAGGGTCGTTACACGCGAAATCGCGTTAAATTCTTGAAATTTTGGATATCCTTCTTTAAAGTCTCTACATGATTTTATTAACAAAAATCAAAACGATTTTGGTTTTAGATAAAGAAGTCTCATCGAATGTCATGGTTTCCTCATAACCAAAAAAGGATCTTTCGTGTCTCATTCAGCGTCGAGGATGAATCATTGTACATAGAATTCAGCAGGTTGCTTTACTTTTTAAAAACATATATCTGGACCCCAGAGCCAAAGTGTATTAAGTCACACTTTTTAAACTTTAGAGGAGAGGAAATCAAAGGTGCGAAAACCTTGTAAGTTTGGAACCGTTCGGTAAGAATTGAACGAGAAACAATCACTATCTTCGAACAATTGAATGGATTTAAGGCAAGTTTCTATATATAGAAATGGAGAACTTTATATTAATTTTTCTATGTGATAGGTTTTGCACTGTTTGAAAAATATCAACGTAATATCATTTATTTTTCATACATGAAAAATGTAAAATGTTATCTTTTTTTTAAAAGTGGACTTAATACACTCTGGCGTTGGGGTTCAGATATATTAATTGTACCCACCAGATCGCTCCAGAATAATGGTACCGTCAGATCGTTGAAAGCCGTGATCTTGTCATTGTAGAATGTAGGGTACATGACGAGGTTGATCTGTATTCTCGAGTTAATCTTCATTGGGATGCCGACCGTCTGAGGAAAAGAAAACAAAACCCGTGAATCATCGATTCGCCGAGGGGACTGAGAGAGAGACGGAGAGATTCGAGTGGAATCCCTTGAACGGCCGTTTCTTTATTTCTTTTTTTTTCTTTTTCTCAAGCCATTACAAAGTTGCTGCAACGATCCGTAAGTTCGACGTCCTCGTTGATCTATAATGGCCAACGGACTACTAGTTCGTCGAGCATCGGGCGTTATCGTTATCGGATTAGGTAACTTGACCAGTCGTCGACCGGTTTTCAAATATGTTCTTCGCGCATACCGTGACTTTTCTTGTGAAACGCGCCTCGTAATGCCTGTGAGTTTTCTCGTCACGGGGAATGTGCTCTTGATGAAAACGCAGCCGAACGGTTTCGCGCGTTTAGTCGCGGTTACATAAATTTTAGGTGTAAAAGACGGGGTTTTAGAGGGGAAACGGTCGCGTTACGTATTAGGGTAGTTGCAATTAAATAATAGATTGTATAGAGAGGTACAGTAATGTCTCGATGAGTGTGACGTACTCGAATCCGTTTCGGAGCATTCATAGCAAAGGGAAAGTTTTTCAGGTTTTTATAAATTTGTGCTTTACCAGAAGCCGAACCTCTATTTAGCATTTGTTTACTCTATTTCGATTGATTCCAGAGGGGGAACCCTCAGTGGTAAGGATAACGCCGTTGCTTGTGTCGCATTCATCGAGGAATCACTGTATTCCTTTGCTTAGACCCAAACTAGATTTGGACATTATGCTGCTATCGAACTGCTCGATGTCGTCGATTCTTCCCAAATGACTGAACGCTATTGATGTTATTGTAATTTTTCTTTTGTATATTTACTCTTATAACTATGATTTGACTACTTCTCAGGGGATACCTGGTTCGTTATCAATATTGTTAGAGCCACTCACCGGTTGTAGAATGATTTTCGCCCTATGTTTCTCGGGCTCCGGTTTAAGGCCTTCGATGTCCTCCCGTAGACTCGGGTCCGCGTCGAGGAAATGCGGCAGGGACATAGCTGCTGGGATATCTGGAAAGAAAAATGATCAGGTTACACGTAATTCTATGAAACTTCCATTATCAGTGACGAAAATCGTGTTAGAAGAAATGGTAGTTAATCGGACAAAAGGGACTAGGAATTAAATAATTTTTATCTGTTGCAAGATTCTTGGACAAATGATTGGAATTGTTATAGAAAAATGTCAGACGCTTAATGGCGCGCAGTGAACTATATTCTCAAAGTTCAGACTTCGACATTTGATGTTGCAGACTAGCGACGTCCGCTGGAGGGACTGCCCTGTCCTGCATTTCCTTGGTGAATCTGGCAAGCGGTGGATCGGAATCTCGAAGAAATCAACGAACAGTGAGTCTTTTTGCCTTTTCGAAAATCGTGAAACGAAAATTATTTGGATAAGGTAGCGTTATTAAGATTAGTTGCAGAAGTAATGAATAATTAAAACGAACGATCCTACAAATTGAATTGTTGATAGTGTCTAATGGTAGTTGAACATTGGAATAATTCGTTAATTTTTTTAAATACTTACTATAATAGCATGGTGTCATATCAGATAGTCCTTTTCTCAGGCACTTGGACTTTTTCTTGCAAAAGCACTCGTTCTCCGGATTCTGATCCGGCGTGTCTAAGAAATCTTCCGCCACAGTGTACATGTATCCCTCGAGACCGTTCTCCATCCACACTTTTTCCTTGAACACGATCGGAATCGCCCTGCAGAATGCTTTTCTGAAGACCCTGAATGTCGCGTGCACGTCCAAATTCGTTGGGAATAATTCGCCCTCGGTGCACCCTTTCACGCGATTGCAAATTGTGTTCCTATAACAAGAGAGTTAATTCTATACACACAACACAAGGAGAAAACCATAGAAAACTTCATGTTATCGTAACTAATAACGATAGGTACTTTGAGTGTTCGAAAACTGAAGTTTTGTTGCCCGATAAGGTGAAGGTGAACAGAGAATTTTCGTCTTCCTCCATAGAATTTGTCTTGGACCAATGAAGGTTTGACAACTCTAAATATAATATCTTTCAGAGGCTCGAGTTTAGCAATCCAGAGTCGGAAAGTCAAGTCAAAAGAAATCGTGAAACCGAAGTTAGAGGATCGACGAGTTCACAGACGTTCCCTGAATCCATGAAATCCACAGCAGAGTGTCAAAGTCAGTGAACCTTTTAAACCAGAGACCTAAGACAGAGGGCCTTGAGACTTAAAAACTTCTAGTTAAAGGACCTCCAGACATAAAAATCAGGGATTGAAGACCTATCAAGTCAGGGGATATTTGGAATTCAAGTAGTTAAGTTTTTGGGTCCTCTGATTTGGGTCTCTGGACCCAGGGGACCTATGACTTGGGTCTCTGAATCCAAGAGTCCTCTGGCTTTTGGGATCCTGGATCTGAATGACTTTGGTTTTGAGGGTTTTCTGACTTGGATACCCGGGTTTGAAGGATCCCTAACTTCGGTCTCTGGGTTCAGGGGACCTTCGACTTGGGTCTTTTAGGTTCACGAGTTCTCTAGCTTGAGTCTCTGGATCCAAGGGATCTTTGAGTATTCATTTCTCCATGGTATTTAATCGCTTATCGGTAGCTGTTAATGACAACAGAAACGAGGAAAAAGTCGCTACACGAGAGAATGGAAGGATGATTCAGTAGCGATTAAGAAACATGTTATTACTATAATGCGAAGATTCTTACTCTGGTATCGTCTCGTTTCCTTCCGGCTCTTTATATCCCCATTGCGACATTCCTGGACTGTAATTATAGGTTTCGATACTCAGGTAACGGCCTTCCTCGTCTGTCATGTTATCATTTTTTCCGATATTCATGAACACAACGTTTTCTCCTTCATCGTACATCTGCATAAAAGGACATTCGTATCGTTAAGTAGAAAATCTAGTCTATAAACGATCTATACATAGGGCTGCCATTCGTAAAATCATTAATCTAGGACAAAGAGCATTAAAACCCCGGACATTTCCACTTGAAACCCGGACACTTTCAACTACTTCTTATATTAGGTACGATATTCCAAGGCAAAAATTTCTGTAACTTTTGGATTGTAACCGCAATCAAGAAATGAAGATTACATATAGTTGCACAAAGTAGGAATTTATTTGTGACTTAAAATAACTTATAAAATACGCAAACTTAATTTATCGAAAAATCTGGATCACTACAGAAAATCCCGTCGGACATCCCCGGACGCTCTAAAAAAAAGGACAAATCCGGGGAAACATATTATTACAAATATCAAAGTATTATCGATTTTTTTATGAAATTTTTAACTCTTTTCACCAAGAATTTACTTTGTAGTTTCATACATCACAACGTTTTCCACGGTCGATTAACGTTTCTCAATAGTATTTCTAACGAGAATTTCGCAGCTGTTTTAATGTCAGAAGTGCCCGAGGAGCAAGTGGTAACTGAATTTCTCAATCGATTTTCCCTAATGATCTTATGAAACGACATTCTGTCTCACCGGGAGATTTTAACAATTTACGCGATTTTTACGAGAAGATACAACGGCCTTTTTTTTACAGTAAATTGTGTTTAACCCTTTTAGTACCTTAGAGCCAATATATCGGTCAGAAAATCGGTACTCGGAAGAAATAAAGTTTCGATAATCGGTATTTGAGACTATCAAATTTTCAGCAATCGGTACTAGGGATGGTCAGAGTTCAGAAAATCGGTACTTGGTACCGATCAAATTTTCGATAATCGACGTTCTACTTTACTTCTTTGCCTACATCCCTTACAAAATAAATTGCCTCTTTCAACTAATCGCTCATAAGACGTACAAAAAACCGAAGGATTTACGCTACTTCAAAGTAACTAACGCCGCAATTAGTCGGAACTAGTGCACGAAAAAGTCACGCGATCGTTCACCTTTGCATATGACATAGAACTTTCATTAACAGATCCTTTCGACTCGTTATTAATCGGTACGAAATAAAAAAAAAAAAGGGGGGGAAACGAAGCAGGTGACAGGCTCAGGAATCCCGTCGCAGATGCAAACGGGCCGTGCGTCGCCGGTTCCGAGGGTCGGCTAAATCACCGTCGCCGACGAGCAATCCCGTTCGAATTAATTTCGCCACGCGCTCTCGAGAGTGAACAGGTGCGTGTCTCTCTGTCATAATCGCTTTTTGTCACGTTTAGAAGTCGTTGACACTAACCCCGTGAACCCTGAAACGCATGCAAAACAGTGAAAGGATCGGCTGCTTAAGGTTGTCGTTGCGAAAACTGTTCGCGGGTTCGGGACAGTTGTATAGGTTGTGTCTCTGCGTAATGGTAATATCGAAGGCCCGTTGGCAGCGCGATTTCATTCTCCGAGAGTGATTTCTGATCTGAGAGGATAATTTAACCCTTTATTTCCTGACGATACTTTGTAGTAACATTTATATTACAACCAGCGATTTCGGGATTTAGCAAAATTGTTTTTTAAACAAAATTTTTGTATTGAATTGTTAAGAAAAGAAAAGGAAAAATGGATATATATTGTATTACTGTATTTATTCCCGTTTGTTCGGACACCTTTACGCCCCCTGGAGATGAAATTTCAAAAAAGTCTTGAAATTACTTTTCCGGCCGTTGTATGAGTAGCATTTTGAAGCAAAAAGCAGTGGGACGTCTCATCTGGATTAAAAGATATTGAGAAATGCATAGAAACATATTTTACTCTTTTTCACCCCCTGTAGATGGAATTTCAGAGAAACCCAGAAATTAATTTTCAGACATTTAAATAAGTGCACATTGAACCTAACTGCAGATTTTCGATTATTATTAAACGAACTGTGAAACGAACGTTAATTGTGTAAACGATCGGACATTTAATTACGTAAATAATGTAAAAAGGAGAACGGGAGGCCGACCTTACTCCCTTCTCACCTGATTCGATTCCACGCCTCTCATAGAACATATTCCGTTTTCCTTCGTGTAATGTCAACACGTAAGAGTGTAGTTTAGCAACAGGAGAATTAAAATGATTTGGTCGATTCATGCATGGACAAGGTTAGTTGGTTGTGCCAATAACCGGTATACTTTTTTTTTACTACATTTTTTATTCATTCTTGTATTTCTGAATCTTGTACGCAATACATGTCGCGACGCTTAACGAGCGCATTTGCGACGAGTTAATGATCTAAGGCTCGTGCCTGTTTTCGTGACTAACTGCCGCGTCGTTTTTCTATGTTTTTCCTCCTATTCCCATTAATCGAATAACTTGAATAGAATATCACTTGTGTTCTTGTTGTTCTATTGGATGCCGTTAAAATACGCGACGTTCGATCGATTGTTTGAGGACGTTTATGAAATTTTACAGTTTTGTAGTCTGATTTGTCAGAAGAAAATCGATTAAAAAAAATCGATTTTTTGATTTAGTATCACGTATAAAGTAGGACTACATCGTTCTGGTAGCTTCACTTTCTTCTATTGTAATGATAACTTTGAATTTTTTAAAGAAAATTGTCTGTAAATGTTGTTCGCTTAAAAACCCGATCGAAACGAGAATTCGTTTTACTGTTACATATCAGATAATCAGCGTTTCACTGTATCAAAAAAAATCGACTACTCACCCTATCGAGTAGACCAAACTTCTGAAAATCAATGAAACTAGGCATAACGCTGTTCGCCATATGGACCAAACTGTCCTCGTAGCCCCATAGGTAGTCGTGGACCGTGATGTTTAAGATCGGCTTGCTGTCGAACATGTTGACAAGCTGCGTCCAAGGATAATTGACGAAGAATCCACGGTCATGCAACGTGGATGAGAGACCCTGCGGAACATTAATTACCGTGTAACATAAACAGAGCCGAGCGAGATTAATATACGAACGAAGCACTAATGACAACGATGTGGAAATAATAAAAATACGATTATTCATTACGATCGTCGCGTCTAATTGCGCGTGAATTTTATCAATCGAACGAGATAAGGAACTAAATCGACGGTTTACATGCAGAGACATTCCAGTTTCGAACGAACGTAATTTAAGGAAAACGATATTTTTAATGCAATCACGGCGGCAGTGTTTTAATTATAGCGCGCGGTATATAATTGTTGATCATTGATTCGGAATTCGCAGTAGCTTCCGCTAGCGACGGAGATCAAGTACTTGATATGTGCTCGAATTCCTTATGTGTATGCATTTCGTTAAGAGTTCGAGATTTTTTACGTCTTGATTAACCTTGCGTTCGGTTAGAGTTACGGTAAAATACAAAAAATGCAAAATAAAAATTGACATCCCTTAAATAATATTTACTTTAGACTTTGTAACATTTGGATTGAATATTCGATAAGTGTCGTAATACTTATGAACGAGAGGGTGCATTTCGTTAAGAGTTCAAGATCTTTTACGTCCTGATTAGCTGTGCGTTCCGTTAGAGTTAAAATAAAATAGAAAAAATGGAAAATATAAATTTACATCCCTTAATCAATATTTTTTTTTTTAAACAATAGATATATACTTTTTCCCGACGCTAGCTTCTGCTTTTATCGGTATAGCGTGTATTGGTTGCGTAGCGCGCGAACGCAGCCTTCCTTTTCTTTATAGACCGTCATTAATGTCACTTTTTTTTATCTGCATCGGAGAAACCGTGGAGAATATTGTCCCTCGAGGATGGGAACCTTGGGAAACGAACTATTAATAGCGTAACCCGATGATAACGCAAAAGTGAGCCAATAGTATATGTCGAAAGGATGATATGCGATCATCGATCGTGGAATTGTTGCAGATCCATACGACTGTGTGATTTTTACTATTAACGACCAGAGGCTGTGATTGTCGTATCATTGGATAATTTTCAATGACAGTTTCCTGTATACGTGTCATGGAAGCATAATCTTTAGTCATTCTTAGTATATTCTTCGAACTGAAGAGTCCCTATTTATTAGATATAGTGTACTAATAAGATATTCACTATTTATTGCTAATATGTTGGTAACATAAGTTCAGTTTAATACATCTTGTTACCCTTTTCTTTTTAGAAAGTGATTCATTTCGATGGAAGTCAAGGATTTTTATTATTTTAATTGTATCGACAATGATTGTTCAGCATCCTATATTTTATTCTTCTCCAGTCGAAAGTCGAGGAGATATTTTCAATTTGAACTATACCGTTTCATAAAAAATAATACTAATATATATAGGTAGCATAAAGTTGAATAACTGAACAATGAAAGGTGATGATAAGATATTCAGCAATTAACAGAAAGAAAACAATATGAAAGGAAAACAAGCGAAATAAAGTAATTGAACTGAAATTAACTATATTATTGTTTATATCACGCAATTTATCAGGTAATTTGTCCGAGGTTGTAGGTAATTAAACGTAACAAAGAGGGGTTATGATAAGAATTTCTGGTATCTTAGTTCACGGAGAAATGGCGCGGTTGGAAAAATATATGCGTTTCGAATTTTTAGTCTGTAAGTTCGATCTTTTTATGGAAATAAAATATCCTGATTATTCTCTAGTACTTCTATGATTTATAGGAATCGATACGATCTCACGGATGGCAGGCTATAAATCGTCGTAGTTTCGCAATTTACAATTCATGGCTGACTTTGTGCACTTGTCCGATTGCAGACAAAAAAAAAGTGGATATTGTCGTTCGAACGTGCGAGAAACGTGGTAAAGTAATGTGAAAACGTCGCGGCAATTTAAATATACGCGAAGCCGGCTTTGATGATTGTCGCGAGGTGTACGTAACGTCGTGTTGACACGATCGAAACGGCAGACGTGATCGAGACGTGATCATTACACAGAAAATTAACATACATAGATCGCGTACGGCCCGTTAATGGCACTAGTTTTCTCTTTTTGATAAGAGCGTTGAGTACAGAGGGTCACGTGATTAACGATGCAACAGAAGAGAAGGCGATTTTACATACGAAAATGTTCTAAAAATCAATAATAAAAAATTTTTATTGTATAATTACATTTTGTACTGGGGTCATTGTACGTTAAATCGATCACTTTAAGCGATCGATGTCAGAGATTTTGTTCGAAATGAAATATTATGTAGTCCAGGTGACGTTAGTGGGGGTTTAAGTCATCATTTTTCTGTTCTCGAATTTGTTTAAAAAATACAGGTCAGCCGAAGTTTACGATTTTTGACTGTACTGTAAGAAAATATTATAACCCAAAAATCGATTTTTTCAAAATTTATAGGTAGGCATAACCCCTTAACACAGTATAATAGTCTGGTACCAACACATGCATTTCTGTACCTGTATTTCTGCGACTGTGTTATGAATGACGGACGATTAGAATCACTTCCTTGATTCATTGTTCGATCGACTGTGTTTGCCTATGAGGTAGCATTACGGATAAAATCATGAATGTATCGTTTCTACTCACCAGCATCGGTATATTCGGGACGTGTACTAGATCGACTTTTGGATCGCCAATGGACATCTCGGGGACGAACACTATCGTTCTTTTCGGGGTGTATGATATCGTGTTGTTCTTGTGCCATGTGACGTTCTGGTTATCTAACATTTCCCTGAAATTAGACGCATCGATTGTTTCGGTATTAGAATATATAATTTGTTCTACAACCTTTCATTAAAGAATGGCCAAAACTGTTTACTAGTAATATTTATTTACGTTTGCTGTTATTAAAATTAGTCACACAAATGTTATATTACTCACTGGTAAACATAGGGACCAATCTCTTCGACTTTCAATTTTTCTTTGCCCTTCAGAAATTCATCCCTGTTGGTGATATTGAATATATAGATTTTCAGATAAACGTCGATAGGTGGCTTCCTCCATAGATCGAAAATCAACGAATTCGGTTTCATTTGCATTTTCTGGAAACATATGTATCGACGATTAATTAATCTTCTTAGGCCTATCTGAACTCTCTACCAGCCTTAAAACATTCCTCAATCCAGAAACTCATATAAGAAAGTTTAATTTCATGGTAAATTGTTCTTTTAATTACGAACTTGATTATTGATTTTTTTTTTATTGTTCGAAGTATCCGTTTTACTGATTACTGGTTAGTATTGATTAAATATTGATTCCTTGTTGCACTTTTAAGGTAAAAAAGAAAAACGATTAGATGTTCAAAATCGATTTTGAAATCCCTTTGTGCAACTTTGATGATCTTCAATCATACAACCCTGTTTCCTAAGGATTAACAAGACGTCTGAAATTTTTTTTGTCATTTCAGTGATAATGATCTCATACAAATAATTTATGTTTACATAAACAATATTAAAAAGTAACAAACAATTGCATACCCGTTTGATTAGTGGGAAAGTAATGTTGTCTTTTCGTTTACTCGTTAATTTGACTAAGTTTTTCACTAATCCCTTCGATTGAATTTTCAATGGAAGAAATTACATATTATCGATCAATTATAACGGAGAAAATTAGATTATTGATTAATACAAACGTATAAATTGTTACTATTTAAAAAATTGTTATATTCTCTTTAGTGTCACTGAATGAAGAAACTTTCTCGCTAACACAATAATAGGTTAGACATTAGATAAAATTAAAGAAATTTCCATCACTTACGTATTCTAATATCGCCCTCACGGGATTGACGATGTAGAGGACATAGGCCAAGGCGCTGCAAGTGACGCCCAGGAAGAACAGTATAATGCATTCTGCAACAAGCGAGAACAACGATTAAAATCCAACAAACTAAAAAAAAAAAGTGCGAGAAGCTTTCCCGCCATTAACTCCGTTTGCATTCCAATGTATGATTTACACCCTTTCATCGAGAAATAACATATTTTTCAATTCTGTGATAGGACTATACAGGGCCAGGGTATTCCGCTTAAAATAGGCTACCTAAATATTTTCTTTATCTGTGATCATACGAGAAATTTTGTTTACGCAATTTTAATGGTTCCAAGAGACGAATTGGATGGCGGCAAAATTTTTTTATAAGTGTCATTTTTTAATGGTTTTTTTTAATGTCACCCATCATTTTTTCGTGTATCCATATAATTTTTCCTATTGTATGTTATAGCCACCATTATTATGCATTTATCCATGTATAATAGTACGATCTTGAAATGACTTTGAACTCTAAAAATTTTAAATTCACTTATCTAATTTTTTCCACCATCTGATTCGTCTCTGGAAACCATTTAAATTACGTAAAAAATATTTCTCTTATAATCACAGATGGACAAGATATTTAGGTGGCCTGTTTTAAACGGAACACCCTGTATATATTTCGAACGAGTTCGTTCTCATTCCTTATGCAAAAAAATATTGATCCTAAGAAATCCTTGTCCGGATGTTTGCATTACAATTGTGATTTTGAACCCGTCACGCCATTCGTGGTCTTCCCAAGAATATCCTGTTAAACGTTAAAAGTACGTCAATCGAGAACGAATAGCTACATAATCATTCGGAAATAGTTACCCGGTGGTAAATAAAAAGTGTATTGTGCAACCGAAACTGGAATCGGAGTAATGGGGAGGAAAGTATAAACGATTTCGTGAAATATGAAAAAAAAATATGTAGATTCAGAAAGAAGTTCGAGCAGATGAATTTATTACTCGAAACGTATCGGTATCGATAAGTATTTTGTTAAACTGCGTTGGTTGAACTTCATTTAAGTGTAGAGAATTTTTAATATATTAAGTTTCGAAGAAATCATGCGTCTTTACTTTGGTTAGTATTTCATTACTAGATTGCGGATTTTATGCATTTTTTATAGACTATAAAGCTCCGTGAAATACAATGAAAGGTAAAACTTTCATCAGATATAACGAGATCCTTTTTTTTATTCTTAATCCAACGAGATACTTTAGAGAAAAAGAAAATTCGTATTTTTGCTCTCGAGACTATGTCCGGCTTTTTCCACTGTGGCAGTTACCGTGTTCATTTACCCGTTATAAAAAAATACAATTAAAAATCAAAGTCTCAGTTTAGGTCAAAGTGACCCTATCACGAGTGGTCAAGAAATTTGTTCTCCGTTTTATACGAGAAATCGTCTGTTCTTAACATTTTATTGAAACAATTTCCTTAGTATATGTAATAGAAAATAAAGATTCAAGTCGACCATTAAATGTATTTAGTAAATTATGTAATAAATGTACTTAAATATATTAATTTTCGGAGAAATCGCGCGACTTTAAAAAAATTTGGTCTTAACGAACGATTTCCTTAATAATGGAAAACGAAGATTTAAATCGTCGATCGAGCATTCGAGATATGAATTTCCTATTCGAAACGTATCGCGACGGGGGTTACGTCAGACGCGCTTTTCACCTCGCGTATCGTAAAACACGAGCGAAGTTACTTGTTCTTCTTGAACTTATGAAGGCTGCTGAATCGAATTATTGTTATTTCTATCCCGCGAAGAAACAAGGGGAAAAATGGCGGGACCCGTTGAGGCCGCCTGGATAGCAAAGTCTAGTCAATTTATTGCTGATTAAACGGAAAACCGGCGATACCTTGACAAAACAGTTAATCTTGTCGTATTGACGATCGCTTTATCACGTGACTATGATACGCTGACGGCCTACCGTGGATTCCGTCCTATTCGTGTAATACAAATCGTTCGAATGTATCAGCCTCCTAAGAGTCATTCGTCACAATGACGACGATGTTTCAGATTAACACATTCCTAATTGACGTATTGTTACGTTACAAATATTATCGATCGTGTGCGAACTACGGGATTTTGTGCGGAAATGACGTTTGTTTTAAAGTGATTTTGTACAAGCAGATATGACAATTGAATTTTCTTCGATCGTTTAAGGATTTTATTGGGTTAAGAATGAAACAGGAAATATGTCATATTTTATCGAATGGAAGTTTTTCTCTTATTATTACATTTCTGATAGTCGTATGTAGGTCTGCAGGTATTCGGATATTCGAACTATACGAATAATTTGAATAATTTCGAATTCGAATAATTCGGATAGTACGGAGTATTCGAATGTTTAAATATGCGAATAGTATATGTGTACTACTATACGTATATTTGTTATTAGTAGTTTAGAATTTCACGATGAGGTATATATATATATATATATATATGTATATGTATATATATATATATATATATATATGTGTAACAGGTTTACCGATTAATTAATAATGAATAGTATATGTGTCGCAAAGGCACTGTCATTATTCTATAATGATAGCACATGTCAACGATAAAGTGCGAACAATGCTTCTGTTATTTTTTATGTTAATGTATGCCCATTCGATTTCATCGTGTTTTTGTGCGACAACGTTGATTCGTTCGGTATTAGAAGAAACTTTTCGATTTCAAAACATATTACATATGCGCAAATTAAACACTTAAGCAACCGACACTGGGTCTTGCGTTATTACCGCGCGTTATAAATATAATAATCGTGCATATTTTTGTAAAAAAATAAATGGTACACGAATATATAACACAGATTACAAAATTTATATTTCAAAGTAACGTGCGATCGATTAGAAACTCAGGAGAAGAGGAAAATTAGTGTAATCGTTATTAGTAGATTGTATGTACTTATGCAAATTTGCTTATTACAAATGAGGAATTTATTAGCTGCTTAATTTATGTATTACTTTGAATGTAGATATTGATTTTTATTAATTATCATTCAATGGCATAAATGCATATTAAATTAAAAGTCCGTACCTGTATATTTCCACAAAAGTATCTTTATAATTTCAATAATTCTAAAACTGATGTAGTTTGAATTTTAGGTTCTTCATAACAGTTTCAGTCGGAACCTTTATAATATAACAGTTTGAAACAGTTATTTTCGGAATCGCCTCAAGCCCTGGTAGATTCTGTACATTCCGTACAAAACACAAAGAGCTGTACCAATTATCAAAACAAATTTGTCTCTCAATTAGTGGTTAATCGACCACCTTACCGTGCGAATAAACTCTACAATATTCCATCTCTCCGTCGTATCCAATTCATGGAGCGAACATAAACGATCCATTAACAAAAAATAAATAATCCTATATCTCACGGTGATCTCGACCTGTCTTGATCGAAAAACATGTAAATCGAGTATCGACCTTGTCGATCATTGGAAGTATACGTCGATACACATTTCGAGACAAAGTGGTCGGGACCAGTGTCGCGGATTACTTTCCCGTTGATAATTAGGTTTTCGAGAATTCCAGGTGTGAAATGTAACTTGATAGGTGTTGATAATATGCCCTACGAACCGTAATGTGATTCACCGACAGAGAGCCCCGGTTCGCCTTGACTCGAATGCCGCAACGATTCGTGAAGTAGCAGTTAAAAACGACTTGTTTACGAACGAAATATTCGATTTTGCAGGTTGAACAGCGAAAAAACCCCGAGACGAGCCGTTAATGGGCTACTCCCGGTACCCTTGCCGGTTTGGTAATGACAGTCACCTTCGATCACGTGTATACAGGGTGTTACCAGTTTCACACGAAACACCATTGAGGAGGTGATTCCTTGTATAAAAGTGGATCGAAAACGTGGTATGATATTGTCTCGTACGTTGCTTCTTTTTCAGGAAGATAGAAGTTTCCATGTACAGTAAATTCTGGATGAGTGCTCGCAGTCTCCTAGGCACTGAACGTTAAATATTTCATAAACTAATGGCCATATGCGGCTAAAACAAATACCATTGGCTTCAGAATTCCAAGTTCTATCACTGTGCTAAACCTCATTAATAGACTGTGGATTTTATGCAATTATGATCTATACAAATCTAAAAGATTAGTACAGTTCACCTCTCTATCTTGTGACATTTATTAAGAAAATTTACGAGGAATCAATTTCTTTGGATTTCGGAAACCCCCTGTACGCTTATTGCGGCTTAATGATCCGCCAACAACCATAACGACGCCTTGCGTGCTTCCTTTTACCTTCGACTTTGGTATTTCGTTTTTGGTTTTCGTCAGCGGTCCTGACATTGCTTCTGCGGTCATCGATACTTTTTCCCATGAGCCCTGCGACGACTGCGTTTTGCAGTACCTAATTACGTAATGTCTGTTATTACATAACATGTTTATAATATACATTATGCAATTCCTTTAATGTTGTTTCTTGAGGACTAGCCTTCAGTCCGTAATTTTAACATTTAGGTACATTCATGACCAACGTACTAATTTCCCATTTTTCAAGTAATTTCAGGATTCCTTCTTCAATAAAATTTTAAACGAGTTTATTTGAATATTTGTTTCTAACAAGAGAAGGCATTGAAGCGTCCCCCTCCGATTTTGATGAAACTTCGTATGTTTGTCAAGCAGTCGAAAATAAGGGATACGTATTTTTTTTTATCGGCTGAGACGCGACTTTAAGGGGTGAAACTAGCCCAAGCCAAGATCTGTTTACTTTATTTACTATTCTACCAGGTTCTAAAGAAAATAAAAACTTCCTTAAAACTTACCAAACTCTTAAGTATAGCGAATTCTAGGGAATCGTATGTGCTATAAATACATAAAATCCGCAGTCTACTTATGGCTATTTATCAAATTAGAATTCCATGCGGTAAGATTGCTTCGTTTGTAAATTTTCTGATAATTCCAAAACGAGCACGACCTCAAGTCTGTGCGATTTTTATGCTCTTTTTTTTGAAAATTTACGTTTTTTAATGTATCAATACGGTTAATGAATCAATGCTGTCCAAAAGAATGAAGAATTTAGATG